GATTTCCTCGCATTACGAATACGCCAAATTGAACGACGTCCTGAAGACTTGAGACGTGCCGCTAAGACATTAAAGAAGGCCAGATTTAAGTCCAAGCTTCAGTTTGAACAGAAATATCATCTGAGGATGCACAGAAAATCATTCGCACCAGGTGATCTTGTACTAGTCCGAAATACCCAAGTTGAGAAAGAACTGAATCGCAAAACTAAACCACGATACTTAGGACCCTTTGTTGTCGAGAGACAAACCAAAGGTGGATCCTACATTCTTAAACAAATGAACGGAACTTTGTCTAGACGTGGTGTAGCCTCCTTTAGACTAATTCCGTATATAAGCCGAAATGATCCCACTCTACAATCAATTGCAGATACTCTTGATAATGGTCAAGACTCTGAGAAAAATTCATCAGGATCAGATTCAGATACTTCTTTCCTCTCAGAGGACGAATAACAAAACACATCACATCATGAACGGCAAAGACACCACAATAGAAAACCGAATTCAACAGAACATTGCAAGTTTATTTGACATCCTTTTAGAGGATTGCAATAAACTTCACGAGTACTTTATTTTTCAAGATATCAGAACCCATTATAATCAAATGATATACTTCTGGGATCACAATCACCAGGAAGCATTATCACAAATATGTCCTACATGTGCAGTATACTTCGAAATTTTCAGACTCCTAGATGAATGGCACCATCTTGTCAACCCAGAGAACAGATGGAGGAGTCACCAACATCATGATTAATAAAATGACATGACCTACCCTTCAACTGGGGACAGTTGCGATTTTTCGTTCGGGGTGGATGTCATGCATGGTATGTGATTCATACCATGTCAGATATATATAGAGAGTGATAAGGAAGATATGAGAGACTGTCTAGCCCTCTGTCACTGAGTTACCTTTCTATTTTTCCTTTATTTCATTGTCTTGTATTTTATTTCTCACTTTTCAGATTTATTTTACCTTGTATTTTTATGAGCATGTGACCTTCTGTTTATTTCTCATTATTTATTTTTATTTGGCTACTTTCAGCCACAGATTTGTTTGTCAAAGTTTTGTATCTCTATTTATTTCTGACTGTTTATTTTTATTTGGCTTCTTTCAGCCACCAGATTTTATTTGTCAGCACATCATGTGACTGGGGAATATTCTGGTTTGTAACATTATTTAAGCTGACTCAACATGTTTAGTCATGATTGGTCATGCTTTGTAACAACATTCACATGACTCATCATGTTTTGTCATGATTTGTCATGCTTTGTAAATTCTTTGTAAGATTACACTGTATTTGTAATGTACTTAGTAATAAGCTGATTCATCATCTGGTTTGTAAGCCACATTCTTACCAATCCATCTGATAAATCATGCTTAGTAAGGGGGTTCCCAAAAGGTATAAAAGGACCCCATTTTCACCCATAAAATAAAACTTCCCATTTTTCATTCTTCTCTCAAACCGTGTGAGAGTACGTAAGAATAAAAGTGCAGGCAACGTGCCTTGAAGTAAGACTAAGACACATCATTATTCTATTCTAAAGTTATATACTACCTTACAGGGGTTGACTATATAACTTTCGTTATCGTTATTCTACTCTAGGTTATATACTACCTTACAGGGGTTGACTATATAACCATCGAACAGCTCTCATTCTAAGCTTTACGTGTATACATAAGACTCTCTCTTTCAACGGAAAGTGAGACACATATCTAAGGACGACAAAGTTGAAACAGACTTTCATAGGTTGAAACACGACCTACTAGGCTGAAACAAACCTAACGAATTTATCCAGAACACAGAACATTCCACAACACTTCGTATCAGACTACACAAGAAGAGGACAACAAACTAAATCCTCCCAAGAACTCACCACGTTACCTCCCACGAAATAGAAAAGTCGGAGACCGTGGACTTAAGGACTGGCAAGAAGTCTTCCCTGTGTATAATTGTGTTGTCATTATACACAACTTTTATATAAGACCCTTAAGTAACAAGACAGCGCTCGGCGTGTACTTGAGCTAATCCAATAGTGCGCCTTCAATATCTCAGTTACACGAGGTTAATCCTAGTATGAACTTATTATGACATTATGATAAGGCTGGCGCGACAAATACACTTTCGACCAAGTCTTTTTTATCAAACTAACCGTACAACTAACTAAATTCCATCAAGATGGTTGTAAGATGATGAAAAATCGAGAAGAAGAACAACATATGTAAGCGAGTAGGGCTTATCCTATATACTGAACAACTTTTGGAATGACACTCCTCCGGCAACCCCCGAAATAGCCACAAAGGGACTGGTATGTCCAGAAATCGACCTCATCACAGCCAAGGAGTTGCTCGCACTACTCACCTATCATCAGAGGTGCGGGATATCGGGCCATCAACGAACACTCAGAATGGGAAGAGGAAGTGAGGGAGCTCTCAAAACGTATAAGTTGGCATACAAGTTGCCGTATAGCTCTGAGTAGTCTGACACTACATAGTCTCGAGACCAGATTGTACATTCTAGAACACCGTGATGTAACCGACTTATGTACTTTAGTAGAAGTTGAATGATGTATCTCAGTGCCAGAACTTGAAGCAATCGATACGCACGCCATTCTAAAACACCTGCTTCAAGACTACTACGTAGGAAAATTGTGCCACAAGACGAGCCAGGCGCGGATGACATCCACGCACTGCATCCTTGGGTCTTGGTGAGTATTCAATTGAAGGTCGTGCTCCGACTACTATCAATGCCCGACCAGCACGGGAGACATGTTCTAGATCAGTGGCACCGGCAGGACTAGTGGGTTCAACTTGAATGTCCGACTCACTGCCAGCACAGCAAACACACAATCCTCGGCTCCTAACTCCGTCACCATTCCTTTTGTTGAACCTTCTCATGATCATAATCTCGGTGTAACCATCATGGACGTAACTGCAATGCGCACGGCACACTACCTTTTGGCATCCACACATTCGTCGGCCCGGGAGTCTTTTTTCGGACGATGCTTCAACTTGAAACGGTCAGGATTTTACTACTAGCCTTAGTAGCGACTACTACCGTGACTATACTTATCATATGGGCTGAACCCGATGCTGACTCGGAGGCGTATTCCGTTGTCGATCTTTAGTTCCGAGCGTTGGTGCTCAGGCTGGTGCTGGCTTTTTCTATTTTGGCGTGCCGGAAGGTTACTACTTGCATCTCCTACTACCGGTGACCCGCGCTAAAATCCGTCGGCGACGCAGCCGAACTTGAACGCCTTCAAGTTAACTTGAACGTACAACTCGGACGTTCCTCCAGGTCATTCAAGTTTGCGAATGCAGGGTCCTATCACATTCTCATTTGCTCATGCCCCTGATTACGACTCATGAAGTAGACGTGTTCTGTATATTATTGGAACCACCCAGTCATGTGAATGATCCTTGTACCGAGTCGTACTCATGATTCTTCATCTGCAGCTGATTCGCACGAACAACAATCGATCGTACGTGAGTAACGTCTTTTCAAGTCGAATGGTCAGATCAGATACACGTCCGAGTCCAGGCCCGGGGTCGTCTGATGGCCCTTTCATTATTATATTCGTCCGACGAGCCACTTCTAATCACTCGAGTCATAATGTACCTCAGGCTCGCATCATGGAAGTACGCAAGCGCGCGTATTCTATTTAAAAACTGGCATTTATTTGTAATGTATGAGCTGGGGGTGGGAGGGGAAGCCCAGTTCATTGAAATTATGCTCCACCTTGATAATTATAAGCTCGCGATAGTGGAGTATCGATGACAAGTAGGTCCGGGCTCCGGGAGTAGTAGTGACATCGAATACATAATTGGGCGAGCAGTAATTGCTCATAGGGCGAGCCAGTCAGCGATGCAATTAATTCGGTGACTTGACGTTTATTGGTAGGAGTGCCGAATGTATGTTTTTGGAGTAACGATAAGCAAACCCAAAAGGCAGGCCGAGCGAAGTGCCGTATGTTGACGGCACATGAACTCCGAGTCAGCTGGTCGCACTACACATGTACGTGTCAATTGAAGACTGTTTTGGTAGTAAGTTTCCCAAGCGACGATTATTGTAGGAGTGACTTATGAATGATGGAGCTTGAAGGGTCGCATGGTCTAGGCCCCATGGCGAGTGATTGACGTTATATAGGATCGGAGTGATGGAGTCCCATAGGAGATATTGAGATGCCCTGACGGTGGCGACACTGTTTATGAAAGGAGGGACGTTCCCTCACACATATTAGTGATTGCGGTACATAAAAGAGGGCGGAGGACGTATGAGGGGAAGTCCTTTGGTGAGCTGGATATGGCTGAGCATTTCAGAATATGAAATGATACTTGTTCCGCCCGGATATCAGAGCGACGATGAAGATAGATCATCTGGCTACTCACGGATGGTGGAAGAGAAATGTGCGAGAGCGGAGAGGTAGGTTCCCCTTTGTCATTAGGTTAGTGAGATGAACTCATGGTCGACGTTGGCCTCGGGCGACGATCTATGGACAGTATGAATAGCTGTGCTCATTGAAGCATCGCGTTTGGCCCACCATTTTTTCCATTTTAAATATGTGGTCGATCAGCGATGACTTGCCGACGCCAGGCTATTTAAAAGCACGTCGTCAAAACTGACCCGAGATCGGAGAAAGACAGCTGCCAAATACCTTTCCTATCACCAGAATTCGGAACATTGGGAGTGTCAACCTCAAGGACGGCACGTTATGATCATCCTGACTCACCGAGGACACTTCTGAAATATTTCAGAAGCTGTAGGCCGGAGCTCAAGGTCTGTAGCGGAAGAGGTAGACTGCTCAGTCTGCTAATCCATGACTTATACAATTTCGATGCAAGACGTGGATACTTACTTCAGAAAGGTCGACGAAGATACTTATTTTTTTATGGACTTTGTTGTATCCTAGGCATGTGAGGTTAAGTTCGCAAGTGATTAGAATGAGAATGCGGTTATTCTTGTTTCACCTTGTCTTGCATGACACACGCGGAACAAGACATCTCAGTTGAAAGGAATGTCTTGATGCTCGGTCTTCATCCCAAGCCATGTCTTGCACCGCAAATGTAAAGAGAATGTATCCCCTTGAGAAAGCACCCTACGGCAACAAACACAATAGCGACTCAGGTGAGAACATGTGTTGGGGTCGAGTACTTACGTGGGCTTAGAAAACGTCCGTCGAAACCTCTTTCCTGCTTCGCGTTCGAGTTCAATTGGTGAATACTTGCTGGTCCATACTTCAACAGACTCTATATTCGGTTTCGACTTGCTGGAATCGACGGTGATGCCTATTGGATATATTCAGTGGGGTTGATGGTACTACTTGACGACAGGAATTGAATACCATAAACGTGGAGAGGCCAGGAAACCGTTGAGGCGTGAGGAGTATTGGCCATGCTGATCTGATTTAGGGAAGAGTCTACTTCGAGCTGTTGTGAGTTTATATAGAGGCTGAGGGCAAGTCATGCCAGGTCAGTGCTTCAGCTGCGAGGAAGTGGGTATACAAAACCAGTATCACGGACATACGCAAATCGAGTTTCGTCACCAATCTCCTTTCGAGGTTATCACGGCTATGACAGGGTATGCCAATGGGGAACGTTGCAGCGAAAAAGTCAAATGCCTGATGTACTAGTAAGCCGCTATCATCCAAGTCCGAGTTCAATGCGTGACGAACTTGGTATGGTCATGTCGTGACCGTTCGTGACAATGCACTCAACATTGGGCCATCTGAGATACTGCCAAAAGCAATGATGATGCCACCGTGACTGGGATCCCATGAATGTCCTTCGTACGTTCCTACAATCCCAGTTTCAACTTCACAGGCTTTCAGCTCGGCACTCTCCAAATCTCCACCAAAAGCGACAACCCATCGACCATCCCTTGATACTGCCACTACCCACACCATCCTCTCGCGAACTTGAACATACCGTGACCGCGCTGCTTCAATCTCCTTGCCCGCCTTCAGGTTCCCTTGCCGAGAGGTACAATCATCAGATTCGCTGATCACTCGCTGACCGTCTGGAAAATAGGACATATATTTAATCCATTCTCCATAGCCCTTCAAAATCATTGATGGCGTCAGAATGGATTCCATGGTGGCTACTTTTCCAGATGTAGAAGCTATGACTTACGTCTCTGCCAGTGAAACCGCGAAGTACGAACAACTATTCTTTGGATGCGTTCAACGATGCGAAGGCGAGGTCTCCTGGTGTCGATGTACTCTATGACTGACGCCCCTTCTGGATGGCAGCTGTGCACTGTGCCCTAATTCTATGCAACGCATTTACTTCTCATCGTGTCCCATCTAACAGCCATCAGTATTATTTAACGCGAATTATGAGAAGGCTCTGGAACTTATCAATAACACCTCGCCTTATGCACTGACCGGCTCTGTGAGTCGTACTTAAGGTCTCTGCGATATGCGTTGACTGACAACCTCTTCTCCAGCTTTGCCGCAGACCACAAAACCCTTCTGACTCTACTACGCAACGCTACTGGCAACGTCTATTACCACGAGGAATGCAGCTGGCGCGGTCGTGGGTCAAAAATCCTTTGGAGGGGGACGACCGAGTGGGACTAACGACAAGACCATCTTCTACCGGTTCATTTCGGCGAGAAACATCAAGTAGAACTTCGGCTACTCTCTTATTCCCCATCCTTCCGCCTTCGCTGCTATGGTAGCTCCCTTTCCTCCTGTCTTATCATCTGTTACCCCTTTGGTGGTTAATTAAGCTTTTAGCTTTTCCTTTTCACCTTCAGCTCGTTTCCGTAGGTAAGAAATTATGCGCCTCTTTTTCCTGGCATTCGATAGTCAAGCGTAAAGCATACACTGCACCGTACTACGTAGTACTGGGTCCTTACTACACGTACGACTTGGTTTAATGAATGCTGCTCTCCCATATGTTTCCCATGAGTGTGCAAATATGTTTGACGTCCAGAGCTTGAGCATGGCATTCATTCAGATGCAATTATACAGTACTTGCCATTGTCTACGTAGTACATGGGACTTCTTCACTTGGTTTCAAATCTTTATCAGAATAAAAGGTACCTATCAATGTCATCAGCGATAGAACATTCAGATATATGGCTCTTATGACATACCTCAACATCCTCCATCTCATCCATGAGCATGACTTCAACCAAAAGGTGCTTGGCGCAGTGCAGGGGAATAGGCTTCTTGCTGACGTGCTCTACCAGCCTAGTGAATTTCATAGGCATCCTCTCAGCGCTCTAAATGATTAACACTGGCATGAGCAGTTGCCATGGATTGATCACAGGGCCCATTACGAACCTTCTTATCGGTGAACGAACTCCAGAGCATGCTCACGCCCTAACTAACCATGCTGACATCTAAGTTGTGGTTAGTCTTAAACCAAGCAATGAACTCCTTGAGTGTTGGGTCATTAAGCTTGAACTCCAACCGGTCCCAAAGGGTCCACTCAGTATTTTGGAATTTGTTCTTTGCGACAGCGATGGGCTCTGAAAACCCGAAGAAAGGCAAAGCAAGGTTGATAATTAAACCGTTCATGGAGTCATCTATCTTATTCTTTCCATCTATGATTTATAAAGCGCACGTGTCAGCGGCGCACCCTTCCGGTAAGGATAGCAAACATCTTGCCTTGTAAAGTTCAAGACACACCAAACCGACGACGAGCGCGGTAGTAGTAGCGATGGCGGGAATGATTTTGCCTGTAGTATCTGCTTTGTGGTATGACGACCAGCGACGGTGATGTTGTAGTTCATCGCACGAAGGTTTGACGCAGCGGCGATGAGATCGATGCGATGGTTAGTATCATAATTGCCCTTCTCAAACTCGACAGGAGTGAGACGGTAGCCAGCGAGTGACTGATGGAGGAGGTAGCATCTTGACCAAGTCCGAGGGAGATGTTGTCAGGATCTGAAAGGAATTACTACGCCCTGCAGGTGGAGTGAACAGTCTTAAAATGAGTGAACGTACCAGAAGACGACTGATTGACGGGATCAGGTTTCGGTAATCTGGATCTTCACTCCGCTCCTTGGAGAGAACTTGGGAATGATCACAGAATCTGCAACCCTCTTGAAGACTGCAGGATCGGTCTCTCCTCGGAGGCCGTAATTAGAGGCATGACTCAAAGATTTGCTGCAGCAATGATAAAAGAAAGATGCGTGGGCTAAGGAAAACAATCAGTACTAAAGGTCTAGGCTAGCAACACACTGGGTGACATACATCTGAAGAGTCGAACACAAGCCTGAGTGGGTCTGGCCCGTGCCCGTCGGTCCACTCCAGAACGGCTGGCCCGCGCTGGTGTTGAACATGATCCTTTGGAGGACTGTGGAGAAGCTGGCGGATAGCATTGTTAAACTTTTCCTCGAACTGCAGACGAGCCCAGATAATACATTCCTCGAAAGTCAAGGCTTGTTCAAGTAACCAGATATGAAACAATCTGGGTCAGGCCCGGAGTATTTGAGGGAGCTCTCGAGGTAGTTAGGCTCCGAAAGATATCGATTGACAGATTCCACAAGCTTAACAAACATTGTGTCGAACTCTTGCCAAGCCCACTGTGTTGTTATCAGACCCTGCTAGTCAAGAAAAAACTTAACTTAGAGCGCACCTCAATCAGCGTGTGTGTAATGGCACTCGGGAAGTTTTTGACTGTGCACGACAATGTCCGCTTCTCCAGGGGATCTTGCAAAGACGAGTACGACTTGGTGAGATGGGGAATCACAACTTGGGTATTGACTTTTGTGCCCATGGTACCAGATTCTAGGACTGGTTTTTCATACAAGATGCAACACTGATCCACGTATACACCTACAACAAGTGTTGTCAGATGAAATTCACAGAGAAAAAGAGGAAGCCTTACGTGCAGCAATGTTATCCAATGCATCTATAACACCGTCAATCCCCGAAAAAAAGTCGTCATCGAAGACATCTTTGAAAAAAAATCAAAATGGGGACCATACAAAACTTGAAGGTGATAAGTAGTAACTGACTTTCTGTCGCCTGACCAACAGGATCTTGTCTACAGAGAATATGGTCCTTGAGAGCTGGATTCATGTCTGCAACTGCTACCTGCTGCGACTTCAGACTTAAATTTCCCGAGATCTTTGGCACGAAAGAGGAATTGCCGATTCAGTAAGTTACTCTTCTCGATGATGTCTAGGTCGGTGGTATGAATCGTAGCGTTGGGCCCGGTAGCGAGAACCATCATGCTCCAGTTCTTCAACATTTCACACCCGATTGCTCCTGCACCGACGAGGAACTGACGGTGATTGGCAAGCTTATCCTGTCATACCGGCTACCAAGGGGTTCGCAATCTTGTTCAGTCGGTAGTGTGTTTGGCAACGACTCCAAAGAATCGAAATACAAGTGCTGGAGGATTAGATGGAACTTCGCAGAGCATGCTTTCAGCACTTCTTGTGCCACAAAACCACCAATCACAGCTGCGACGGGCGGTAGTAAATCTCCGGTTGCTTGGTATGCCAGCTCTGCGATAATCTTCTCATCAGCATCAGCATCTAATTTCTTCGCCAAAGCCACCAGGGAAGCAGCATCTTCTGTGTTTCGGGGCCGAGGTAGACACTGGTGTCCGAGTCATGCCTTGAATTGTGATACAGCCTGGAACCCTGCATGGAGAGTAGCAGGCCTATCGAACTTGGCGAAGTCTGTCATGAAGAACTCTGGAGCTGCAACTTGAAGCGACTCTCGCAAGGATTTCTGAAGAGAAAGTGAATTGCAATTGAATGAAACTGGAGTATAACTTACAAACTGGAGGATTTTGGGCATTTTCACCTGGGTAAAGATCCCACCTCGAACATACTCTCCTAGGTCGGGAGTGTCACCGATGGTGAAAGTATCTGGTCCCTTCACTGTGACCTTGCAAGGATTACAACCATTCAGTTCAGTCATGTCCTGCACTTCAGTGAACGTGACAAAATCGCCATCTTCAAGACCGTGTCTTGATTCATCGAGGCATGTTACCAGCCATTCCTTGTCTTGTTTAATGATAGTATAGATACTAGGACGTCGGGGTTATAGTTCGTAAGACTTACTTTTTCCACTGACACAATTATTCCAGTAAGAGCTTGCTCGCCTGTAGGATCCACACAAGTAAATTTTTGAACCAAAGTCATTAAAGACGGAGCTGATCATGATGATCAATAACATAAAAAAAGGAGCCGTAGCCATCACATACCCAAAAAGACCATGGGTCTCCGCTGAGATAAAGTGAACACCATTCTGAATCCTGATGTGTCCAATCGTTGATCTCAACTTGTTTCTCGTAAGAGACGCCACATAAGACTTGAACGGTGGAGATTAATATGTGCGTATGAAATTAGGTGGTTGTAGTGGTGAAAGATGAGATCGCGGTGTAGCTGAATAGTAATATTGGAGGTGCCTGACCGTTTGCGATTGAAAACTTAAACCTACATTGAAGTCGGAGTCGCTGGCACTTCCGAAGCACTGTTGCGCTGTCACTGATAGAAAATGTATGTGACATACTGAGCGTTACCAGAAAGATACGATACTACATGTGAAAAACAGTACAGTGACAGTCACGGTCAAATTACTATGAACAAATGCAAAGTTACCATCTATCGGTGTTGTGCGAGTTCCACAAGACATATCTGGTCGAAATGCAGAGTTGTAGTAATCGTAGTCATCATAAAAACCTCGACGGTCTTTGACTTCATGTTACATTTCGACACAGGTAGGACGAGCCCGCGATACTCCCCCTCCAAAACGAGGCAATGTTGATTCTTTTTGCGCGGATGAGCTGGGCTAAGATCACTGGCGGGAACATGATAGTGCTGTATCTGAGCCCCTGCGCCGTTGGATGTGCAGAATACTGCAACACACCCCTCAGGTGCTGGTCCATTAGCGCCGCAGAAGGGGTCGGGACACGCAGTTGATACGAATCGTTTGCATAACCTGCCCTGCTCAAACCTCGGCGAGACTTTCAACAATGCATGATGCATAAGCAATGTCGAAGAAAACTCCTTCTTCATTAACCAGGATAGTGGGCCTATGATCATAATAATAAAGTAAGTGAACAGTGAGCCGATGCCTTCGTTTTGAAGGTCTCACCGTTGTCTCCATGTTTCTTGGCTCTAGCCTCAATGTTGTCCTGGATGTCGCCCTCGTTAACAGTCCAAGGGTCAGATGCTGATGAGTTGAGATTAGCGGTCCGATTGTCTGTTGCCGGCCCGGAGGGGTTGAGCACTAAGTCGATATCCTCGGGGTTGGTGGTCCAGTGGGACAAGACATTAGAGGACGACAAGCTGGCATTTGTGATAGAACTGGAGGGGACTATTTTTTCGGGTGGGGGGGTTATACTTCTCAGAGGTTGCGCTATCAAATATGATTTTTGCCGCATATCACAGAAAGAAACCAGGTCATTCCCTTCGAGTATCGCACCATTTAACCTCATGCCATAACTGAACCATCGTAAGCAATTGCATTACCACGAATATACTAAGCATTCCACTCACCTGGTAACGACATTGGGGCGTTTGAGTATCATACGCTTCTGTCCATGTATTGCAACGGTACAATCCTCGCTCCCAATATTGTACAGTGTAGCTCGGTAGCCCTTTAGGTTACCCCCAACAATGAATACCTCTTTACCGATAACGTGACTGAATGAGTCCACATTCGCATTGTGCAATTTCATCACAAATCTGATGGGTACGTTGGTCTGTAACAATTTAACAGGTGTTCGAGTTGAGCTGCATTGAACTTACGATTGTGTGGTCACGGGTGGACAGTATTGTCAAGCAAGCCTCTGGAACGTTGACACTTTGTACGACCCCCGTCGCCTCATACTCCGGCCCACGAGCGACACTCACCACATCCCCAGGTCTGACATCATAACCCCTGTCTTTCGTAAATTTGATTGTTGGGGGGAGGCGCATCCGTTGAACCATGACTGCAGGAACTTGAATACTTGGGGGTCCTAAGTTTGTATCGTCACCAGTGGTCAGCATAGGATTCACATCCCGGAACCACAGCATGGTCCCTCCCGAAGGAAACCAGTCTACGACGCCGCATTTCCCTATATGCTCTCCAAAAGGACTTGTATAACATCCCCGATTTGAATATCATCGGGGTCGGGGGGAGGCTCAAAAAATTGCTGAGTTGGCAGCTGTGCTTGTAATGTGTGCTTCAAAGAGCGACGATCCAAATGGTACTTTGAAACTTTGACCTATGCATTAAGTTAGTTTTACAAGATTTGTACTGACACCATGGACCCACCTCTTCCTTCGTAGAGGTTTGACAAATGTGAAATATGTCGTCTGTCATTTGAACAATGTGACCTTCTAAACCTAAGTATATACCCGCTACAACTCTGACAGTATCGCCAACCCAAAACACGCGCTCGACGTCCTGGAGTCGAACTTCTGATTGTATTTTGTCTCCCTCGATGCTGTATTCCAAACGGACAGAACCAAATGTATGGTCTGTCGAGACTACTTCACTGATCTCTGCGCCAAATTCCCCGATGATGACCCTGGCTGAATCGCCCATGCGCAGGAACTCCAGCGAAAACGCCCGCTCAGCGATCTTCATGGAGGGCCTGTCCCATCCAGAGTCAATATGCAGTCGAATTTCGTCAGGATGAGGGGTGTTGACAACATTTAAGAGATCGTGGTGAAAACTCTTTAGTAACAGCCCCTTGTAATACTCTTCTCCTTTATACGAACATCCCACAACTTCCCCATCACGAATGATATCAGATACTGCATTGCCAGCCGGAAGGCGAGATCGGTCCAGCAATGCCACAGACCCCTTAGGCATAGGATAGGGAAAGTCCCGTAAAGCAACTAAGACCCAGACAAGAGGGTGACCAGACGGCAACTCGTTTGCCGACTTCAAATCTGTGACGTAGGCCATGGCGTCCTTGTACTTGCCACATATGATCCTTACCCACCCTGGACTGGACAGTTGGGTTCGACTATCGCACGTTCTTCGTCCGAGATCCGAAAATAATCTTTCACGGAAAGTTTGTGTGATATCGGGAGTGATGATGCGATGGCCCGGGGACTCTCTGAGACTACGTAAAGTTGTCCCGGTACCCAGGGGGACACGATAACGGAGAATTTTTTACTTCGAAGGTGTTCTGCGACGTAGTCCGTGACAGTTCCTACCAAATAATGAGTTAGATGCTACGTGATTTAGATTAAACGTACTGTGAACGTTAAGCAAATACATCCTGTTGTCAATCGTGTCGGAGGACCAGGCAGCTCTGTAAGGAATGCGTCCGAGCCTTCCTGGTGGCTTGGAAGCGCAAGCTTGAGCGTCGTATGCATTGAAGATCTCATCGATCTTCTTAGACAACGTATGTTTAGCTGACTGTCCCGGCAAGGTTGTGACTTTTCGTGGACGCGGAGGGAGGTCATACTCATCCCCCTCTTCTTCTTCTTCTTCTTCTTCCTCCTCATCATCGTCACCCTCTCCTGCTTCCCTGTCGATGAAAATACAATGTTTCACCTACATCTCCTTAGTGTAAGCTCATCGAAGTGAATGTTTCACTTACTTGTTTGCGCTTCGATGCAAATGTAGCTACGAGCGTCGAACTCGATACGGAGGGCTCGGGTATGTACCTTCTTTTTAAGGCCATCAAATTATTCATAGCTTCGTAGTCGTCGCCGTCACCAGAGAATACCGCAAGTTTGGCTTCTCTCCAGTCATCCTCGCGGTATCAATCGCCGAGGTATGATATTAATCCCTCTTCCGCCTGTCCATAGGATAATTCGGACTTGAGGTATCGCTCTAGGAAAGACCACGTCCCTGCATCCTCAAGTGGGGATGGCGCATGGCACGTCCCTGTCACGATTATGTGCATGAGGAATAACTGCGACGAGTATCATCATCACTCACCATTCGAGTCATTCCTTATGCGCTTCGAGGGCAGTTCATCAATCGGTAGTGCCGCGCGTTTGCCAGTCCGACTCGGAGTCATTACTAGCCTGAGTATTGCCGGGCTTTGCCTGTAACTAGTATAGTAGTCACGGTTGGCACGTACTAGTAGCCTGAGTCGAAGTGAACGTTAATTTCGGTTTGCATAGGTAAAAGCCTCATCGTAACGTACTAATAGTAGTGTTTATTCAAGTTGGTATGCCAAGTTTACTTACTGGAAGTCGATCCCGGTGTAGTTAGCACGGCTTTGATATATCGTATTGAGGCAGTGATCAGTGAGCAGAAAGAAGACTGCAAATGTACAGTGATTGGTATTTATAGTGAATGACTAATTTGGAACCACTACCGTGCTCGGACTAATTTGAAGACTCATTGGAGTTACTAATACTAGACAATGAGAAATTCGATGATGATTGTGCCAGCCTGAGACTCCTCGGACACCAGCCTGCCAGTGGCGAGTGTGGTGGGTGACTTCTGTGCGCAAACACCTTTCTTTTGTACTACTACCGTGGTGACCATAGTCAATTCTTGAAGTGCCACCGTGGTGCGTGATGCCGCGGTTGCTGAAATTCTCAAGCTTATGCTGTGACTGGGAACTAACTTGAACTTGAATTTTCGGAATTGACTCGGAAGTCCCATTAATAGTATGCACTCACGACTATGACAAACTTCGGCACAGGTCGTGTAAGTGTGACCGACACCATAATACACCGCTGCCTTTGCTAAAGGCCAAATCGCACGAATCAATATCGATATTGAAATTAGTAGCTAAACTACATATGTATGAGGAGGCGGGAAAAACCAACACTATTGATGACATAGCGGTTGATATAGTGAATGACTCTACGTTCAGACCCAGCCGGCAAATGCCGCGTGAATCTGAGTTTGAATATAATCATTCACTATATCAGGACGTCTTTTCTCTAAGTGAACCCCTTTCCAGCTACCACGTCCCCGACTTGCATTGTTATCGCAGATCCACCCAAAAACCATCATCCTCAGGCATACCTTCACAATTGATTGATGATGGTATCATTGTTACTCAAAGTCTGTCGTCCTTTCGGCAAAATTTGTGTATGTCTTTTCTGTTTCTCTGTGTCCTTGTTTTATCGACGAACTTCATTTTCAGATTGCCTGCTAGCGCTGACTTGGGCGTAGCTCGTGTCTGTCTGCTTTGTTGCGAGAGTTTTCGCTGGTCTCAGTACAAGAGAAAAAACTGATGGTGAGCCGAACTCAGCTTTTTCTCGACCTCATTCTAACGAGGCTCTGCCTGGCATGAAATTTGCAATGGAACAGGTATAACCATTCGGCGGTTGTGTTTTTCGAAGGGACTGACGAAGACCTGAGGCTGGATCAGTACAGAAATGAGGTTGGCGAGTCAGTGTGCTAGGGATAGGGCATCCGGTGAGTGTCGTAGATGAGGAGTCTCTCATACTGATTGAAGGAAGGGGTGTGCAGCGTATCATAATATCTTTTTGGAAGAGGCTGCCAATGCCTCTCAAACATGTTCATTTGCCTGACCCAGCCGGTACTCACAAGGATGTGTTTTCGGTAGGGAATGTCCACGGGAATTCATCCATGACTGTTGGCGTCGGACTTCGAGACTTCGAGCTGCGTCGCTATGTGTGCCACCTCGGCATACTCTGATCTCAGCGTGTTGCCGTGACTCAGAAATAAAATAAAATAGACAACCTCAATTAGAACATATCTCATTTCTAACTGCCTGGGACTCGTATATTATTTGTGAAAAAAAATAGAAAGGCACAAAATAAAATGGAACTAAGTGGGGTTAATCGCTATAATGCCGATGAGTGTACTACTACTGGTACCTGCGCACGAGCTTACATCATGCGCACCAGTATTGTAGCACGGGGATTCAATTTCCCTCACAGCATCGATGGCGCTAGGATGGCGAGATTTTTTTATCGATGGCGCTTGATTGGCAAGATTTTTTATTATTACGCTATCGATGGCACTCGGATGACAAGTCGTTTTCGTGACACTTTGAATTGATATATAAAGTGTCTCATTTCCTATGGCATTTAGACTACTACCACATCGTACAGCTTAGTATGACTATGGGTAACGATGAGAATACTCCCTCTGTTGACGAAGCATCACGCAAGCGCAGTGGTTCGGCGCTTCATATGGGTCCGCGTAAAAAGGTGTGAGTGGTTCAAGTTGCACTCTTGCTAGTGCGTTCCTGAATTTTCCTGAGCAGGACTTCATCAAATCCCCTTGTTCTGCACGGTCGACATTTTGGTCGTACTGTTTTTGCATTATGTAACTATCCTGCTCTCTTGACTGCAGGTATACTCCGGCTCGAAGAATTGCAGGACTCTCCCCTGGAGGATTTTCCAGCTGAGTGAGTTCAGTTGCGTCTATTAGTAGCCGCCGCAAGTATTCTCACCCTACCGCTGACGTCAGTGTTCGACGGGAACACAGGGTATTCATAGAGTTACTAGATTCGTATCCTGGTCTGATGGATCGTCTAACAAACGGCGAGGAGGAGGATATTATTTATGTGGGAGAAATGGTAAGTTTTGTATGTTGGAAGTTCATCATACTCACCTTTTGCAGCTGGGTAAAGGGGCTTCTGGTGCACGAGGAGACGATACTAAAACCCTCAAAGCTGCTGTCCTCGAATGGCTTGTGCCCAGAGGACAGGCAGTCATACCACCTCTCTCGCGAAATATCAAGTCCGACCGGGGGTTTAATCATGAGGTTACTGGTGCGTTACTCTGTCCCGCAGGCCTCGACTGGTTGAATGCAGAGTAAGTCTCAAATCATATCTTCCCTTAATCTAAATATCATGACGCTACCCAGAACTAAGCAGAGTCTTAAGAGCGGTGAAACCGCAGTTCGTGGTGATCAGTGGCCTATTTTCTTATATTCTGGCTATGTTTACGATTCCGAAGATCCATGGAAGGGATTATTAAGAAGTGAGATACTCGTCTTTGTAAGTTAATTCTACGATAAAGTTCTTACCTTTAACAATTACATTCGACAGGGTTTCAAACATGTATTTACATCTCCCAGCTCAGTGGATAAGGAACCCAAAGCTACGCGCTCCGGCAACGCGTACCTCCATGGCATGAAGAGCGTGACAAAAGGTTCCCTTGCATATATTGCGACGCAGGCGCGTATGAAATCTGATCCTTCGTTCGTCTCGTGGCTGATTATTCCTTCAGATTCGGTTTTCGTTAAGTTCCTCGTCTGTATTCTCACGGACAGACACAGTCACAGATTCCGAAAATTTCTACCATAGTATTCTCGACCTGTTGGAAGATCCTGACGAAAGTGAAGAAGTATGTGACCTGATGATGTGGTGGACTCGGTTCGTAATCATGCATTATATCTCGAGCTCTAAGTTAATATATTTTACAGTCGGGTGTTCCCTAATTCTTCCTCTTCACAACGCAGTGTCAGCAAAAACAGCGCGCTGTCAAAAATCCGGGAAAGACGTGCTGCCCTTCGAGAACGGACTATTGCTGACGTTCATTAGTCCATTGTATGTCGTAGCTGTATTGCTGACGTTCATTAGTCCATTGTATTTCGTAGCTGTACTGCGCTGTAATGCCTGTGAATCCTAGTAATGCAATCAAAGAATTTTCCATAATGTATAATGCAGCACCATGAGCTAGTAATAATAGCATGGGAACCCCCCTACCCAGAGAGGGTTGTGATTATGGGTGACCAAAATATTGCCAAGTTGCTTTAGTCTGCCAACTCATTGTTGTGCCCTGTCACACTGTCAATGATTGTAGATCTCACCACTGTAGTCTACCTATATAAAGTCAGATGTATTAGTTGGGATGCCAGCAGCTCGTTAACACCAGGCAACCCATTGTTGTGCCCTGTCACACCGTCAATGATTGTAGATTCTGCCACTGTAGTCTACCTATATAAAGTCAGATGTATTAGTTGGGATGCCAGCAGCTTGCTAACATCAGGCGACCCATTATTATCCCCTGTCACACTGTCAATGATTGTGGATCCCACCACTGTAGTCTACCTATATAAAGCTAGGTGTGTTAGGTGGATTTGATAACAGCTTAACAGTGTGTTGATAGATTCTAATAGGTCTAACAATATTGTAGCTTTGGCAGATTCTGCCAATGTAGTCTACCTATCTATTCCTTTATTATTTGGTCTGCAATTATGATATATATTTTCTATATTAGGTATTAGGTAAAGTTAGTTAAATCTTTGTCATACAGAAGTCAGATGCCTGATGCACCAGCTTTCACGCCAATGCCACCATCCACGACGCCAATGCCACCATCCACGATGCCGACACCACCATCCTCGACCGTGCCTCCACTCCTCCTTCTTGTGCCATCCACATATGTTCGAGTCATGTCAGCATTCGCTGACATGTGCTGGACATATGTGCTAAGCACTGGTGGTGATACCTATGGTACCCGCGGGTAAACCCTGCACGAGTGCGGGTACGGGTCTGAGCTTGTTGTACCCGCCGAAAACCCGTACCCGTCAGAGCGGGTATGGGTTTTTGCCGGGTGCGGGTGCGGGTCAGGTCCCCGACACCCCAGGGTATACCCGTGCGGATCCCTACTGGTGCTCCTTCAATTCCATTAATCTGCCGGTTATGTGGGAGGAGATATGGAACTTTTGCGTAGATTCGTTATCTGGTAAGGGATTCTGTGGGCTAGTGAGCATTCAGTAGTATCAAGGTTTTCAGATGACTTACTGTGATGCTCGTGTAACGGTGCGGACCCCAACCACGTGCTACATGATCACGATCAGGGTGTTTGAACTGGGTAATAGGTGTGGGGCGCTTGGACTGAGTACACTTTGATTTACTAGTATATTATGTTAGTGGCAATTATTGACAGTGAGCAGCATGGCTCTGAAAGGAGACCTACTGCGTCCGGGGCATCCGACCGAGAATGTTGTGGTCAATATTTGAGGATAAGATACATGGGAGGGAATGAGAGCCTGAACCTAAGAAGGGAACAACAGATTTTTCTCACCTTCGCCAGCTCGCATGGTTTACGCTTAGCAGCCTTAGCTCCACCTGATGTTCCCACGTACCTGAAGGCCTGAGGCGTAAAGCAAAAAGTACCACAGCAGGGTTAGAAATATTTAAGATAGGTTTTAATGTTATCCGGAATGCAAAGAACATTTTTGAAATTTAAACTAACATATATATGGGCACATAACTTCAAATTTTGTCAGTGTTTTGTGCAAAATCCAAAATATAAAGCTTTGGCAGCTATTTTTGCACTGACCATACGTCACCGAAAATAAGAAATATTGTCAGATTTTGAGCGTGTGCTTGAATTTAAAGTTTTATTATGACGTTCAACTTGGGACAATTACTTGAAGTTTGGTCCATGGTCACTATGTTAAGTTGTATCAAACAATTAGACCCTGCCAAAAATATCAAGTTCACGGCGGCAACAAAATGCGATGACGAAACTTCAAGTTTTGTCTTCAGATTAAATATATCACCCAATCATCGCCCGCCCATCGCCCGCTCACCCGCCTGCAAAAATGCAAGAGATTAAATAAATATATTCATATTGAAAGCTATAACAATGCAAGTTATAGATGTTGGCTAGGTAGTTTCAGTCATGAGATAAGGATAGGATCACAGCGTGACGGTCAGAAACCCTCCATCGCGCAAAGTGACTAATGACCCATGACACCTTGGCATTTTCAAGGCGGGGTTCGAAGTCTGTCAAGTACAATTTCGCTGGAAAATAAGGGTATATTGAGAAGGGATCAACGGTATGGTTATCTAGTGGGATATGTCACTGTACAGCAAACAATAACTCTCCTGTCAGCGTACTGTAAATGTATTTGATACTGGTGGCGACAGGGGTTAACGTCTGATCTCTGCAAGGATAGAAGAAAATCTGGCTGTTGCCCAAGTGTGTAGACGCCTTACTGTAGATGACACCGTCGAACTTGAGTGTAGCACGTAATACTGCCATTCGTCGTCTGATGAGGGTATACAGGTCTTCAGGCACCGCACTAGTTGCTGCACAGTCGGCAACCTTGATGGCATCATTCATAGGATCTTTGGCAAGCTCATGGATAGAACTCATAGCGCTCTTATTGAATACTCGATCAAACAGGACCCCACACTCTTGAATAGCAGGTGGACAGTCTGGTCGGGCGAGCCAACGGCGAAGTCTTGCAGCTTTGATATAGGAAAGAAGCATTGTGTTTTCAAGCTCCCCTAACAGGATTAAGTCTAACTTTCTCGTTCATGCTTTGAAAGGACGTACCAAATTTGTGATTGATAGGAATGCGTTGTATAATTCCAATTAAACGTTCGAAAGGAAAAGACCACCACGAGTGAGCAGGCCCAAATAGGAGCGGATAATCATATATATGGAATGATGCATGGTGATTCGGTCGCACAGAGAAGGTGTGATGAATTGTCTGTAACTTTCCGACATAAGCAGCGATATGTGAGCAATAGGCTTGAGCCCTTCTTGGTGTCATTGTTCGTGCACAAGCAAGATACACTGCACCGACTAATTCCATAGTGTGATCGAGGATAGTTTTGAGGCGAACAGCAAGTTCGTCAGAAGAATGCGATGTACCAGCTCCCCACAAGCTCATGAGGGCGATGAGAAGATAGATTGTGATAAGGGATCACCACTCATCAGCCTTAATTGTCCCAGCAGATGCCTCACCAAAATTCGTGGGGATGGAACCAAGCCAAGTGGGGGTGGTCGTATCATGGATGACGTTATGCATTTGATCAAGTACTTCTGCTGTCTCGAACGAACGAACTTTTTGAGGGGCCGCTAGAGGTTGTCCGCGATGCTGTGAAGTGCGTGTTAGAGAATTTGACGGCAAGAAACATCACAGCAAAGAGCTTACCCAATTAACAAGAGCCTTGATGTAGTCAATCTTCAGTGTTCTGCCAACTTTCTGGGGCATACAATGTAAAGAATTGCAGGCAAATCTCAACGGTCCGGAATTTTTATGAGACAGAGTACTTTTTAGCTTGTCAAAGCGTTCCTCCAGTTGATTATTGTCGCCAGAACCTACATGAGATGCGAGGAGGGTGCGAATCGCAGATATCTGTGTTACCTCTTTGGCTGTCATTGTCCCGGGAGGTATTTCGCCAAAGTCACATGCAAATGCCGGGGAGGGTGATGTCGATGTGGTCGACTCTGAAGTTAAACCAAGAAGATGTCAGGTGTGGTGTTGGACCAAGCCTTCCAATATGCAGTGCATCAGATCAACGACAAGTTGCCGGGAGGGGTCCCAGTATGGTAAGCGCCAGAGTTTGGAATAGCATACACCATGAGCCTTGAACAGTCTTTCACGTTCAGAGGATGTAGCAGCGTCTCTCCACTGCTCAGCATATTCTCGCAATTTTACTTTGTTGTGAGGTTCCCACTTCTCGAAGTCAACTCTTCCACAGGTAGACTTATGATAACAATTGCACGCACTGCAATAGAAGTGACTGCCAACTCCAGCCATAGAAGCAATATGACGAATGGTGGGGAGGTCACAGACAACAGGGGCGACGGCGCTACAAGTAAGCCAGCCATGGGGGTAACAAGCCGTTTTGGAGAACTTGATACCACGCTGCCATGCATCTACCAAATCATTGATGAGGGGTCAGATGTAGTGGTTGAGGTTCTCCAGTGACGGCTGCTTCGGACCTGGGATGATACTCGCAACATACATATTCTCTGGCTTGTATCTGATATCCACTGGTAAATTTAAGCATGCCATAGAGATAATTCCGCATGATGTACTGGCACCGCGGATATCCAGACCTTCCGGATTGAAAAAATCCACATGAAGAGCGAAGACATAGTGTCCCTCCTCTCCTCTGTCAACAAAAAGTGAACCTGGATGAGGACCATTGAACTGATGGAGAAATTGAGCTTCAAAGGGGGTTTTGACGAAGGACGGATGGGGGGAATCGATGGAGTCCATCAGATTGTCGCATGCCTGATCCATCACGGCCTCAATATCTCTACGAGAGAGGAGACTGAACAGATAATCCTTGAAATCGTGGTACATGAAGGTCCTCCTGGGTCGGAAATTTCCATCAGCACCAACAAGCAAAGCCTCGCCACATTCAGTTGTGAGTGTAGGATGATGAGTGCACCGTTCAGGATATACTGGAGTCGTTGAGCCTGGTGCATAAGTTGGTGGATAGGTGCAATGGCAACTGCAGACAGCATACGGGACAATCTTTCCCTTGAGATGGAATCTGGCCTCGGCGCTTTCTGAGGTCATTGGGATCTTGTCAGAAAAAGATAAACGGGCCTTATAATACCGCCAGCTGAGAAGGCTGGTCACGTGCATTACAAGGGGCCTTGTAAGTGCCATTTAAGGACGTCGGCGCAACATAAAGGCCTTGAAAGGCCCGAAATGCTGCTGGCTTACAAGATTGATCACGTGGCATTATCAGAGTCTTACCGTTGTTGCCTCACGTTCTCCACTCTGCACATACCTGTACATACTACACATTGTCCATACTGTCAAATACATGGCGCCAAACCGCGCAAGCAGAAGTAAGTACAACTATAGCCAAAAAACGCTGACTAGTGGATCAAAATGTCCCCACTGCAGCGATATGTTCAAATCCAAGGGCTACAAACGCCATGAATCTACGTGCAGGATGCGTGATGCGCAGGGACAAGAGGAATTCAATCGAGAGTACGATAGAGACAAACGAAGAGGTGAGTCGTTTTGTTCCCTTATTATAATGGATCGAAAGCTTATTATCCACACATAATCATAATCATTGACATCGGTCACAATGAAAATAGCCCGCCATCTAGCTCGACGAGGTGTAGCAGCCTCGACTGTAACAGCAGTAGCAGGCCCATCGCACACGGTCGAAGACGACACAACCCCAGGACAAAGTGCGTTATCACTTGCTTACCAGTTTAATCACGCTGCTGACACTTCGATGATCTTTCAACTGCACCTATAGTCAGTCTCTCATTGGATGATCACAACGTTATAGACTTTGACCCTGGAAATGAGGTCCTTCCCAGCCCAGGTATGTGCTTACATGTTTCGTTCTCGTTCATCATCTGATTAATGATATTTTATGTAACAGTCTTATCGGATGCGAGCATGACCAGCAACGTCCAACCTCAGCCTGCACCCGTTGATCAGCCTTGCGAATTCAAAACCGAATTTCACCCTCGCAGTGGCCGTCAAGCACTCTACCAATGCTTTGAGGAGTTTGGCATCGCTCCTGAGACGCAAGCACTTCCTGCAGATGAAGAACCGTGGCGTCCGTTCCGGTCACGCGGAGATTTCGAATTTTCTGAAATCGCTCTTGATGCTGCTCTCAACAAACACCAGATTGACAGGCTACTTAGCCTCATCGCCCGCATATCGCAGGGTCAAACTCAAATCACGCTGACAAATGAGACCGATCTGCGCAAGGCATTAGACAATGCTGCGAGCGAGCTGACGCCAGTGTGTGCCTTTCCTTCGTTCTCGAGATGCTCATTTCTAACCGTTTAGATTCTTGTATATTAGTTCACAAAACATGAAATCAAGGTTCCCTACAAGAAAGAAGAACGGGTCTACGAGGTGCATGCACGTCCTTTATGGGACTGGGCCCTCGATCTGTTGGATAACCCATTGCTAGCACCCCATTTTGTTTGGGACGCGCAACGCGTCTACAAACATAATGGCATGGACTTTGAACATTTCTTCAACGAACCGTGGACTGGTCACCGGTGGTGGGATATCCAAGTATGTTGTTATGTTTGATACTCACATGTATATACAATAACTATGTTTATGCTATCAGTCTCGTCTTCTGCCGGATCTGAATGCCGTCCCCTTTTGTTTTATATTATACGCGGACAAGACTAGGCTCTCCTCACATGGCACCGTTAAAGGGTACCCAGTCGTGGCGCGCTGCGCAAATCTACCTGTTGAGATTCGAAATGGTGAAGGGCTCGGTGGCGGTCAGGTGGTTACCAATTGTGAGTCCCAATGACTTCATCTGTATATATTACTACTATTACTGTAGGTTCCTGAAGATGCATCCAAAGAGGGGAAACACGGATATACTACCCTAAAGCGTGTCGTGTGGCACGAGTCATTCCTCAAGCTTCTTGTTCACCTTGACCAGTACTCGAAGACTGGGTATTCATATTCGTGTTACGACAAGATCATGCGCTGGTTGTTTCCTGTTATACTGATACTTTCGGGAGACTATGAGGAACAGTAAGTGCGCCATATGTTGATATGCGCGGCCCTCACTTCTGTTTTTAGATGCATGATGTCTCTCATACGTGGTTTACAGTGCAAGTGCCCTTGCCCAGTCTGTCTTGTCCCTCTTGACGAGCTTCACGACTTGTCCAAGACCTTCCCAATCAGGTCTATGAAAGACGCACAGGTCGCGCTCGACATTTACAGACAGAACAGAACTGAAGGTGAAGAAGTTCTGAAAGGGCTAGGATTGCGTCCCGTCGCAGTAAGTTAATCTTTCTCTTAATCTTCTCAACTGATAAATTTTCAGAACGCCCTGTGGCTCATCGAGAATTCCGACCCTCACGAGGCATTAAGCCTGGACGACTTGCATACCTTGCATGGTGGCACAGGGGGGGTACATTTACTCAGAGAACTGAAGATGGTCCTCGCTGACCTTGGACACAAGGCCCAGGACGATTTCAAGCAACAGTACGTCTTTTTTACCATGATTGACATCACTAAACCTCTTGCATCCAGGGTTGCTGACTTCCCTCGATGGCGTGCTCTCACCCATTTCACCACCGTCATCCATATCACCTTTAGCAATGGCAACAAGAGGTGGGACTTAGTCAAGATATGTACATACGCCCATCAACATCAATTTCTCGGCTGATCGTTACAAAGCAAGCATTTTATGCAGCGCTCAGTGTTTTAAAATGCCAAGTCAGTCCAGAAGGCTACCGCCTTCTTCGAGTCATTCGCAGTTACCTGCGGTTGGATAGTTTGATCGGGCTCGATGTGCATACAGAGCGGACACTTGCGATGATAGACGCCGAATTCCTCGTCTATGATACTGCACTCAAGGTAATGTTTTTTCTTTCTTTTCATTAAATTATTGTTGGTACTGACACAATGCTAGGACTACATTGAATATGCCACTACGACATCATCCATTGAGGGCATCAAGACAGACTGGAACTTTCCAAAGACGCATCTTTGGAAACACGCACGACGCGACATTGAATCGAAAGGTGTGGCGCGTAACTACAGCACACGCCCAAATGAGAAGCTCCATGGCCCGCTAAAATCGGCCTATCTTTCTCAGTCGAATGGGAAAGATGTTGCTAAACAGGTATGTGCACTCATCTGTTCGTGTTATCTTGTTGCTAACAGGTTGTATATACTTGTAGATCCTTCGTATTGATCATCATAAATGTGCAGCCCTGCTGTTGCGAGGACGTCTGGATACCCTCGACGAACAATGCCGCCTACAGGCTTTAGGTGATGCTGGGCTTGATGACGAGGACCACGACCACATCAATTTGGATGGACATTTCAAGCTCGGCTCTCCTCAAAGCCGCGCTGATACTATTCAGGATATCGAAAACAGGCTCAGTGCTCAAGATTCAGCGTTTCAAGGCTTCCGCAAGAAACTTGCTAATTTCATCAACACGTCATTACCTACTTATGGATACCAGTTGACAAGATGGACCATTATTCCAACTGATTTCCAGGTATACTATTGATTGATTATCTTTTGTTATTTCACGCTAACTGGCATATTATTCAGATTCGTGAATATTGCTACCTCAAGCTCAATTATGAAAGTACCGTCAACTGGAGACAGTCGACAGATCACCTCCGATCCAATCCTTCTTTCCATGGGTCTCCACGCTTCGATTGCGCACTCATACAGCTTACTGCAGAGAGGACCGTCTTTGTTAAGATTATATTTATGTTCAAATGCGAAGTTCCGGATATTGGCGCCTTCCAATTCGCACTTGTTCAGCCATACACCGCTGGCATTCCTGGTGGCTCTCGCAGGATCGACCAAGATTTGAGGCTCACTCGGGTCAAAGCTGTTCCCAGAAAAGATTCAATTTTTGTACCCCTCAAGTCCTTCATCCGAGGAGCTGTTTTGGCCTGTGATCCAGAGCACCAAGACGAGTTTTTGGTTGTCGAGCATATTGATAGTGACATGTTCCTGCGCATGGAGGCACGGGCATGTTGATGAGCCTTTCAGGTAAGTAGTACTTGATGTTTGCGTCCATTCAAATCCTGACAAATTACGCTTAGGGAGTTCGAAGACATGGTCAAGATAGATTTCATAGGTCACCAAGGACCTTACCCGACTTATATCCTTCCCTCATCCTCAAAGCCAACCCCTCCCCCTACCACAAATCTCTTCCTGCCTCCTCCAGTCACACTGGCGCTGGCGCCCACGCCTTCATATGGCCATCGCTATCCTTTGCCCTCAAAGCCCAATTTCCCTCCGCCAAATTCTTCTTACATTAGAGTAGGCGGTCAATGTGAATCTGCTGACGCTTAGGGAGTTCAAAGACATGGTCAAGAAGGATTTCGCAGGTCAAGGACCTTACCCGACTTATATCCTTCCCCTCCTCCTACCTACCTCCTCCAGCCGCATTGGCGCCCACACCCATCATTATCATTCACCTCCAAAACCCGCTTTCCCTCCACCAAAACCCTCCTACATTGGAGTGGGCAGTCAATGTGGATCCGGTAACGCTCAGGGAGTTCGAAGACATGGTCAAGAAGGATTTCGCAGGTCAAGGACCTTACCCGACTTATATCTTCTCCTCCTACCATAAATCTCTTCCTGCCTCCTCCAGCCACGCTGGTGCCCGCACCTTTCTCACCTATCGCTTGGCAACACTCAATGGGACGGCCTGCAGGTAATGTAGCCATCAGTTCATCACGTTTCATTACTAATATCAACACTCGTGCAGCTACTATAACACTAATATATCTTCCGCGAGGCTTGCCGGTGCTCTGCCTTCGAAGCGGACCCTTTTGAATCTGCCTTACTACCACGGACTATGTACTAATTTGATCTAGAAGGGCCTCATGCCTAGGTGAGTTTAGTCACTACACTTCAGTATTGTGTCATAATAACGACTTACCATCACTCTAGACAGCGCCACATCGATAGCGGAGACAGAACTGTCTCATTATAAGCACCTTCAGGTAAGTTGCTACTTGCGTACCATCACCCATCCTCACCAGCTTGTTACTGTCAGTTTCGAAGAGATGCCTGACGGAAACTCTGATTCCGGCGAGGACTTTGAAGCCGAGCTCGATGCTGTCAGCGATGCCGAAACTTCAGATGCTGAAAACTCCAGTGACGATGATCTGGACATATTAAGGACGGTTCTGTCTGTTCCTCAGCCTGATGCACCAATGCACGAAGTTCGCAAGGTATTTGATCATTCTGTTATTCTCTCGTCGTACTAACATAATCCTGTACATACAGGCTCTCGAAACCGCTCAACAAGCGTACAATACGCTACGAGTAGAGTTTCGAGCTCTTAAGAAAGACTACCTCACACTTTCAGCTACCGTTCCCGCCCGCAGCTGTAATCGCACCCTCAAGAAGACATCTGTGCTCGATACCAAGATCACCACCCAAGGGAAGACATTTGCACTATTCTACCATTTCTGGGTTATCCCCGGTGTGTTCCCAACAACTCCTCAGCCCGATGTCGACCCACGTAGTCCTACGCGTTGGAGTTCACCTGAGGCCAAGCTCAATGGCGCTATGGCAGAGTTGTATCGGTGTGTACCCAAGGATCTCCACAAGTCTATGGAGAAATATACACCGTTTGATTCTCTGGTACGTACTTTCATGTTTTATTGATATAACTTAATTATATGCTTATTCTTACTAGTTTTGCGCTGCAGTCAGCGCAGAGCGTTCCAACATTGTACATGCCATCAAAGGCTGTGCAGGCATTATTTTCTCGATGCTTAAACTTGATCCATCGCTCTTCGCATCCCAGACAGACATCAGAAAGCGGGACAACAAGGATCTCCTCGATTTGCTGAAGAGAAATGGCGAAGGAGATTATATTCGGTTGGCACCTGTTCTATTTGCGAGACCTGACGCAATGACAGCCGATGAGTTTCTTAAGAGTCCAGTCCTCGTCAAAGTAAGTATCAATTCAGTTATTGTATAATACAACATACTAACAACTCGCTAGATTGTTCGCGTCGAGATGTATGGGAAGAAGATTCTTTCTGGGAAAGTCGAAGGTCAGAAGGCCAGGGGGCAACGTTGCAACGCGCAGTGTGTAACCGAAGGACTGATCGCGGGTGCTGCTGTTATGGTGAGTACCCTTTCATTCGTTTCATAAGTTTTCATTGACAATTCCAGGCACGTTTTTTGTTAACGCACGATCCTGAATTCACAGCAATCGGTGCGGAGACCAAGATAAACTACCAAGCCGACTACGATTTCTACTTAGAGCGCCTGTTCAAGCGCACACCATGGGCCTGTAGCGTCATGGACTATTTCAATAAGGAAGTTTTCAATGTCACCAGCCAGTCTCGTGTACCATTGGCTAACGACTCTCCCATCGTCTCTCCTCCTCGAACATGGGAAGATGATCTCCTTGATGAGCTCGACGCTCCTACTCAGGCTTCGACTCTTACCTCTTCACCTACCGCTAACTCGGCAACAGTTGATGTCATCTCCAACTATCAGACTTCCATGTCCATCAACCGAGGGTCCGTGTCCACGTCTGCTCAGCTGCAACTAGGTGTCAGCCAGTTGTCACTGGGTAACGAGTCACCTGCATCAGTGACCCATAGCACATCATCTCATCAACCTCAAATGCAAGCTACTGAGTCACCTTTCATACCCCAGCCCGAGAAAACTATCCGCGTCACCCGTTGACCTGCACCAAACTGGTTCGGTGCATGGATGACTGATACTCTCCTATGAGCCCTATGCCCTATGAAATCATTTTCTCTATGATCTGAAGTCAGACTGAGGCTAAGGGAATATTTTTCGTTTTTACGAGTTTGCATGCGAGCAGACTGAATATTTTAGTACATTTAATTCGGCAATGAGTTCTGCTTAGTCAGCCATGGTGATGACCCAGACAAAACTCCCACGCATGTCAGGTGACTGTGAAAAATATTTCCCACATATGTTGTCCTGGAAAAACATTCGTAAAACCCTAAATACTAGGCTCACGTCATTTTCACCCTTCAAACAAAGCAAAGAAATGACAGACACACAAAGGATTCACATCATGTGACATTTCTTACTCTTTTTCTGGACTTGTCATCAGGAGTTGGATAGGTCACATGACTAGCAACAAGCCAGGATGACTTAGCAAAATACCCAATGACTCATTATGACTCACTCTGAATATATGACTCACTATGACTCACTCTGAATATATGACTCACTATGACTAGAAATGACTTTGAACTGACTCACTATGACTCACCCTGAATATATGACTCATTATGACTCATTATGACTCTTTACGACTCCTTTTGACTTTTGATGACTCTTGAGTATACTAGTAGCACAGCCACATTTATTGTGTATATAAAGACCCCAGTTTCTGAAATAATACCAAGCAACTTTTAGTGGGAGTTTTCAGCCCATCTAACATTAAGTTGTGAGTAAGGTGTGATAAGTGTCAGCATCAGTGTCAAGAACTGTTCAAGACTGAGAGGAACATTCTCAAGAGACAGTAATACTGCAAGCTCATCATACTAAACGACTAGCTGTGAGCTCACTGTGTGCAACAACCAGCAAGCAAGGTACAGCCACAGTTTTATTCAAATTTCTATTTTCTTTTTCTTTTCTTTTCTCTTCTGTTTTACTTTCACCAGCCTTTGGTGTTCTTTTTCCAAAAAGCATATTCCAAAATATTCGTGTTGTCTCTACGTCCACCTAAGACTCAGAGTAGCTTAGTGGGGAGACTTAAGGGATTGATAGTGAAGCTTGACCTCACTCATCTGAGTAGTGATACTGAGCCAAGGTTTTCTGTGCCTGCTAGGCTTTAGCTGTTGAAGAGGGGACTTGGTAGTAAATCCAAGGACGTCCGTTCCTGAGTCTGTTTGAATACTCAAAGTGAGTTCCTTGACAGCAGGTTCAATATTGAGCTAAGAGTTCTACAATAAAGCATTGGACTAGTCTTGACCTTTGATTTTACCTGTTTTGTGCTGAGGGGGTTGATCATTGTAATTCCGCACCATTCTTTTTGGAGTACAGTTTGGTAAGAGGCCCTGTTGTTGAAAGGAAGCTTGAGGAAGAACTTTCTATTTCTTTGGTTACTGCCATACTGTCGGGCTGACCATTATTTGTTTGTTTGTTTGTTTCTGTCAAGTCCATAGATTGGATTGACCATCGTATTTACTGATCTTGCAGAAATATCTTTAGCTGAACGTACTTTGGGTAGTATACAACTAGCCACCCACGAACGACCACGTTATCAGTCATTGGTATTTGTCTGAATCACTGACCGTGGAGATATTTGTTTTTATAGGTGTTTATCTATAGATCATCTATCTAAGAAGACACCGTCATGGCGGCACCAGAGCAGTTGCTCCTAGTAGAGCCGGAAGGGGGAAGGGGAAGGGGAAGCAGTGATGTTGATGCTATGCATGCCGACGTGACAAGCGGAGTTACCGTTTGGAATTCAAACCATATACTCATATAGTCGTCTCGTCTTCTCACCTTCCCTCAGTTTGTTCCACCATGACTGAGGGTAAGCTTTTTAATATTCGGTCCGCCGCTAGATACTGACTACGGCTTTTAGCTCACGCAGTATCTAGGTATTAAATATAGTTTGTTCCACCACGACTGAGGCTCACGCAGTATCTAGTCTTTACAGGTTATGAGCCCTGCTCTCTCATAAATCGAGGAGCGGAATTACCTACTTAGATACAACAACGGGCCTCCGGAACGAACTCGCCGGGTTATTAAACCCTCGGGGACCTTATCAAACCTCTATCAAACCTCTATCGACGTCACCGAGACGTTTAACTCTTTCCTTCTTAGGTCGAGGAGATTCAATTGACATCGTCCGCAGGTATATATACTCACGCGTCGCTCTTTGCTTATTTCCCGCCCCTTAATCTCATGCCTTCAACTGCGCATACACGCTCTCATAGCTCAGGCGCTAAAGCCGCCACTCTTAGTCCGCCAACGGCCATAGTGCCTGCGGCTACCATGTCCCCACTTCATGCATCTGTCACGGCCATTACGCTCAGCCAGACCGACTTAGACAAGATCGAAGTCTTGGACCAGAGCAAGAATAATTGGGGGGTTTGGTCCGATCATATGCAGAATTACCTCCTCCTTAAACACGGAGGAGGATACATCTTAGGCCTTGTCACCCGCCCCGACCCGTCCCTGGACCCATCCAGTGCGGGTCACTGGGATCTCAACAACCTATGCATCGTGGCCGCCATGCGTACGCGTTCCAGCTCCGAGGAAAACGAGTTCCTACGTGGCTTCACGAACGCATACCTAGCCTGGGACGCTCTCAAGTCCCGTCATGAAAAGGTCGGGCCCATCGCCCAAATCTTACTCATTCAGCAAGCTCTGGCTGTCAAGTATATTCGCTCAGAACGACTCTCTACTACTAGTACTACCCTTCACGACCTCGTTCGTCGCATCTATGCAATTGGTATCCCCAAAGAGGACGACTTCCTCACAATCATGATGCTTAACGCCATGGCCGAGGATCTTCCTCACGTCCGCAACCACATCGCCGATGCCCTTGCCACCAGCACGTCCAGCAACCCATATGGACCATCCAATATCCGTTCCCGCCTTGACGTCGAGCAACAATTGCTCGACACTGAGAAATCCAAAGCCTGAGACGTTGCCCTGGCTACCACCAGTAAGGGGGGGAATCACCGCGAGCATCGCGAGCGCTCACCTTGTGGCAACTGCGGCAACACCAGCCACCCGACGAAGGACTGCTTCGGCAAAGGGGGAGCCATGGAGGGCAAAAGGGACGAGGTCATTGCGCGCAGACGCGCGGCTCGTGACGCTAAAGCACCCTCTGCGAACAAAAGTGCCGCTCCTAAGCCCACTGCAGCCACAGGCAAACCAGGGGGTCTGCGTTACGACACCCATGGTAGGGCTTACTTACTTGACAGCGAAAGTCATGAAGCCATCTATGTCGCCACGTCATCTGAGCCACCTGAAGCTCCTGCCTCCTCTATGGAATTCGCTGGCCTCGCCAGCGACACCATTACGCCCGCTTTCATATGCGAACTCTCTGACGCCGGGGAAGACGAGTACACCACACTTCTTGCCTCCGTAGACTCCCTCACTACCAGTCTCGACTGGCGCTCTAATACGCGCCCAATCGACTTTGCCGGCCTCACGTACAAGGCCCCAAACCAGCGTCAACGCACCATTGTGGACCCCTCTGTTGTCCCTCTATTCCTTGATAGCGGTGCCTCCGTGCACATCAGCAACGAGGAAGCTGACTTCTTCAGTCTTCGCCCCATTCCCCCTCGCTCAGTTAACGGGGTTGGTGGCTCGTCCATTCAGGCCATCGGCATTGGGACACTTCGTCTCATCGTCGCAAGAGGCATCCACATCACCCTCGAGAATGTCCTGTTCATTCCAGGCGCGATGGTACATCTTATCTCGGTGTCTGCCCTCTGCGAGGCACACCATTGCATTACATCCTTTGACGCTACCAACTGTTGGGTCCAATCTCGCAATGGTAACCGTATGCTCTCCGGTACCCTTACTTCTCGACGTCTCTACGCCTTATCCGGGGGACAACTCTCGGCCGAGCATGCCTACATGGCCCACCAGAAGCCCACTCTCCAGTCTTGGCACCGTCGTCTCGGCCATGCGAATTATCGCGCTGTTTATGACCTTGCTCACTCAGGCAATGCTATCGGTATGCCCATTGACCTCTCTCCTGTTCCACCGAAGTGTGACGACTGCATCCTTGGCAAGCAGACTCGGACTAGCGTTCCGAAAGTTCGTCAAGGTGTTAGATCGGACAGGAAGTTGGGCATAGTTCACGTGGACTTGATCGAACACCCAGATACAGTGTCAGCTTCGGGTAATAGATACGTGATGGATATCATCGATGATCATTCCTCCTACTCCTAGGCAATCCCCCTTGCCTCTAAGTCTGATGCCTTCGCAGCACTCCAAGCCTGGACCTCTGCTCGAGAAGCCAAAACCGGCTCTAAAGTCGGCCTATACAGGTCTGATAACGGCGAACTGAAGTCAGAGTCCATGCGAGAGTGGCTCCTCTCGCGTGTAACTCAGCATCAGTTCACTGCCCCATATACCTCAGCTCACAATGGGCGTGTCGAACGCCTGCACCGCACTCTGATGGGTAAAGCCCGTGCGATGCGTTCTGCGTGCAATCTCCCGCCCAATCGATGGGATGAATTTGTGCTTACTGCTTGTTACCTGTCTAACAGAACACCCGTCGTCTCCCAGAACGGGCATACACCCTATGAGCGGTGGTACGGTCACAAACCAGACCTCTCCCATCTACGTGAGATTGGCTGCAGAGCCTTCGTGCTTATTCAAAATCAACACAACCCCAAAGTGTTTGCTCGTTCGGTTGAATGCATGCTGATCGGGTATTCCCTAGATTCTAAAGCTTATCGATGTTATCATCGAGCTTCTCATAAAGTCTTCCTCTCTTACCATGTTTCCTTCATAGAATCGCATCAGCACGGTACGACTGTCGCTCCTACTGCCCTCCCTGATTCTGTCGCTCATGACAATCTGCCTCGTTCGACATCCGTTACTATGGAAGAAGTTCGCGACTTTGATGCACCGTCTCCCGTGACTCATCATTCTCCCATCCCTGCTACCCCGCGTCGTTCAACTCGGCCTTCTGTTCCCTCCGAACGTCGTTGTGCATTGGATGGTAAACCATATGTGTCTTCTACTCAGCGTGCTGTACTTGAATCTCTCTCTGCGGCTGACCGTGTCCGCGCCTTATCCTCTGCTCACTCTCCCAATGAACATGCCTTGCCGGCTATCTTTACTGAGGAGGAGTTTGCAGCACTGGCTGACGTCTTTGCCGCCATGCCCGATAATTTGGAACACGAATTCCCCGATGATCCTTCCACCTATGCCGAGGCCATGGCGTCTGAACACGCATCCAACTGGACAGCCGCACTACAAGACGAATTCAACTCTCTACGAGACCTTGGTGTCTACAAACTTGTCCCACGATCAGCAGTCCCTCCTGGACGGAAAATTATGCGCGGACGCCCCGTGTTCAAACTTAAGCGTGACCAACATGGTAATGCTGTTCGCTTCAAAGCGCGGTACGTTTGTCGTGGTTATTCCGCCGTCTGGGGACAGGATTACACCAAGACATCAGCTCCGACTGCACGTCTCGAGTCTTTCCGTATCCTAACCCACCTCGGCGCCGCCTTAGATTGGGAAATCGATCAAATCGATATCAAGACGGCATTCTTGCATGGCCTGCTCGACTCAGATGAGGTGTGCTACATGCACCAACCCGAAGGGTTCCTCGAGCCGGGCAAAGAGGATTGGCTCTGGGAGCTACAGAAGGGTCTCTACGGTATAAAGCAAGGTGGATTAGTCTGGAATCGCACTATGAATGACGCTATGCTGTCCTGGGGATTCACTCGTCTCAAGTGCGAGCACTGCATCTATTACCGTAAAACGGAACAAGGCATTCTCCTCGTCGCTATACACGTTGACGATTTCCTCACTGTCGGTAGCAACAAGGCCATCATTGCTGACTTCAAATCACAGCTACGCACTAAATGGTCCATATCAGACCTTGGTGATGCGCGCTTCTGCCTTGGCATCGCAATAGAACGAGATCGCCCCAATCGCACTATCGCCCTTTCCCAAACAGCGCTTATCGACCGTATTGTCTCTCAATTCGGCCTAACAGATGCTGTACCCGTTTCGACGCCCATGGAGACTGGCCTGCACCTTTCCCGACGCACACACTCACCTTCGAACGATGCACAACGGGAGCTTATGTCTCGCACCCCTTACCGATCTCTCGTCGGCTCTCTCATGTACCTGGCAATAGGAACACGTCCTGACATAGCACACGCTGTGCAACAACTTTGCCGCCATCTCGACTGCTATGGGCCCGTCCACTGGGAGGCTGCGAAATGTGTCGCCTGATACCTTAAAGGTACCCGCACCATGCGTCTGGTTCTTGGTGGCGAACACCCAGCGCGTCTACTCGGCTTTACCGATAGCGATTTTGCGAATTGCCCTGATACACGCCGATCGGTCTCCGGCTATTGTTTCACTCTGGGAAGCGGTATGGTAACGTGGAGCGCTAGGCAACAGAAAACGGTCTCTTTATCAACATGCGAAGCTGAATATGTGGCTGCTTCAGACACTTCCAAAGAACTCGCATGGCTTCGTACTCTTCTTCTCGAACTTGACTTCGCTCAACCTTCCGCAACACCACTTCTCTGTGACAACACTGGCGGTATCACGCTTTCCGAGGACGCTTTGTATCATTCCAAAGTCAAACATATTGATATCGCTGTTCATTCCATTCGCGAACGCGTCACCCGAGGCCAATTAAAACTTTCTTATGTTAAATCTCTTAATAACGCCGCCGACATCTTTACCAAGGCTCTTCCTCGCAAAGATTTCGAACGTCTACGTATCTGCATGGGTCTTCAGTGACGAAATCGAGGAGGAGTCACTTATCACGTCGAGGAGGAGTGTTGATGCTATGCATGCCGACGTGACAAGCGGAGTTACCGTTTGGAATTCGAACCATATACTCATATAGTCGTCTCGTCTTCTCACCTTCCCTCAGTTTGTTCCACCACGACTGAGGGTAAGCTTTTTTAATATTCGGTCCGCCGCTAGATACTGACTACGGCTTTTAGCTCACGCAGTATCTAGGTATTAAATATAGTTTGTTCCACCATGACTGAGGCTCACGCAGTATCTAGTCTTTACAAGTGATAGTTAGGTATTTTCTGTCTTGCTCGTATATCTTGGTCTTAGATCTTGTTGTTATTCACTCGTGATTTGTCGCTTTGATTGCAGTTTACAAATGCCATGCTGATTCTTGTCCCTCGGTGCATCCTTATAAGGCACCAAAAGACGCCATATAATCAACCGCCTTACAAAGGTAGTCAGAGGTCTAATAACTAAGTGGTTACTATGCCGGTGAGTACTATAATTTACAAGTAATAAAAATGCTAATAGCGAGCGTTCAAATCCCCCCAGTGTAAATAAAATACTAGTGCTAGCATTAAAATAGAAGCATTGAAATTAGAATAGAATTAAAAAACACGCTGCGCCTTAAGAAATCTATTTTTGTCTTCTAATATCGTGCTGATCCTTTTCAAGCCTTACAATGCTTACATGATCTGGTCTGTGACTCACGCCATTGCAAGGCATCATAATGTGGGAACGGTTGCCTTTTAAGATGCTTGAAAGATTATCTACATCATTGTGAAACCTTAAAAGGTCGTGTGTGAAAACTATGCCTTAAAATGTATTATGAGGCCTAAAAATAGTGCCTAGAAATTTCCGACACTGCTTTATATTTGTGTGGGAGGGGTTGAGGCTGTTATCTGGTCTCCGGAATGCGAGAAATAGTATGATGGAAATGATCTTCATGATTAGATCACAGCTACTCCTGCTGACCCCTATGATAACTCTGCATGCAACGCCAAGGAAGAGAACAATTTGAGTGATTTCATCTAACTCGTTCACTGGATCTTGCGGAAGGGTATCTACTGAACGATAAGCAAAGAACTGTCATGATGATCCGCACGCTCACTTACCGATATTGATCTCGATGGGTGTATCATCGGATGGCTCATGACTGCTGCACTGGGTTGCCAATATGTCTATCTGCGATTCGATCGCCTTCTTTCGTGCAATTACAATATCGGTCTGCCGAATGACATTTTGCATGGCTTTACGAAGTAAATGTAGTTCGCGACCAACGTGATCAATGCTACAAGAATGCAGCAACAAGTGAAAGCATTGCTGGATCCGAGACTCGATGTTGTCAAGGACAACCAATGCCTTCGCGGTGCGTCGATTGCATCCCTTTTTCAAGACAGGTACTGTGTCAGGTTTGAGCTCGACAGTACAAACTGTCAAGCTCGGAGAAATATTGACTGGTACATCTGTATCAAGGGTCAAGCGACGAAGATCGTCGGCGATGACAGCGACTGATGACGTGTTGTCTGCGATGGTGCATGCGGCAAGGTCAGTGGGCAGAAAAATGTACGTCAATAATCACACTGTTACCTGTGGCGTGTTCCGCTTTTACATGCAAGATATGAGACACGATTAAGCATTCGGCCATGAGCACTCCTTTTGGTGCGCCTTTCTCGTCATATCTGCCTTTCTCAATGCACTCCTTGCAAAGACATCATTTGAGTGTTGCACAGGCTACAGGCATGGAGAATTGAGGGAGGTTGGTGGTTGGGTGATTGGAAGTAGATCCTGGCATAGCGGGACTTAAATGAAAAAAAAACAAGGGAAGAATGGAGCAACTCACAAACAAGGCATCGGAGACAAATGCCCACGACGAAGTACAAGGTGATTGCCTATATGGACACTATTTGGATGCATGACAAGGGATGATGGAACAATACATACCGTAATCTAGATCTGACGAGACAAGCGCAACGGAATTCCAAGTGCCTGTAAACAGAGTGGTCACGCAATCCGGTCGTATTGTTGGGAAAATTCCATATTTGCAAATGTCAACGAGGAACGGTAAGCTCGACAGTACAAACTATTGGGTTCAGAGTGACAACGTTTGGCGAGATGTGAGATGGCGAGACAAACAGCTGCAAATAATATTATGTCAGCAATCTGATTTGAGATTGAGTCGCCCACCTAAAATGAGGCGGGAGGTCGGGGGGCGCTCAATGTTAGGATGAGCTCGATAGTACAAACTATCGGGCTCAGAGAGATCGGAGGGCGAGGAACTCGATGGTACAAACCACCAAGGTCAGAAACTTAAGGGGACAATACTACCACAACCGTACGAAACAGTTGTAGTAGCGGACTATAGGAAAGGAGTAACTTGAGACTTTGGCAAAACTTCAGATGTGCGACAAATAGTTACAAATACAATTATGTCATCATTGTAATTGGCCACATCGTGACAATGATGACATAATTGTATTTGTCACTATTTGTCGCACATCTGAAGTTTTGCCAAAGTCTCAAGTTACTCCTTTCCTATAGTCCGCTACTACAACTGTTTCGTACGGTTGTGGTAGTATTGTCCCCTTAAGTTTCTGACCTTGGTGGTTTGTACCATCGAGTTCCTCGCCCTCCGATCTCTCTGAGCCTGATAGTTTGTACTATCGAGCTCATCCTAACATTGAGCGCCCCCCGACCTCCCGCCTCATTTTAGGTGGGCGACTCAATCTCAAATCAGATTGCTGACATAATATTATTTGCAGCTGTTTGTCTCGCCATCTCACATCTCGCCAAACGTTCCAAGTTACTCCTTTACCATAGACTGCTACTACAACTGTTTCATACGGTTGTGGTAGTATTATCTTACCCCTGATTTTTTGAGCTCGATGGTTTTGTACCATCAAGATCATCGTTCCCAGATCCCTTCGAGTTCGATAGTTTGTACTATCGAGCTCACTCTCAATACACTCAGTTCCAACGTCACTACTCTTTCGATGGATTCATAGCTGTTTGGATGGGCGAGCTCTGCTTGCGTGTCTACCCAGTCAACTTGACGCCCGACGATGCGGAGACATGTTCGGATTTGGATAATCCTTAAGAATACCCTCCACTAGACCATACGTAGGTGCACACGTGAACGACCAATTGGTCACCCACTTAAGGCAAGCCTGGGTAAAGAACGATATGGCCAATCGATCAATGTACACTTGGCTCTCTGTTTGTACTGTGGAGCTCATCGTCCATGGCCCGGGGAAGGGGTCTTATATACACTGCGTAAGTATCACCCAGCACACCCATTAACTCACTGCTGAAGGGGTTATACACCACATAGGTATCACTCAGGGCAATTCGACAACTGCCTTGTAGAACACCATATCAAACACCATCTCTGTTTGCCTGCTCGTCTCGACTCCTCCACCATACATACAGCGGAGGGGCATAGCAACACAATTTTTTTCGCAAGTTAACAGTATGTCTATCATTATATGAGAATAACATCTTTCCCCCCTGAACTATCTTCCCTAATATCAACCCGTCGTACCCTCAGCACCTCATAAAATACCCTCTCGGCTTCAGCAGCGATCTCGTCTTTTTCACCAATGGTGCTTTCTTCACCTACATCTCCTTCCGCCTCTCGAATGGTGTTAAGACCATGCACAAAGGGTAGGACTGATTCTGAGGGGCTTGGCTTCAGCTCGTGCGCTGCACCCCTTACCCGAGTATGTGCCCTTAATTTCAGATTGATGTCCGGAGAAGATCCGAAGACGTCCGAAGGACGTCCGAAGGCGTGGGAAACTTCGGAAGGACTTTCCGGACGAGTGCAAGTAACTTCCGGATGAGTGCGGGAAAGTTCCGGAGGAACTTCCGGAAATTACAATGAGGTTTCGTCCTGATACGGATATGTGTAATGGCTACTCAGGACTTGTCCTGAGTAGAAGCAAACAGAGGTAAGGCTGCAAGGACAATGTCCGAAGCAGAATAGGTCCGGAGGACCGCGGGAAAGATCCGGATGAACTTCCGGAAACTTGGAGGAAGGTAGGATCGTAGGATTGGATGATTGGATGAATAGAGGATCGGAGGAGCGGAGGAGCGGAGGAGCGGAGGAGCGGAGGAGCGGAGGAGCGGAGGAGCGGAGGAGCGGAGGAGCGGAGGAGCGGAGCTCCGGCCTAGGGAATTCCTCCCTAGGCCTAAGTGGATATTCACAAGGAAGTAACTAGTATGAGGACTTAGTGTGAAGACTAGTGCGAGGACTAATATGATATTCAGACTGAGGAACTACAGGACATATACAAGAGTTTATATACTAAGTGACTATCGGAAAGATCAATAAGCAAAGGTCCGAGGCTATGTATGAAGCATAAGCAAAGTTATCAAACGCGAGTCGGAAATGAAGCATAGGTTAATGGATCAGTAAGCATACCGGTAGTAAGTATAACCGAGGTACCGGGAACAAGGAATACCAGATAGGCTGTGTTAACGTTATGCACAGGAAATGAATTAAGAAGCTTATCGTATATCGGATAGTAAACGGATCTATACATCGGATCGGACCGGATCGGATATGGTCCGGACGAGATGCGTGGATATATAGGATGTGGCATTAGGGCGATGGGACAAGGATGAATGATGCAGGCTAGCTGCGAAGGATAAGGGATCTGGACGTGGGCATGCAGATGTGGATGTGCAGAGGTGCAGGGATCCGGATGGGTACTGGAGACATGGATAGGACATCCGAAGGTCCGGATGAGGCGTGGGAATATTATCGGATGTAGGTCCGGAATACGGGATATGACAAATGGCCTCCATAAGCCTTTCTGCCAATTCGCGCAGCATCAGGATATCGCTCTTTTCGTGGTTTTTTCTTGTGCATGCGGTACTTTGTCCAATACTGCTTCATGCACACTTGCTTCAAGATTATTAGCAAAGAACGCCCGTGTATGTCTCATGCGCTGGCCAAGGTCTGCTGACAACGCCATCGTGTCCTGGAGACATAAGTTAGTGAATTATATTGCTAAGTTAATGATGACTGACATAGTTCACATAGTTCATCAAGAAACATAAGGTCACCAATAGGGCACTTGTGTGAATCAAGATTGTGAAAATGCGCGTTAGTGCACACGACAGAGACCAGGATTCTTTCGAGGTGATGGTTTCCTTTTTCATGCCATAGTCGTAGACCCATAAATTGACTGTAACCTTATGCCTTAGTGCTTGCGATGCACTGACGACTATGCAGCGCCCGTTAATATCACGTGTCTGAAAATTCAATCAGCATCACATCTCGGAATCAAGTCAACACCTACGGCTATTGTCTGCACCAGGCCGGCATTGGAATGATGAAGACTCTCCAGTAACTTCCCTGTTTTCCTCTCGAATATATATACCAAACCATTGTCACTCCCACCTACCACCAACCTCCCTTCGGCACCGAATGCCACCTGCTTTGGGACTGATACACTGGGAGGAGCGGTGATGAAAGTTCGAACTGGCTCCTCATCACCGAGAAGTCGGTACAATGTAAACCTGTCAGTTGTGTTGTCTACCATGAACACACCCCTCTTCTGGTTGATTGCTGCATGTCCGCTGAAGGAAAAGTGTCAGTCATACTTCGGCAGCTTGCGGTGAATCCTCACATCACTGATTGGCAACTATATTCCTTCACTACTGTGCCGTCATCCCCCTTCAGCTTGATGAAGTTGCCGTCATATAGTCCAAACCACGTGCAACACACCAGAACCATCAGGCTGCCCAACAGCATACAACATCTCCATTGGGTGGAACGCGAAAGACGTATGCCTAGGGATATAAGATGTTGGTGGTCGAGAGGGATACGCGTTGAGGCCCGTTGGTAGGCTAAGCGTGGAGAGTAACAATGAATCTGATATAGAGTGTACCATAAGCCGCTGGTGCCTAAAGTTGGTAGGAGTAAGAGCAGATGTTCTGCAACCTAGTCAGCCAACCATTCTTCCTAAAACAAAATCGCACTTACGTGGCAAACACGCCCGTCTGTGAATGTACATCGAACACGGACAAGCCCGTATGGTGTAAGTCCCAAGCCTGAATCGCTGTATCAGAGCCTCTCAAATCCCACAGACGGACTTCGCCAGCGAGGCTGCATTTATGTGAATCCCAGTACACACCCTACACAGCTTCAGCTCACCTTCCAGACAAGAACTGACCGCTGATGCATGGGTGGTACTTGACATTCTGTACCCATGAGTGATGGTCATGATACGATCTAACAATAGTGTCCTCTTCCTCTAGTCGATGATCGAAAACTTTGACCAGGCCATTGGCAAAGCCAACAATGAATGTGGACGACGAGCCCTGATCAGATGTGATAGACATCACAGGACTGTCGCAATTAGTTTCTAGATCCTTTGAATTTATGAGTAATTAGTCCTCACTATGAGGTATTGCCCTCTTACCAGGACTTGAGTCTCTGTGTGGGCATCCCATACACGGATGATACGAGAGTCGCCCCCAACCAGCAGCGTGCCACCCGATTGTTTCCAATCTAGCACAAGGCCACTACCCCTACGCACCCGAATCAACTCATGCAGTGCACGGAATGAGCTGACCATCTGGAGTGGACCTTGGTTCACTGTGGGGTCGTAATTCCGGTACAGACGCACGATGCCGTCCGCCTTGGATAGTTTCTTGGTCCTGAACGTCACGAAATCCGCAAGCGCCATCTTGGAGAAACCGGATTTGTTTCTCGACGTTGGTGCGACATTAATGGGACGACCGGATCCAGTGAGGGTATGAGGGTCAGGCTCATCGCCATCCCAGAACTCCATGCTGGCCCTCCTGGAAGCCCGGTTTGAGTGCCCCTCCTTGAGCGCTGGTGCTCATACCCTCGCCGCCGCTCTCTCTTTGCGCTCTTTCATCTGCGCGTGCTCCTGCCGCTCCTTTGTCTGGTGCCTAGCGTGCTCGTATGCACGCTGATCCTTCGCATCAAGTTCAATGAGACTATCTTCTACCGTCTCACGCGAATGCTGGAGGGACTTCTCAAAGGATATGGTAGACATGGATGGTTGAGGCTCTCAAAGGACAGTGTACTGTGTCTCACTTATATAGATGATATCCCGCAGCGGTGACAGCGGCGGCGGAAGCATTTCCTTTGAGGGTCACAGCACCACGGCCAAGTACTGGTTTGAAGTGGATGATAAATAGCTAGTATTGGCTCACAGCTTTACCAAGCTAAGGTTACTGTGGCCCTATGATAGGGCCATCACGAAACTCCGATCGTTAACGTCATCACGTGACCACGTGACTCCGCATGGCTCAAAACTCATTTGAGTCTCGCCTTTGAGTCATTGGACTGCCGGAGATGATGCCCTGAGCACTATTGGGAAATAGTATTCTTATCCTCAATCACCACTATAACTGCAATCGACAGTAAACACGATCGTCTTCGAAATGATCCCGTAGCTCCATTAATTGCTACAGCTCCGGACATGCTGGGCAGACTTGCTGAAGTCAGAAGAAGCGGCCACGGGTACGTTAGTTGGTCCTGAGCGACGAGCTACAAGTACTGATAAAATTTACAGTAGCGGTGCATGGGGTCCCATACGCGTTGGTGAAACTTTCACTTCGGGGTTATTGATATTTAGGAGAGGTTTATATGTTGTACGAAATGCGAAGAAAATATTTGGAGTTTGAACTGACATAAAGAGGGGCATAAAATTTCAAATTTAGTCATTGTTTTGTGCAAAATCGAAAATATGAAATATTCGCAGCCATTTTTTCACTGACTATACGTCAACACAAATAAGAAATATGGTCTGGTTTTCAGCGTCTGCTTTAATTTTAAATTTAATTATCACATAAAATTTCGGACGAAACTTGAAGTTTAATCCGCGGCTGTATGCTTGCCAACGTTTTAAGTTTTGTCCAACAATTAGGGGCTGCCAAAAATTTGAAGTTTACGCCAGCGACAAAATGTGATGGCGAAACTACAAGTTTTGCGCTTGGACGAAATAAATCGCCCGATCATCGCCCACCAATAATTCAATTGTCGCCCACTCATCACCCGCGACAAGCGCAAATGGCGACCTCGTTACTTGTGATCCTGAGTGAAATTTCATTTATTACAAAAACAAGCGCTTGTACACGATACTGAGGGTATGAACAAGACAGAATAAAAAATACGACTTGAAAACAAAGCAATAAACTGATCAATCACGAGATAGGGATAGAATTACTGCGTGACGGTCGGAAACCGTCCATCGCGCGAAGTGACTGACTACCCAGGTTACCTTAACATTTTCCAGGCGACTCTCGAGCTCTGTCGAGTACATTTTTGCAGGGAAATCAGGATAAATTGAGAAGGGATCGATCGTACAGTCGTGACGATCCAGCGGGAGATGTCTCTGTGCAGCAAACAACAATTCCCCTGTCAGCGTGCCATAGATGTATTTGATGCTGGCAGGGACAGGGGTCAATGTCCGGTCTCCTCGGGGGTAGAAGAGAATTTGGCTGTTCCCCAAGTGTGTCGATGCCCTACTGTATATAACACCTTCGAACTTGAGTGTGGCACGTAGGATTGCTGTTCGTCGTCTCAGGAGGGTATATAGGTCATCAGGCACAGCGCTAGTCATTGTGCAGTCGGATACCCGAATAACATCATTTATGGGGTCCTCAGCGAACTCTTGGCTGGAATTTTCAACGCTCTTGGGTGCATATACTCTATCAAAGATGTCCCTGCACTCTTGAATAACAGGCAGAGAATCCGGTCGAGCGAGCCAGCGGCGAAGCATTGTAGTCTTGATATATGAATGAAGCATCGTGTTCTCGAGCTCCCCTTAGAGACCATTAGTTTACTTGCTCGTTCCATATTTTCATAGTGACCTACCAAATTTGTGATTTACAGGAAGCCGTTGAAGTGTTCCAATCAGGCGCTCGAAAGGAAAACACCACCACGAGTGGGCGGGACCGAATAGGAGTAGGAAGTCGTATATATGGAAGGCTGCATGGTGGTTCGGACGCGGAGAGGAGGTAGGATGTATGTCTTTCAACTTTCCGACGTAACCAACAATGTATGAACGATAGGCTTGTGCCCTTCTTGCAGTCATCGTTCGCGCACATGCAACATAAACTGCACAGACCAGTTCCATCGTATGATCAAGAACAGTTCTAAGGCGGGCAGCAAGTTCAGGAGAAGAGTGCGAAGTACCGGCTCCCCACAAGCTCACAAGGGAAATGGGAAGGTAGACCATAATAAGTGTTCGCCACTCATCAGCCTTGAGTGTCCCAGCAGATGCCTCGCCAAAATTACTTGGAACTGAACCCAACCAAGTAGGGACGGATGTATCTCGGATGACATTGCGAATGTGTTTGAGTACTTTTGCCGTGCCAAATTGATGTTCTTCTTTAGGGGCAGCTAAAGGCTGTTCGCGACGCTGTATAGAAACATTTAGAAACTCAGGACAATGGACATGGTGAACGAAGAGCTTACCCACTCGAGAAGAGCCTTAACATAATCGACTTTAAGTGTTCTACCAGCTTTCTGTGGCGTACAACCCAAGGTATTGCAGACAAACTTCAACACACCCACGTTCTTGGACAGCAGAGATTTTTTCAACGTGTCAAAACATTCATCCAGCTGCCCGTCGATCTGAGAAACAAGGAGGGCATGAATCGTAGATGTTTGCGTCATTTCCTTGGATGACATTGTCCCGGGAGGTACTTCACCAAAGTCAAGCGGAAATGCTGGTGGGGCCGAAGTGGATGTATTTGACTGTGAAGTCAAACCGAGGAGACTACGAGTGTGATATGGGACTAGACCTTCTAATAAACAGTGCATTGGATCGATGATAAGTTGTCGTGAAGGGTCCCAGTATGATAGACGCCAAAGTTCGGAATAACGCACACCATGCGCCTTAAATATTTTTTCATGGTCAGAGGACGTGGCAGCGTCTCGCCACTGCTCTGCGTATTGCCGAAGTTCGTTTCTATCGCGGGGTTCCCAATTCTCGTAGTCCACCCTTCCATAAGTAGACTTGTGGTAGCATTTGCATACACTGCAGTAGAAATGACTACTGACTCCAGCCAGAGAAGAGAGATGACGAGCAGCAGGAAGGTCGCAAACAACGAGGGCAACAGCACTACGAGTTAGCCGACCGGTAGGGTAACACGCAGTTTTTGAAAACTTGATGCCGCGCTCCCATGCGTCTACCAAATCATCGATGAGCGGTCGGATGTAATGGTTGAGGTTCTCGAGAGACGGCTGCTTCGGACCTGGAATGATACCTGCAAGATACATATTCTCCGGCTTATATCTCATATCCAAAGGCAGGTTCAAGCACGCCATGGAGATGATCCCGCAAGACGTACTAGGTCCCCGCACATTCATCCCTTCAGGATTGAAGAAATCTACATGAAAGGCAAAGGCATAGCGTCCTTCCTCTCCTCGATCGATAAAAAGTGTCTCAGGCTTCGGGCCGCCAAACTGACGGAGGAATTGGGCTTCAAATGGATTCTTGACGAAGGACGGAAGAGGGGAGTTAATGGAGTCCATGAAATCGTCACAAGCTTCATCCATCACGGCTTCCACATCTCTCCGAGAGAGAAGACCAGAAAGATAGTCTTTGAAGTCGTGATATATGAAAACCTTCCTCGGACGGAGCTCTCCTTCAACGCCAACAAGTAAAGCCTCGCCGCATTCAATCCCGGGCGCAGGACAATGCGTGCAATGTTGGGGGTATATTGCGATCCTAGAGCCTGGTGCATATGTCGGAGGATAGGTGCAATGACAACTGCAGACGGCGTATGCGATGGTTTTGCCAGTGAGATGAAATTTCGTCTCTGCGCCTTCCGAGGTCAGAGGAATTTGCTTGAGGATATTTTCATGTGAGGAGCTAAGACTGCCGTCCGACCTCCGAAACGAGAGGAACAATATGATGGAAATTATCTTTATGATGAAATCACAGCTGCGTCTGCTGAGCCCCATGACAACTCTGCATGCCACGCAAAGGAATAAGACGACTTGGCTGATCTCGTCTGAGCGATCAACTGGAGCTTGCTGCAGAGTATCTATTAAAAGATAAGCAAGGAACCGTAGTTGAGTTGACATACTCATGACTTACCAGTATTAATCTCGATGGGCACTTGCAGCACGTCCTGGTAGCTGCCGAACTGGGTAGCCAAATCATCCATCTGTATTTTGAGTGACTTCTTTCATGCAATTATAACATCTGCCCCTCCATTGACGTTCTCCATAGCTGTGCGAAGCAAAGATAGCTCGCGACCAAGATCATCAAGGTTACAAGGATGCAACGATAAGCGAAAGCACCGCTGAATACGGGAGTCGATATTATCAAGGATAAGCAACGCTTTCACTGTGCGCCGATCGGGCTTCGGCTTTGATACAGTCTCTCTGTCAGCCTTTTCCGTTAGCGGGGCTGACGTGCAATCTGACAACTGCAACCGCTCGAGGCCATCTGACAGGGCAGAAAACAGGAACTGCAGGAAGGTTGCATGATACTGGGCGATCCAGATGATTTTTCATTGCAGATGTAAATGATGGGGACGACTGGGGATTATCTGTGGCAAGGGACAAATGTCTGATATCGTCGGTAATAGAGGAGACGGTAGATTCACCAGCGTTGGTAAATGCAGCGCTTTCTGCCTTTACACGCTGGACATGAGCCGACATTGAACGTTCTGCTATCAGCACCCCTCTTGGTGCGCCTTTCTCGTCGTATCCCCCCTTTCTAGTGCACTCCTCACATATGCACCGCGTGAGCGCTGCACGGGATGCGGGCATCGAGCAAACAACGAGCTTGACGGCGATGACAGTATGTACCGTCGTCGTCTATGGATTGTGTTGCGAGTAGTGCAGAGTCGGCGACGACAGTATGTACCGTCGTCGTCTATAGATCGTGTTGCGAGTAGGCAGAGTGCAAAGAGCCTGAGGTGACCATTTAAATTGAAAAAAAACAAGGGGAAAGTAAAGTGACTTACGATAAAGATCAAGAGTACGAACAACAGAGAACAAGCGATCTTATACGAATAAGAAATGGTAGCGACAAAGTACAAGGTACTTACCTACATGGGATCGATTGAAGTCGGAGTGCCATACGACGAGGATCCAGGACGATGAAGTAGTCGAAGTCCAGCAGACACGACAGTACAGACCGTCGCATCGTCGGAGGAGGAGGAGGAGGAGGGGATGGATGGATGCAACAGTACAGACCGTTGCGTCAGGTAGAGGTTGAAGTATAGATTTAGTATGTATACAAGAATAGATGTATACAAGAATAGAATCGAATAGGTAAGAAAGACTTTGAATCAATTCGTCAAAAAGTACAAACAACTGCAAATAAAGTCACGTGCAAGGCAACCCTAGGCCTGGCCTGTCTGTACTTGCTGCTTATCATGTTTTCTCTCGATCTTAAGGTTCTCTGCCTGTCGCGTGCAACGGTCTGTACTGTTGCTCGTCGTCGGTTCTCTTGCTATTGCTCTTGGCCTGTCGCGCGCAACACGCCCACCCCATGCCTGCCTGTCGCGTGCAACAGTCTGTACTGTTGCTCGCTGTCATGTTCTCTTGCTATTGCTCTTGGCCTGTCACACATGCCATTTCGCCCTTCAGGCGATTCTTTCTGATATTCGGTCACCCCCTTCACCCCATTGTCTCGCAGATTTCGTCGCCCACCTCATGCCATTTCGCCCTTCAGGCGATTTATTCGGTCATCTTCGGTCATCCACTCGTCCTGTTATCTCACAGATTACGTCGCCCACCCCATGCCATTTTGCCCATCCGGCAAATTTCTCTGGTCTTCGGTCATCCACTCGTCCTGTTATCTCGGGGATTATGCTGCCCATCCCATGCTATTTCACCTGTCAGGTGATTCTCTCTGATCTTCGGCCATCCCTCCACGTGTAACGTGGAGGGGTTTACAACCAACACGAGACGACGTTAATATGGTATACTACAACATTTCTACATCACAAGTAGAGGACTTCTTTTCCCGAATCATCGTGTCGCATCCAAGCTCCAGATACCGGTTTCTCCTTCACCGCATCAAAAAATACTCTTTTGGCTTCTGCGGAAATCTCCTCGTGTCGTACCATATCATGAATATCCTCACCGACATCTAAATCTTTGTTCGCCTCTCGAATGACTTCGATGAGTTTTCCTGCCAGTTCGTGTAAGGTCAATATGCTGCTCTGTTCGACCACTTGCTGATGGGCTTCTGGTACTTCATTGAATACCTTAGGACCTCGGAAATTTTTATCCGAAAAGGTGAACACTCGCATCGTTGTCATGTGTTGGGCGAGGCCTCCTGACCACGTTACCACTGTGTCCTGTGAAGGTATGAATTTGTTGACTGCTGCTCAGCTACTGCTCGACTTACGAAGTAGTTTGTTATTAAAAAGCAGATGATAACCGCCAAGGCCCCAAAATGGACCAAGATTTTGAACACGAATGTAACCACGCACGACATAGGCCAGGATTCTTCAGAGGTGAGAGGTCCCTTTACTGTGCCATAGTTATAGACCCATAAGTTGATTATGGCCTTTCCATGGCCTAGCGCTGGTGAAGCACTGGCGACTGTACAGCGTCCGTTAAGATCACGCGTCTTGGGAAAATAATCAGTATCCATCCTACCCTTTGAATCTGACACCTACTGTGATTGTCTGCACCAAGCCTGTATTCGAGTGGCACAGAGTTTCGAACAACTTCCCTGATTTCCTCTCGAATGCATACACTGATCCATGGTCACTCCCCCCGATGATCATTCTTCCTTCTGCCCCGAATGCCACCTGCTTGGGGACAGACACACTCGAAGCAGCAGTCACGAATGTTCGAATAGGTTCCTCGTCACCTTCAAGTCGATACAAAGTAAAACCGTTGGTAGCATTGTCCACTACGAACACACCCCTCTTCTGGTTCACTGCTGCGTGTCCGCTGAAAGACGGTCAGTAATACATCTGTCGATGACGTGTCATACACTCTTACATAACCGATTGGCAGCTGTGTTCCTTTACCACTGCGCCGTCATCACCTCTCAGCTTGATGAAGTTCCCGTCGTACAGTCCGAAGACATAGACACATCCGTTGTCTGCAAATGCTACAGACTTTGGCACCGTGTTGTCGAGTCGCACTGAAAACACGGCCTGCAGCTGTGAGTTTGTGTTGAGAACGAGGACTTGAACTATTTTGTCCCTCGTTCCTACTGCAATCCGCGTAGTCGTTTCGGAGGATGTCGAATCCCATACCATGCAAGTTATTTCGAAGCCTGATCCAAGCCTCCTAGCACAAGTCTCTTGAAACTGCATCTGTTGGATATTAGCCGAAGGTTCAACGATGAGGGACGCTCTTACATCTATATGGCTACGACGTAAAAACACAATGTAGCCCAGCCCAGTTCCATAACAAAGGATTTCTGCCATACCCAGTCTTGTTGTGACCCAGACAGCGCAGCTGACCGTGCCCCGGGACTCATGGTGATGAGTCGAGCATGTAAGTTCTTTCCGAGATTTGATATCCCAGACTTTAACGCCCTCGGTCCCTGCTTGTCTGTCAGCACCCTCACATAGCAAAATGTGTGTCAAGTTACCTCCGCATGCAAGAGCCTGACCATCGTTAGATATTGCGAGGGCGTGAATGGACCCGCCGTAGGTGGAAATGCGCGTTTGATGTTGGAAGTGTCGCTTTGATTTTGTGAAGAGTGACGAGATAAAAGAAAACATTGCGTGCACAATCTGATTGGTTGTAGTCACCAGTTCACCTGCTCACAGCCTACTTATACCGGGAACTTTTTTTGTTGATTCCATGACAATTTCCTAGCCAATTGTTGATTCCCGGTTTTTGTATCCATCCTTGTTGGTTCCCGGTTTCTGTATCCATCTTTTTGTGAGCGCATTTCAATTCATTTGACCTCACGTAAGATTTCTATTATATTTAGGACTTATGTATTCGACCCTTGTAAGCCACTTCTTTTGTTGACTGTCTTATTGTGTTTAATCTCTATATAGTAGGTTACATTGAATGGTGTCATTAGGTCATAAATCTCGGTCATAAATCATTACAGTTCATACCCAATATCTTGATCGCCCGCCCTTGTCCCACTCACATCGCCGTCCCACTCACATCGTCGTACAACATCATGCCCAACAAAACCAACGCTGTCTCTCCTTTTTATGATCAAGAGCCTGGCGCTCCACCTCCCTTCCCTCCTATGCTCACGGACCAGCTTGAACTATTTGACAGTGCTCACCGCTCAACTATGCTCGTTTCCGACGAGATTCTTCCTTCCAGAATCAGTACTGTCGATCCTCCTCAGCATATTAAGCACCGCGAGCACACGCCGGCGCCTGAGTTCAAGCTTGCAGCACGGCCATCCCAGAATGATTCCTCTTCCTCGCCATACTCGAAGAGAGTTTCGTTCGAGCGTTCCAGTTCTCGGACGCCCATGCTCTCAGATTATTCGAGTTCATTAGATTCAATGTCGGAAAGTGGCTCCTCAACTTCAACTGAGAGTCTCTCGGATGAATCGAAGATACCAAAGCCCCCTGGTGAACCTGGTCGTCCGGGGCGTGGAGGATACACACTTAACGAGGCTTTAGACTGGAACCCAAAGGCATATGCTAAATTCAAGGTGAGTGATGTGCTCTCACCACAACGTGCTATTTGCTCATGAACATAAGAAATCTATGCACCACCTCATTGAAGAACATCTCAATACGACCAAGTGCGCTTCTTCCCAAAACCATGCGCTCCTGAAAGTTGTGCGCGACAAAGTAAGTAAACCACAGATGGCAGTTGTCCACCGATTTATTATTTGTCAGGCTGTCGATGCTTTCCCGGACTTAGAAAACTACAGGGACTTTTGGCCGCTGAATGATATGATCATGATGCGTTTGAAATATACATCAGGTCGTGCTAGGCAGACACAGGCAATGATGGCTGTGGGCAAGTCCAAGAGCAAGACCAAGAAAGATCCATCGAAAGCGAGATGATATTGATCTACAGTAAACTTGGTTCATACTATACCACCATGTATCGTTTTTAGTTGAATTACTAGGGATCGTTGCTCCGAAACGCGCGATGGTAAAATGGTTAACCTTTTATACACGAAGTTCCTTACCGAATGGCCCTGGAGGACTTGACCCCTACCAAACGTGAGATAACGCACATATTCAACATCTGTGACTCGTTTAAATTTTCCGATGAAGTCTCACCTGATAATGAAGCTTATTCCTGTGTACTAGCGCTCACGATGCTTGTGGCAAGAACGGCGCCATCAAGGCAAACTTCATAGTGTATTACATACAAATCATTCTATATATTACTCTGCATCAAACTACCTCGCCGCCGCTGATGATCCTGGAAGTCAGCCGGTGGTTTACCCGAGTGCTCAAGGGCTTCACGACGATGAGAGTACATGGGAGCTTTGCTTGACGATGATGTTTAATGGTTCGTATAAAACTGATGGATTCTTGGTCAACGAGGACTGTAATGACTGTCCAGTGATGATGCTTACCGATCCATGATGAAGTCTGCGAGTGAATTGTCCCTGCTTCGCATGTTCACAACATGGCCGGCGCTGGAACCAATCCTCATAACGACTGCATCACCTCGGAATATGTGGTCAGTGCTGAGAAGCTGATTGGTTCTCAGATGGCGGTGCCGCTTGAAGAAAACACAAAACTGATAAGTGTGTCTTCCTTCATGCAGGGTGACACCACAGTTATGAACATAAGGCTGCACGGTTGCACAATCCATGAGGCTCTCGGGAACGGGAAAGTGTTTCGCCCTGCGCGAGCGATCAGAGCATCGTGTCAACACGGTGACCTGACGAGGTTTACTCCAGGATGAAGAATACAGCCTACACCGCAAATGAAGTTCAGCAGTCTGTATAGCGGTCAGTATAAATCAAGAGAAGCGAGATGATAGCAGCTTACGGATGACGTGGGGAAGACATAAACGCGAGTATTGACCATTGCACAGGAATGACAAATGAAAATTAGATAGGCGACCAGCGCTTAGAACAAGGAGTGGCTTGAAAGTGGGCGATGAAAGTGGGCGATGAAAGTGGGCGATCTTATAGTAGTTTTTTAGTACTTACCTTGAACTGAATGTATCTCGCCCAGAGCGCAGAGCATCCCGAAGAGTTGAATTGATGAACCGATCACCATATCTATTGTCTTTATTTGTTCCGCAGAATGCGGGGATCAGAACAATAATTATGGTTTCGTAAACATCTTGCATGCCTAGGCTTTTTGTGTTTTTCATTTTGCATTTATGACACACCCAAAATGACAACGCTCGAGGCCCTGAAAAATGATAATAGAACGTCGTCAGGGTGAATCGTGAATCACTAGTGACCGAAAAGTTAGAATAATAAAGTCTAAATACAATAATGGTGGACGTACATAAGTAGGATCCATGCCGAGCCCAAAAGTCAAACATTCACGACGCCGACTCCCATTACCATGTCAGAAACACAGCACTATGTTCACAACGAGCAAGAGAACATACAAACAGCCAGTGACATAGGCTTGTTCGAAGACGATGATATGGAAGGTGCTGAGAGTCGGACATCCCAGCTTGATACAGCACAATACAGAGTATGTCCATATTCATTGAGCGAGCGAGAATCATGCCGGGCTCAGTATCTGTTCCAGGTATCGGAAGAGGCCTCCCGGATGGACTTCGAAGAGCCTTTGAATGATGTCACAGGCCAGTCATCAACTTGGACAACTCAGTTGCACAAGAGAGGGACCTCCCGGATGGACTTGGACGATGTCGCAAGCCAGACAAGGACAGCTCTGCCCGACAAGAGGGAAAAGCGAGCCGCCCATTCGGTATGTCTAGGTAATATGATTCAAGGTTAATGTTAGATTTCATTTTATCAGGTACTACCTGACAAGCGTCGCATCAAAGAAGTCGACTACTCAGAGACACTACGCCAAACTGTGTACAGTCAGGGGGAACTGATCCACAATATGCAAACGGTCCGTAGTATCTCACTGGAGATTTTTTAATATCTGACGTGGCCGCTGTAGCAAGTGGAAAATCAAAAGGCTGAACATGAGCAAAACATGAACGAGATGAAACGTCAATGGGAAACAACCCTGAGAGAGCGGCAAGAGCAACTAGCAGAGGCCCAGGAGGAAATTGAGGTAATTCCTGCTGCAGCGTGTGACCACTAGACGTACGCTCATGAGCATGACAGAGGACACGCGTCCAGCAGCACCTACTTGAAGAACATATCAAAGAAACTCGGGAGGGACTCGGCCAGGCTAATCAGGAAGCAATAAACGCCGTTATGCACAAAATCCAGCAGGACGCTCGCGATCACTTGGTGCAAGCACGGATACAGCAAGAAGCAGAGCTGCGTGAAAACCTGGCCCGACGTGAGCAAGAGTTGAAGAGACAGACAAACGAAGAGGTGAGATGGATAATACGACAGAAAAACAGTTTGTTAACAATAAACAGTTGCGAGAGCGCGAGAATACGATACTCGCTGAGATGGATCGAAGGTTACAGCAAGAAATGCTCAAGTTGAAGGCGAGAACATGTTTCGTATACAAATGAAAATATACTGAAATACTCACCAGGCAGAAAAAGAGAGCGAGGTGGCCAAGATGGAACGGAGATTTTCCAGGCGTCGCGGGCCTCAGAATGAGGATATAGATATGAACAACCCCACTATGCCAGGAGATGCGGGACAACCATCATCTCCGTATGCAAAACCACGATCAGGTACCTTATGCTATGATGCAATTAAGAGAATTAAGAAAACTCGGGGAATGTCGCATAGAGTTCGCCTTGTATCGGTAGTATCGGAGGTAAGTGTCCGGTGCTGTTGACTGCGATTTAAACCTACACAGTGATAGGTGGACGAAGAGGAAATACCTCGAGAACAGTCGTCCGAACAAGACGCACCACCACATCTACAACACGATACACATCCTGCTACAGCGATGGAAGATGCGATTGCGAGAGGTGTAGAAGCCGCGCTGAGACGTGTTCTAATCGACAAAGAATTTCCAGTCACCAAAAAGCACAGTCCCCGGAGAAGAAAGACGGAGGAAAAAGAACTCCAGCAAGAGAAGGCGGCCGAGAAAAACTACGAAAGAGACTTCCTTTTGGTAAGCCAAAATATGGTATGGGATGCTGTGACTTACAGTGATGTATAGGGAGAAGTGCGGCGTCTCTTCAAGGACGTTTTCAACATTTCTCAAGACGCCGATTTCATACTTCATCAGGCGGCTAGTCGTGAGGATGTCTACGCATACGAATATGAAGACGGCCCAGGTCCCAATTGCCAAGATCTCGCCTTTGATCTTACATGTGGCCTCAAAAGCCCCTGGAACGATAAAGTCATTGGCTTGCTCCTTGCAGAATTGCAGAGAAGGGGTGCGGAAGAGAGCTGGCCGTTCCGAAGGTCAGAGGCGTATTTTAGGGAGGTTCTTCAACACCGCTACAAGCGCCTGCGTACAGTCTGGACAGCTGCACAACCCAAGGTTACAGCGAAGGGTGGATTGGAGACTCCTGCAGAAGTGGAACAGAGGCTGATAACGAAGAAGGATGGGACATTGAAAGCGACTCGTCAGACAACGCGTCGGAAAAATGTATGTTCAAGCGCTCCATATTATTCTGTTGCTGATGCCTTCTCAGAAATATCTTCGCAGAGTTACAGTTCTTAACCATCTCGTTGGGTACAAGGCCGACGAAAACGAGGAAGACCTCCCAGCTTGGAAGTGGCTTCAACAACTAGTCGGGACGTTAGGAGAAGGCGGCATGAGTTCGGAGGAGAGTGACATCGAAAACGATATCAAAACAGTTCTTCGTGTCAAGAACATGACTTGGCGCCGAGCGATCGAACGGGAATTGGATATTATCGATCAACAAAGAATCGTGGATGTCGATATTTTTCCCCCCCAAGGTTCAAAGCCGATGAAACGGATACGCTCGGCTGGGAATCCAACGACATCCAGAACGCAAGTCGATGGATTACCTAAAGCATTGTACAACGAGGATTGGCTTGCAGGTTTGACAAAGCGTGAAGTTGAGAGGTTATCAATCTCAGATGAAACATTTAAATGGGTGAGAGTCGCGGTTGTGTAGTGTTGAACAATGTACTGCAGGCAAAAGAACATGTAATTTTGGGTAGACGACAGCGCTGTACGAGGAAATTAAAGTCAGGATAGCGATGGAATTAAAGTGAGTACATACCAGTCTGTGTCCCGAACTCATCCCTCGAATTGGTGCTAGGGATCGACACACGGCGGTACATACTGCCGTGTCAGGACTCTGGGACGAGGACGTTCTACCATCAGCACCCCTTTCAGTGCGCCTTTTTCATCATCCGGCCTTTCCAATGCACTCCAGGCATCGAGGGAATGAGGAGCTTGACGGCGACGACAGGACCGTCGTATCCACCAGCTGAAGTCCAGCAGACACGACAGTACAGACTGTCGTGTCGGAGGAGAGGATAAGGGGCCAGATGCGACGATAGCATGGACCGTCATATCCACCAGTCGAAGTCCAGCAGACACGACAGTACAGACCGTCGTGTCGGAGGAGGGGGGGAGCAGGGGATAAACGCAACAGTACAGACCGTTGCGTCAGGTAGAGGTTGAAGTATAGATTTAGTATGTATACAAGAATAGAATCGAATAGGTAAGAAAGACTTTGAATCAATTCGTCAAAAAGTACAAACATCTGTAAACAAAGTCACGTGCAAAAAAACTCAACCCCAACTCAAAGTCTCAACCTTTGAAAGTATAACTCCAAAACGATCTATATTTAGGGCTCAGCAGTCTGTACTGCTGAGTCTTCTCTTCGACTCATAACCTCCATCGCCTAGCGGTTTGTACTGCTAGGCGTGGGCGTGTTCCATGCGACTACCTCAGCATATCCCGATATCGGCGCCCTCGAATTTAAACCCCGCAGGCTCTTGTTATTGTTCAGCTGCGCCCAACGGGTCCACAACTTGCTTGTCACGTTCTCTTGATCTTAACTTGCTTGTCACGTTCTCTTGATCTTGTTCTCTGCCTATCGCGTGCAACCGTCTGTACTGTTGCCTGCCGTGTTCTCTCGCTCTTGTTCTTGGTCTGTCGCGTGCAACGGTTTGTACTGTCGCACGTTTTCTTCCATCACCCACTCCTCAGTCGCAAAGCACTATGCCGCCCATGGAGACTCCCAAGCTCCGTGTATTCGTGCACGAAAACCAAACTTTCACATCCTTCAATGCGTCGTCGCTTCCTGCCACGATCCCTCCTATTCCTCGGCCCTGGAATCCCAACCTCGAGTCCGATTCTTCCTCTGACAATATCAAAGATGCGCTGACCACGCAATGGGCTTACAAGACACGCCCATGGTTTCCCCTTGTCGCGTCAAACCCTCATTTCAACGGAGCTGTCTTTTCCTGCCTGAATCATTCGCTCTACTCCTTGCCCATAGAGTCTACACTCGACGGTCGCTATATCTTGCGTGGAGACGTTTGGCGAGAATGGCAGAGTCTAGAGCAAAAGTTACTCTGGTGCTCGCAACGGTTAGCAGTGAACATGCATTTTCCCTGGTATGGCCAGGCCCCAAGACCACCCAAAGACTATGGGTACCTGAGGCCCCAGGTTGATGCGAAGCTTGCAAAGAAGGTTGCTATGAGATCTCGCGACGCATTCTTAGGTATGTTACTCGTATATATTCGCTGATAATGTCTGATTGCGTGTATTCGCAGGAATCTCAGCTCTCTGCACATACTTCATTATGGCTCGTCGGTATCGACCCCATAACGATTCCCCAACCTGGACTTCTCTCTTAATAAACGACCCTCAATGTCCTATCCTATCTGCATGGGTGATGGAACTCTCCCGCACATTTGTCGGGGATCTTACAGATGTCGTACCACGCAATGGTATGATTATCAATGGTGCTTATAGTCTGGCCTGGGACACAGACGTGATCATGTTTGAACATTTCAAAGTTCCAATCTGGGTTTATTGGCCTCCTGACATTCCCGGCAACAAGACATGGAAACGCTACATTCCCTCAGCAGAAGATCTCGCAGGAGCGACTTGCGCTACTTCGGCTTGGCCCGATTTGCAGAACAATGACGCCTGGGGTGTTCAGGCTGATTCTCATTTTTGGCTTTCCCAGTCAAATGATATGTGGGACCCCGAACCGAGCCAACCAGCACCGTTGTCCACTCAACCTCAACAAGACCTCTCCCGTTTTCCCCTTCCCCATAAAAATAGTGGGCAGAGGCATGGCGAAGATTGGTCTGCGTTTTTTGCGCACAGGGCCTTGCAGAACGCGAAGAAGGAGGAGAAAAAGACTCCATCTCAACGACAGGCTCGTCTGAGTCGTCAACGTTCAGCCGAGAATCACAGCCTTCCCGGCAGGTCCAGTAGGGTTTGGGTGTTTGAATGGCAACCTCAAGATGATGCCAATGATTTCATGTTGCGCACCCACATCACGAAGGCTGGGGTTGAGGAGATTTGGGGAAATTACAGCAAGTCCACCAGGATCTTCGATTCCTTCTCCAATCAATGGGACTTGTGTCTCGCACTCGACCCCACTGGCATCCCTGACGGCGATGATCGGGAAGATGACGAAGATATCATGCCTCCCCTCCCCATAACAACCCCTTCCCAGGTTCCACCTCCCGCCCCTTCCAGTTTTGCCGATGATATATATACATACTTCGGCAGCGAAGTTTCACTTTCATCAAGATATACATTTATTGAAGGATTCGTTCCCGTCTTGCATTATCACTTCGGATATCGTATCACCGCTCCTACCTCCGCTCCCTTGGCCATATCGTTCCTACCAGCGAGCGACTGGATTAAATCGGCAAAATGGGATCAACTTCACAAGCTCCTTGGTGATTCAACAGCAGAAACGGGTTCGATCACAGAGCCACAACGCCAATGCATCACGAAGTTCATTGCATATCTCGTCAACATGAAAGAATCCGACTTGAATACAATCCCACCTGACCTTTGGGATCTTGGACCCCTGTCGTCTCTACAAATTTCACATCCTTATATTTGTGTCTCTCTCGCGCAGCTATCACAATGTCGATATTATATAATCGAGCCCCGCGAGTCCCCAAACCTTGTCGTTTGGACTCTGGCTGTCCTCAACCCCGCAACTGCTGTAATGTGCCTCCGTCGTGATTGGGGCTCAGACATGAAGCAGATTGCGTTAGCTTTACTTCAACGAGGTATTGCATTCAGGACCTTACAGCAAATGACTGTCGCACCCAACCGGCGCTGCCCCCTTTCTGAACTTCGTACTTACACATTGGGACGTCGACGACCCCCCTTCAATCCCCTATATGCTGATTACATCGTGTATGAACAGCTACGCCATGAATTCATGAATCTTCCCCGGGCGAGGGCTGCGTTCCTGCATGGAGGACTCGTATGGCGGTTGGCTTTGCATAGCCTTGGTTTCGACCATCTTCCATCTGTCCTCGACGGTATTTCAACGGAAGCCGTTCCGTTTGGCGAGTTATTGATTGGCGATGGTGGTCAGACTCACTACGACGATGGGTTGTCAGAGGAGGAAATCGATTTTATGTGTGGAACGTACTACATAGACCACCGTAAGCTTGCTACTGTCCCATCAGTACTTACTAATAACCACGCTTCTAGGTGACGGACAGGAGGTAGTTTCATGGTGGCCTCGGCCCAATGCTTGGAATGTGTCGGGCTTGAATGTTGGCTTTTGGTCTGCTCGCTGCGAAGATTGGTTCCAAGGACGTCTTGGCAACATTCGAGAAGGGGTTTCTCGTATGCGACATTCGCTCACTAAGGACGCCAATGGTCCAATGACCTCCGCACAATGGAAGTGCTCCCTTAAATTTCAACCTGCTACCAATAAGATCATGCGCAACGTTTCGGCAGCAAGTTATGATTTCATGACAAGAGCACCAGGTAAGAGCTTCCCCACTTCCTTTCTCATTCACGCTCACGAGGTTTGCATAGTTTGGCGCACATAGTTTTACATTGCTACATTGCTACATTTGTATGATATAGACATTTTTGCTAATCTCAGTGTGGTGTGATCGCCGTTTGCGGGTGATGAGTGGGCGACAATTGAATTATTGGTGGGCGATGATCGGGCGATTTATTTCGTCCAAGCGCAAAACTTGTAGTTTCGCCATCACATTTTGTCGCTGGCGTAAACTTCAAATTTTTGGCAGCCCCTAATTGTTGGACAAAACTTAAAACGTTGGCAAGCATACAGCCGCGGATTAAACTTCAAGTTTCGTCCGAAATTTTATGTGATAATTAAATTTAAAATTAAAGCAGACGCTGAAAACCAGACCATATTTCTTATTTGTGTTGACGTATAGTCAGTGAAAAAATGGCTGCGAATATTTCATATTTTCGATTTTGCACAAAACAATGACTAAATTTGAAATTTTATGCCCCTCTTTATGTCAGTTCAAACTCCAAATATTTTCTTCGCATTTCGTACAACATATAAACCTCTCCTAAATATCAATAACCCCGAAGTGTTTCAAACAGATGAGAATTTGGCCACTTCCCAAGTCGTGCTGCCGGACAATGACTACGTAAAACACCTTGATAAGGCCTACAGTGGAACTAGTAGTAGTCAAGCGGCAGCGGTACCGAAATTGCAAACTCCCAAAGTAGAGCCAGTTCGGCAACGAGATGTTGACCGAGGTTTGGCAAATGTCAGGTGAGGCTTCTCGGCTTGAAGCGTCCCAGACGTCGGACTTCTAACCTTACATCTCCTACCTGTACAACATCTCCTACCTGTACATCTACCATGCATCCCTATCTTATTGATTGTCATCGACGACAAAGACTTCATACTAGCGTTATTGCACTTGCGGCTATCTGTGCTAGTTTTACGACAGTTCTCATGGCTCAGCCAGAGGTCACACAGCAGACTGACAGTTCAAAGGCACATTGGCAGGATGCGGAGGTGGATGTCCTGCTTCACCACCTGATTGAGAATCGGGCATCAGGTGGTGATGGCGGAAATTCCTCAATGCCTACCTACAACAGTGCAGCAGCTGCTATCAACACCGATGGTACGATTCAGACAATAGGCCCACCGAAGACGGGCAAGATGGTCAAGACGAAGTGGACCTCGGTATGTTATCTTATATTGATCGACCATGAATTGATGAGATTGGTTTAGCTCAAAAAAACATTCAATCAAATCGAGGTTTACCGCAACGTGTCTGGCTTCCATTGGGACAATGTGCGGGGAGCTGGAATTGAGGGCACTGCTGCTGCGAGCGTTTGGGATACATATGTTGCGGCAAAGGTATGTCATTATTAAATATATTGCGCAACATTGACTAACATTGAGCTAGTCACGAATCGCAATGCGCCCCTTGCGCAACAAAGGGTGGCCCCCATACGACGACATGCAGGCCATCTTAGGCGAGAACAGTGGTGCTCGTGGAAGGCATGCATTCCACCCCGCTACTACAGCCCCCGCCTCCATCAGTATCGATGATGTGCTCGATGACGCTGACGGGGGCCTCAACCTTCTTGACATGGATGTGGACCCCAGTGTGCCAGACATGAGCGCTGACCTGATGATGCCACTTAGCATCAGAGCCTCCGCTACTACTGGCTCCCAGTCCAGTAAACGCCTGCGCACCAACACTCTACTCGACTCCGTGGAGACATCGTCTCTCCCTTCCAGTGGCGTCCCCATATCTACCCATCCCGCTACTCCCCAGTCGTCAACTCTCCCGCTTTCAACGACATTGGTGCCCTCCACTCAGGTCTTCAAGAAGGCTCGAGTGTCGGCACATGGCAGCACACATATGGGGACGAGCAGTGCTGCCAGAGTCGCTGCGAAGATAACTCCAGCAGCTGCCGTCATGAACATGCAAGGTAGTATCAATCGCCTCACTGACGCTATTGAAAAGAGCTTGGCCCATCCGCTTGAAATGGTGCCACCACCACCACCACCTCCTCCTCCTCCTCCTGCTCCACCCACCATGATCTCCCGCGGTCTCGCAATCATGCGCAGCACAGATGCGGATCTGGGAGTTGAACAGAGAGCCACCCTCCTGCGGATATTTACCCGTGCAGGAGGGGAGAACAATCTTGCCGCTTATGTCGAGCTGGAGGATGACTTTGAGATGCGCCGCGCGTTTATCTCTGGGCTCCTCGTGTCTACATAGAACTACCATACCATTTGTATCACTTCTCATTACATTTTCGTATCAACATGTAGTATCTGTATTGTACATCCTATATGACATCATGATGAGTACACGGGTGCGATTGAGTGTGAGTATGAGAGTGAGAAGGAACTTGCGGGACCAGGAACGATGTATAGGTGCGATTGAGCGTGAGTATGAGAGTGAGAAGGAACTTGCAGGACCGGGAACGGATCAGGAGTAGATGGTTGTGGTTGCTGCTGCTGATATATAACATTGTAAAGTACAAGTGCATACTAGTACTAGTCCAGTCCGTCCTCATCCTCCTCTGCAATACCTTCTGATAGATCGTCGTTATCATCTCCTCTCTCCTGCAAAATGCGCTGATAATCCACCCACATCGCTTCGGCAATGCGATCACGCATCAAATGGACGTCGTCGTGTCTAGCCGGATGATTCTCTGCTGGCTCCTGCTCCCAGTTTGCGGTGTGCGCATCGCCAATGGGGTGGTCCGCATCAGGCAGGTTGCCTTCTGCAGGATCATGTAAGCGGATAAAATTATGGACGCTGCACAACGCAGCTGGGATCTGAGCTTGTACGCCCATAGCGTATGGTGGGGACAGCAGGAGGATCCGGAAGCGTCGTTTGAGGACACCGAATATCCGCTCGATGACGTTTCGAGCGGATGCGTGACGTAGATTGAACAGCTCTTGTTTCGTAGTTGGCCTGTTAAAAATTAGCACATAACACAAAGAAAAAGGCTGGTACAACTCGCCTTACACTTGCACGACCCCATTCTGCAAGGTGGTAGCGCACGTTACGGTAGGGAATGAGTAGTTCAGGCCGCAGAGGGAAACCTGCATCTGCAAGGAAATATTTCCCTACAGGAATGCGAAGGTCATGGCCCTCTGCAGCCTCGTAGATACGCGCGTCTGTAGCTGACCCCTCCCAGCCAGTGAGGGCGTATATGAAGTTGAGGTTGAAATCACATGCAAACAAGCAGTTTTGCGAAACGAATCCCTTTCGATTACGATAGGGACCTCGTTCGAATGCGCGAGGCGATGCGTGAATGTGGCTTCCGTCGATGGCACCAATGGTATCTTTAAAAAACGGCCAGAACTTTGGGTTATGGCGGATTTTGTTGGGAACGGAGGCATCTGGTAACTGGACATATTTTGTATAGAAGGGGGACGACGAGAAGATGTTGAGCATCTTGCGAAAGTAACTACATAGAACATGAGACAATATAAAAACTGTTAGCGCATAGTACTTACCGGGAAATCGTATCATTCGAGCGTTGAAATCTTTCGCCAACGTGTCTGAGGGACAAACCTGTAACAGATGTGTACAGGAAAATCGCAAGCTGCTCTTCTAGCGAGACGAACTTGGAGGCAGTGTGTCCAAGGGCACGAATCTCAGAGATGAGCTCTGCAAAGACGTGTGCATGCACACCAAGTTCGCACCGAATTCGTTCTGGATGACCAGACAATAGCTCCATAACCCAGGCTTCGCCGGAGAGGGCAGACGTGTGATAGGGCTCTGGATCCTTTGCATACACGGACTCTAATATATTGGCTGTAGCGCTGATCAGAATACTAACAAGAAGAATCGAATATTGGACAAGGCGACGTCGAGTTTCTGGGCGTTGGGGCACATAAGGTGGGAGTCGCGATTGAACACTCATTGCTGTAGGACATAGATCAAGGACGATGTGTATAGCGTATCGATAACAGCTGGCATTAGGGTTGGACGAATACAGCTATAATTTGAGCTCCGACGTCTGGGACGCTTCAAGCCGAGAAGCCTCACCTGACATTTGCCAAACCTCGGTCAACATCTCGTTGCCGAACTGGCTCTACGGTATGCAGCTGACTCGGTTCTCGAGTGTTTTCTCTATTTTTTCCCGCGCACTGTGCAACCCCTCATGAATGTATGGACCATCACTCTATAAAATATACACACCTCACTCACGTAGCTACCCGCAGACTTCCATTTCGTCTCCTTCGGAGATGACAACAGATGAACTTACCAGTGAAGCTGGCCAACAATCAGCACATTCTTTATCAGGCTTGCTGCAAGATCTTACCAAGGAACTGCAGAAGAGCTCACCATTTCCTATAACTTGCGGAGGCTTTGGGGACATCTATAAGTGTCAGTTGGTGAGGCCAGATGGGACCGTTCCGGTAAGACCAGTCTGTGCACTTGCGTCACATATTTTTTTAAATATAATGAAGGTAGCAGTGAAGACCATCCGTGCTTTACAGTCTGATAACGAGGCCTTGATGCGGAAGAATAGGAAGGTAATGCCCTCCTCAATAATTGGGGTTTTCTAATGAATTTGGCATAGAGAATTCGTCGCGAGCTGAAAGTTTGGGGCCGCCTCAAACACAACAGTATTCTTCCACTCTGGGGAGTGGCGATCGACTTTGGACCTTATCTCGCAATGGTCTGTCCATGGGCTGATAATGGAACTTTGACGGGCTTTCTTGAGCGCCAAGAAGATGTATTGACATTGGAAGATAAGTTCACCCTTGTAAGCACGTATTCACGAGTATTTCTGGACACTTGTTGACCTGTTGATGCACGTCAGTTGACTGATATCGCTCTTGGTTTACAATATCGTAAGTGATCCTTCACTCCACCTGAGTTTCAAATGCCGACAAGAGTCAGTCCATAGCAAATCAATTGTCCATGGTGATCTGACAGGGGTGTGTACGGGGACATGCAGTGGTATCCCTCATTACTGATGTCCTGATTCTCTAGTCAAATGTCTTGATCTATGAAAATGGTCGGGCATGCGTCACTGATTTCGGTCTCTCAACTATGATCGAGGAGTTTACTGGTACTTCCTATCTCACGAGCTCCATCAGGGGAAATGTCCGATGGGCAGCTGCAGAGCTATATGACATACCCGAGAGCGATGGAGATGATTCGCAGGTGTCGCTCAGTGTTGAATGCGACATCTACTCATTTGGTAGCATCATCTTGCAGGTGAATAGCTTGAGTTCTGGGCCAAAAGAACCTTTGCTCACTTTGCGAATGCTTTAGGTATTAACTTGCAAGGTGCCCTACTACGATGTGAAGAAGGATAATGTGGTGTTGGGACACGTCGTCAGAGGAAAGAAACCAGAGCCCCCCAAGGGCTCGCAAGTTGTACCCACGCACTGGGAGTTCATACAGCGGTGTTGGTTACCTCGCGCTAGTCGACCATCAATTGGAGATATTGTGCTGTTTGCACATCAGCGATACTGCGAGCTGCATTCAAACGATACAGTTGATGATGGGAATTCGTCTGGGAATTCGTCTGGGATTTGGCCTGGGACCTGGTCTGGGGGTTGGTCTGGGCACTGGTCTGACAGTGATAGCGATGAAGGTGAAGAGTCAGATGACGGCAGCTCCTCTGGAACCGACCAGAGTGCCGAAGAAGAGGGTCTGGATGGAAACGATGATGGAGAGTATGATAAAGAGCAACAGGGCAGTGAGGGTGACGAGCACGACAAGAGGGGCGACGAGGATCATGAGGGCGACAAATGTGATGAGGTCGTTGGCTTAGATGGAAGAGACGGGTCCGACGACAACGATAGCTCCTCCGGAATCGACCAGGATGTTGAAAGAGAGGACTTCGACGAAGACAGGGATGACGAAAGTGTGGAAGGGAATGAAGGGCATGAAGGCAGTGAGGATGATGAGAATGGAGGTGATGAGGAGGAAGATGAAAACAGCGAGGGGGAGGGTGATGGCGATGATGAGGGTGATGAGGGCGATAGCGATGATGGGGACGATGTTGACTGTGCGAGCTATGATGATGATTCGGATGGTGGGGCGGACGGTGGCTGGAATGATGACTCGGACGTATCCTGGTAGATCACAGTGCAACTTATTTAATGAAGATTGTAACGTGGATGATTGTAACCTCAGTACTACTACAGGTCTACCTACTCACTGGTTACTATCAAGGTTCCGCGGATACTACCGACAGCATTGTAGAAAGAACCTGCACCGTGAACGTCCGGGTGATTCGAGTCTCATCGCCAGCCGATTGCCAAATGAATACTAGTACAATATTCACCGAGAGTCTCGGCGCCTCGTTGCGTTTAATGCCAGCAACCAAGTTGTCTGTAAGCCTGAGTATGTACACAAAACGTAAGTACGTGGATTCAATGGAGGCAGGGCGCAACTATGCAAGACCATACTTAGTATCTCGGAGCTCATAACCTTTTTCAAACGTCTTCCTGCAAAAATTCATTTACCCCTGCAGCCCTTCAAATCACTTTGGGGCCGAATTACCCTTCACTACCGGTGTTTCATACACTAGTTCTAACTTGATTGAACATACCAGGGAACGATAAACTTACTCTGACGAAGATTACAGCTTGCCATGCCTCGCGAAAACAGTTTCACGGACTCTGTCGGACGTTCCTTGACGCCTGACCTTGAGGACGAATTTATGCCATCACCAAGTCCAGCATTGCGTTCCGCATCTCCTGCTCATATCGAACTGTCTTTACCCTCCAATGGACCCTTTCAAGAACCTATGGTTCAGTCTTGCCGACTCGGACGTGCATCTTCGTCAATACTTCCGGCCTTACTGCAGCCAGAACGTGTTCCTGCCATCCATTTTCAAACTCCCAAAGATCGCTTCCGGTCATATGTTCGTAAAGTAATTTCCATGCACCGAACAACAACCGTCTTTTCGGGCTTCGGTCTCGCCGGTGCGGAACCTGGTGTTGACCCGCGCAGGCAGTCCGCATACCTCCATTATGCGCACATTCGCGAGCGCTGCGAGATCCAGATCAACGACTATAGTACCGTGAGGAGCAGCTTTGGAAAGATGGATAATGAGCGTTTCGTACAAATGTTCAATGATAAGAGAAGTTCGGAGAAGGAGTCTTGGGTGAAGGTGAGGTGGATAAATGTGTGCGGCATCAGCTGGGATGTGATGAGTGTACTTGCCCTGAAGTACGGTATGTAAATGGTCATGATACCTCATGCGAGGTGTTGATAATCATCCTGCGTGCGTAGGCCTTCATCCCCTCGCCCTCGAAGATGTATTGCACACACACGGACACACGCGCTCCAAAACGGACTACTACAATCAACACCTCTTTATCCATGTCTTATCTCACACACTCGCTTCCTCCTCTTCATCTCACTCCTATATACCAGAGGACGAAGACCCACTACGGAGCTCCTCACCAGGTCCAATGACACCAGGAGACTATCACGAGGAGGGGTACTTCAAGGATGATAACCTCCATGCAGATGCTGGGGATGAAGATCACATGATGTATGACGACAGTGTGCCTGCAACCTGGCGACTTGGAAGCACTGTCAGGAGCCAAAGGTCAGCGAAAGCTGACATGGAGAGTGTAGCAAGGGCCAGGGAGAACGGCTTAACCCCGCTGACATCTGCTACACGGAAGGAGAGCGCGGTGCGTTGTATCTCTCACATTCTGTGTTTTTCTTCATTGTATTTTCTTTTTATTTGTTTGTTTTCATCTCCAACCCTTCGAACCAATTCACAATTCGGTTCCAAACTGATACTCATCAGAATCTCCTCCCTGCGCAGTCACGAAAACGCCGGGAGAAAGCTCGTATGACTCTTGCTGATCTCAAGAAGGCAGGTCGCGTGGACGTTTGTATCCACCCGATATCAATTTTCTTATTGAGAGACGGTGAGTGCTGGACTGATTCGCCTAGTTGTTTCATTGCGTTATTTCTGCCACATTCTGTCCTTCCTTCTCGGTATACTTGTCTTGTCTTATCTTGTATCAATTCATGGCGATAGGAGTGTACGCACATCCGGTGAGCCACGTGTATGATGATTTATGGTGCCATGTATCCCGATTTTGAGCCAACATTCACTATATGCTTTTATTTTGACGCATATATTGCAGTTTGTGCGCATTTTGGCTCTTGCTTTGATGTATATGCTTCGAGTTTGAGCTGCGTCTCAGTTTCGAATGATAATAGCTGACTCTACCTGACACAGGCACAGTAATCTCTGTCATGCCATCCAATTTCATTCATTTCACGGGTCCCATCATGGCGCGTCTCCGACAGCCCGACACGGGGCTGCGTGCATCTGCAGATCCCAGTCTGCTCGTTCAAAGTCTGCTCGACCTCATTGTGGACTCTGCACTTGAGGTAGTGGATGCATTCCACGAGAAGATATTGCAACTAGAATACGATGTGTTAATGAAGCCGAATATGAAAGTGGTTACAAGGCGTGCGCATTATTCCCATCGTCTGTTTCTGCTTGTGTTGACAGACCTGAAACTAGTGCACATTCTTTCTGGTGATTTGATACTGCACAAGCGGACACTTGGGCCCCTCAAGACGGTCATTTATGGGCTACGGCGGTACGACGAAGACCGGTGTGCTGCACTTCTCTCACCTGCTGAGAAGGAGGTGCAAGAGCAAAGCAGAGAGAAAGTGAAGGGGTTCATGTCCAATAAGAGCAAAATATACCTGGTGCGTCGTGACCTGTTTTCGCCTCTTTGTATAAGTCTTGGCTGTTGAGATACGGTGGCAGGCGGACGTACACGATCATATGGAATATATCCTTACAAGCATGGATATGTTCGCAGGGATAACAGAAAACCTGATGAACTACACGTTCAATGTGCGTACTTGCTTTATTTCAACTCTCTCGTCTTGATTGACGTGAGTGACAGATAAAATCATACGAAATGAACGTAGTCATGTGCGTGCATTTTTTATTTCATCGGCATGCTTTGAGTTGATGTCAACTATCAGGCGCCGCCTCACCCTCGCAACTATCATATTCCTCCCGCTGACATTGCTCACGGGTTATTTTGTATGTTTCCTGTCATCTCACCTACCCCACCGAGTATAACGTATTGCATAGGGAATGAATTTTGCATCGATGTGGAGTGTCAATGACCATTCCGACGCCCTGTACATATCCTATCTGTACTGAACTGAAACAAAACCCGAGGCTGACTTATACACGCACACAGATTTTGGAAGATTGCGATCCCTCTCATGGCATTCGTTATACCCTTATTTATGTGGTCAGACATAAAGCATGCCACGCATTACGCTGAGAAACGGTGGGCGGCAAAGGTGCGTCATTGCCTGGTTTGTTGTGCACTGTGTATGTCAATAATCGTCTGATAGACTACCAAGGCAAGTTGGCGTGACTGACCGATGCCCGCAATATTCAACGCGGTTGTATTACCCGACTTTACACGATTGCGTTTGGTAGATTTCGGAGTATTTGACGTTGCTTGCTTGCGGGCTAGCGACGATAGCTAGAAATGCTAAGTGTGGTTGCTACGGGGCACACCTCTTTCTAAGCTGAGAACACATGCCTTGAGTGGAGTGGACTAGCACTCCTTTGATCACATATGCCTTGACCGCTTTAACATACTGGTATGCTTGGTTCAGCAGGGATCTTGCCTAGTGACCCTATTTCCCGCGCTCATGAGCTGTAACATTAGGCTCTCGGGTCACGCGTTGAGTCAGGGATAAAAGCCGATTCTCGAAACGTACCGAGGTCCGACGCACAAACTACGCACTGGCGTTGCAGAGCAACGCGCTTCTGAATAATGTTCAGAATGACAGAGTGGCCAGCTAAGTGGCTGCTTGTGCATGCAGCGAGGACCTTGGAAAATTCTATGGCTATTTCTTAACTGAAGGACAGTTTCCCTCACCTCGTTTGTGTACAGGGAAGCGCGTCGGGTTTTGCATTTGGAGATCAAAGAATTCCTTCTCTTTGATCCCGGACCGCATTACCCTGTCATGCGTCATGATGGATGAATAGAGATTTTACCCCGCTTATTCAGAACTTATACTTAAGCATGCTTGCTTAGCAGGAGGACTTCTCCGACCGCCTTTTCTTCGACATTTGTCCCACTAGATCATGACAAGAGATGTTCCAACGAGATGTAGAGCGGTCTTGCTCGCCATTTTCATTGCGTTTGGTGATTTCACTCTCGTCACTGCTATCCTGTGCTAATTGAACTCTTCCTTGCAGGAGGTGCGCGGCTGTCATACAGAATAGAAAACGTACGTCATTAGCAACTGCCATGTTCCCGTTTCTATGCTTATATGGGCAGTAGATTAATGTCCACTCAATTAACATTCGGCAATAGGCTTCTTGTTTGGGTATGATATAGGTGTCATATCAGTATGTACTCATATCTTCTCAGTCCTTGGCATATCTAAACTTCTCTTCTACTTCAGGGATGTCTGATTATGCCAGACTTTATCCGCCAATTCGGCCAAGAAGGAACGAATGGTCAGTACTGCCTGTCAAGTTCGAGACAATCGATCATTGTCTCTGTTCTATCGGCTGGGTAAGACCGCGATGTCTGATTCCACTCCGAGCTGATATTCGTACTCATCGTAGCACATTTTGGTGAGGAAATTATATTTCGTTGCTTTTAATATGGTCTGACGATAGCTAAAGTGGAGCCATCGTTCAAGCGTTCACGTCTGATCGGCTGGGACGCCGTGGATCCATTCTACTCTGGTCGGCTATCTTCACTGTCGGCGTGGCTATCCAAACCAGCACGACATACTCTCTCGTTCAGTTGCTCATAGGGCGTTATATCGCAGGCTTAGGTGCCGGTTCATTGTCAGGTTGGTGCTGATGTCATAATATGACTTTGTGAATCTAACTACATCTATTCAGCTATCGTGCCCTTGTATAACGGAGAAACGGCACCGAAAGCTATTCGTGGTACGATCTTGGCTATCTATCAAGTCCAAATTATCTCGGGGTTAGTCAAGTCTTCATCCTCCATCGTAACAATAGGTAACGCTTGTTATCTAGCGTATTTTTGAGTTATGTGATTGAACTTGGAAGTCACACAATCAACAACTCTGCGTCCTGGCGACTCCCCATCGGATTGCAAATGGTCTGGGGTATCATAATTTTGTCTGGAATGTTTTTCCTTCCAGAATCTCCGTATGTGCAACTTCTGAGAACCTCTCATTTCAAACTGATTTGACCTTCATTAGCCGACACCTTCTCGGAACTGGACGAGGTGACGAAGCGCGCAAGGTCATTGCAGAACTCAACGGAGTCGCTGAAGATGACCCTCTTGTGATTGAGATTGTTAAGGAACTCGATCTTGCTATCAGGGCAGAGAATGAAGGTGGCAAATCGACTTGGTCAGAATGCTTCTCCACGAGAAATGCATTGTGGCGTCGGACGATGAATGGAATCATGCTTCAATTTTTTCAACAACTTAACGGCCAGAACTTTTACTGTAAGATTCTTCGTGCCGATTTATTTTGACCTCTAATGGCTATTGTCGACAGACTTCTATGGCGACACTTTCTTTCAGAGTGCAGGTGCAGGGCGAGTCTTAAATCTCTCCGCTTAAAGCAGTTTAGCTCATGTAATGGCAGGCTTTCGCCTTATATCATCCAGACGATTCTTGGAGCGGTGTCACTTTTTGGAACTCTCCCCGCGCTGTACTTCATCGAGACTTGGGGTCGCCGAAAGGTATTCCTTCTTCCACTAGACGATCAGAGCAGAAATTTTACACTTTCCCAGTCCCTGCTCCTTGGCGCGTCTGCGCAAGCTGTCTGTGCACTAATTGTCCGTGCACATTATTCGTTGGCAAACTGTGCTGGACTGACACTTTCGCTAGGTTGCTGTGGTTGGGCATACTACCCTTGCGCCTACTGGAACCCTAACTTCAGCACTTACTCCTCGTAATAGAGCTGGGGGCAACGTTGTCATTACTTTTGCAGTATTTCAAGTGTTCATCTTCAACACGACTTGGGGACCTACTGCGTGGGTGTACCTCGGGGAGTCTTTCCCTCTTCGAGTGCGCCCCAAATCAATTGCTTTCGGGACTGCGTCAAGTATAATTGTTCCCTTTTCGCTATTTGAATTCGTTACTCACGCTTGTTCAAGACTGGTTCTGGAACTTCATGCTCTCGTTCTTTTCCCCAAGGATTGTCGATCGGTGAGTCTAAACTACAGCCAAAGGTTCTGGGACATTTCTCGATGTTTGAACACCTCGCCAGGATTGGTCCAATGATAATGTTGGTCTTCTTCAGCATGCTTGTCTTTGGATACATCTACGTGTATTTTGCCATTCCTGAAACCAAAGGTTTAACTTTAGAAGAGGTAATAATTCAATGCACGTTCTAAATTGCTGCCCATCTAATGAACTAGGTGGACGAGTTGTACCGCTCTGGCATTCCGCCCTGGCGATCAGTAGGCTGGCGACCGAGTGAGAGGCATCATCACGAAGTGCATGAGAAAGGAACTTCGGACTAGGTGGAGAAACCCTGAAGATATATATGCGTCGCAATACTACGTATTGATATAAGAATGTCCATGTACTTGTACACTGGCCATGTTATTCTAAACGATGAGTAAGTTGTATTTTTTTCACAGACTATGTTTCCGATGAGGGAAGACACTATAGAATGAGGCAGGTATCAATAATACTATCAGTAATTATATCATGCATTTGAGCTGAAATAATGTGCCTTGCGAAATAAAGTTCGAGCTGTGTGAAAGCTTCAACTGGAAGAGTTTACTGGCTTCGGCCGCTTTCATGGAAAGGGGTCTACTGGTAGATTGTCGATGATTTCTAGAGCATTACACAATGCCCGCGGAACCTGCCAGTGGGGTTACAAAAGTCATGTATGAAAAGCACTAGTCGAAGAAATGGAAGGACAAGAGTGGCATATATGAGAGACCGAGTGAGAAGCATGGTAATAACATATCACAACGAAATTTGCGAGGTACAAGAAAAGCTAGCGCCAGATTCTGTGGAAAGAGCTTTGTATCTGAACAGATTTGATGGATTCACATGACTTTGTGATTGGGCCTTGGTAACAATGGGACAAGCCTAGTTTGCTGTATTTCCGGGCCCATGGTGGCAAGGTACCTGCAATTACAATCGAGTTAAGTGATGCGGCTACCAATGAGAAATTCATATTACCTCTGAGATTCGTAACTCCAAGAATGGTGTCCTCGAGCCCACATTACTGTCCCATCAAGATACTCTTTGACTAGGACGTCGATGGAAGGTCCCCATGAAGGAACTTTCGCAAGACCATTAATGAATCGTTTCTGAACTTCGGTGTGATAGTGCGCTGCCCAGGCCATTGCACCGCTCACGTCAAGGCCAAGGTCAAACATGATGGCACTAATAATGTTATGGGCTCCGTTCCCAATCGCTTGCTCTTTGTTGTATGAGATCATGTCCTGTGAATATCGTGAGCATACCATGACAAACCAAGATGTCCTCAATACCAATTTACATTGTCGATCACAGCTAAGTCTGTGATGCATTCAGCAAGATCCACGATGACGGGATGGTAGAATACTTCATCAGGAAGGTCCATCCCCGCCTTCAATATTGGGAAACAAGGTTTGACGCCACCAGTTTTACGTCGGAGCTTGAGGTAGTCACCGAGACTGCGCCTACGGCCTTGCGCACGGTCGTTGGCCTCGACAACTACTGAATGAAGGTATTCATCAAAGATTTCGAGGAAGTGACGTTGACAAAGCAGGCTTGCGAATTGGACTGCATGGGCCCAAAACCTATCCAAAAGTCCCTGTGGCGTCAGATGATCATCAAACAATTCAGAAGCACTTACCGTCGTGCAATTTTGCCGAGAATGCATTCGCCTTCTGGTCGTGTCTTATGAGGATTATGTAAGGCATCGAGCACGATGTCCACCATTTCCTTCACGACTGCTTCATTTTCGATGTCGGTGTACTCGTCGAAAAATAAAGAATAAATTCATCAAGTCACAACCAATTCGAAGGTGTTCTATTTTGTTCAAGAACGGAATCAGGGTTCTGTGATGCGTTAATTGCCAGAGTACGGACCTCTCGGTGCGTTGGGATAACCCAATGCTGCCAGGCGGGCTATTAAAAATGTGTTAATCATCGTCAGAATCCAGGGCTCGTGGCATAGGTCGAACCAAAATCGCATTTGTCGAATGCTTTTTGTAATTTAGGACTCAGAGCCTTGAAATCACGGAATGAAGCATCGACTTCAGCTTTCATATCTTCGTAATGAGGATTGATGGTACGAGGCCAGGGCCAGTCAACCATAGTGTCTGGGAGGTATATCGTCTTTGGGCGAGCATCCATAACTTCCAAAATATAGTTTCTGATGAGGAATGCAAAAGTTGAAAGAGGGGCGAATTGTTGCTGGTCCAGTCAAGAACTTTCAGCAGAACATAGTACGTGCCCAGGTCAGAATGGGCCTATCCGCAATAAATGAATGCGGTATATTGTGCTTATCCGACGACGGCAGGTGGGGCGCCACCGCGCCACCTGTGACCACAGCGTCAGGCCGTAAAGGTAGGGTCAGGCTTGTGAAAAATGAAAAATTGGTTACAGTACTTGTGTAGACTTGTGTTGCATGCCAGATTGCAGTACAAAACTCGGCCTCGCCACCGGAACCGGCACACTTTTACACCTTACATAATTAGGTCAAGACATGTGACATCTTGTATACTGTCCTCTCCGAGCATTGAGCGAGCTGAGATATGTCCTGTGCTATTCAAACCGCCAGAATACGATATTCCGGCGCATTTCCTGGCCAGTGAATGGCCCCATAACGAACTGACCGAGGTTCGTTTCATGATGTCATCAAGTGGCAGGCCCTGGCTAGAGTAATATGTCACATCCCTAGCCTGAGGGTGTCAAAGTGTCGGTGAGGCTGAGTTTTCAAAAACACGTACTGCAATCTCATATGCAACACACTGTATCCTAATATCTCTTTCTCCCTGCTCTATTTAGTACCTTGTGTTCAGAACGACATACCCGATTGTCCATACGGGGTAATGAACTTTCTACCTTCCGGTGCCTCCAATCTTGCCCGATCCATCCTAGTGTCTGTCTCCAACCAATCCTCACCCGAGTCTGTCAACTAAAATTTCCCCACTCAAGGGGGAAGAAACCATTCACCTGCGGACACGCCTTTGGGCGCCAATAGGTCAGTCTGGTGCAAATCGCGCTGAAAGTTCGGTAGTAATTTGTTGTTAGGGTATAGCTGTACTCGGTCTAGATTTGTCCTTGTTCTTGATGTGTCGGTCTCTACCAAAGTAATTTCATGATGTTACAACATACAATACATCAAACCTCAATACAAGCACCTTTCTTCCACAATCCTACGCCTGAAGTTTAGGCACGGTCGCCGGCGATAACCGTGGTTCGAATTGGCTATTGACCGGGAAAGAAAATTCGTAGGCTAAACCACTGTCGGAGTATGCTCTGTCCCTCGGCTTGTAGCCCACGTTTCTGGTCCCTACAATATTGCGGTATCTATGATCACATCCGCTGCAACACACTGATGGAGTGCTTACCAATCTGTTATTGATTCTCTGATTCTTGATTCTTCTCGCGAACCACTCTGCAGCAGTAGAACCAGTCTCGAAATTTTTCTCAGGTCGCTTCTTCACCGCTTCTGCAATAATATGGCTGGAATCGACAAGAGCCCGCAGGACCTTCGAGTTGCCCGGGCGGGTGAAGAAAACTAAGGACCATCGCTCGTATTCAGCCTGTACACCAGGAGGTGCACTATCCACGGTCATTCAACAGATTAGTAAGGTTGACCATTCAAGTACTCATGCACGCACACAACACGGTGGATGTTGGATTGCAGGACGCCTCCGCTGAAAAGAGATAACGCATCTCCAATATTGCAGACAGCATGTCCAGGGATGGGCTATCAGTAGATAAGTGTCTGTTGTACGTGCACGCGAGCACCAGACTCGTGCTCACTCGAATATAGGACCACTCGTCATGACCGGGTGGAAGTACTTGGAGTCCACCGAGGCGATTGTGCAAGAAGCTCTGGTAAAGTTTGATTAAAAAGACATAACCCACGTGTCCAGTTACCCACCAGGCTGCCGAAATCAGTATGCGCACCTATAGCAGGGATTTTCGCCGCTTCTTTGATCTGCACAGGAGGGTTACGAATACATCTAGTCTCACTACCACTATACTCCTCCAAGTCATGCAGACTCTCCAAAGTCCCTTTCGGCAGTCCAAGCTTATCGTTGAATATATTCAATACAACATATGACACTTCGAGACCTTTGCGGGTAAATGGTGCAATCGTGTTTTCCATGCGAGCATTTACGGTCGATGGGTAGGTGCGGTGAATGACCTGCGGGTATGCCAGAGCATCATCCTTAGAAACGTTTATGAATTCGACAGTGTCCAAGGTGCCTGCGTTTGCGTTAGTCTACTACTTAGTAGTAGATTGGTCTAGAAATCCTACCAGTTGCATCAATCGCATTAGCCCCTGCTTTCTTGTATCTGATAAGGAACCCATATAAAAGAGGGGCGCTCATGAGCTAAGTCAAAACCAACCCGAAAGATTGACCGCTGTCTCCTTGCTCGAACGTCATAAGTTCTTCGAAGGGCAAAGCCATTGTCTCAGCTCCCATATCAAACATCTCGCTGACTTCTTGGTCTGCTCCGTGATTCTTTAAACTGTTAAAGAGTTAGGTCCGGCATAAATTCAACAAAATACTTAAATATGACGTACTACCAGAATCCGATAGTCGTCGCTGCCTCCCACAGTCGATTTACTTCTTTCACATCTCCAGCCCTGATGAGCTCATAATCAATAATCAAAAGTGGATGTGTTCGAACATCGTTGGGGAAAGGAGGAAGAGTACTTCCAGGCATAATATGATCTAAATAAGGATGTGAGAATGGTCATCGTAGTATGGTTAAGAGTGGATACACCACCTTTGAGTGGAGGCGGTAGGGTACTAGAGAATGCTTTGAAGAGGAAGTGCTATGGGAACTTCAAGTTGAAGGCGACCATTATGTACCATGTGAAGTAGTGCAATCACCACCTGACCTCCAACAGCGTCACGATCAGCATTACCTATAAGTACTAGTGTACGTATACGTGGCTTTCCCGTTAGAATCATGGGGCCCCGGGCAACGCCCGCGTGCGTGGCATTATGTAATCAACGTTATGATGCCCTTGCAGGTTTGCAGCTAGCGCAGAAAAGTACGGCATACACTAGTAAATTCGGCAGAGTGTGGTAGCCGCAACAGACATGTTCAGACCGTGAGATAACATTTTTTTCATCAGACAGACAGACAGCAAGTCAAGAAAACAAGCTGATCAATGCGTACTAGTAGTTTGAGCCTGAGGGAAAGACCCAACTGCAAACCAATATGACGTGTTGTGATACGACAGTGACAGGAAACGGGAACATAGCGAAATGCCAATACCGGGAGCAGACATGGGACAAGGATGGATTGGACGAGCGTTAGCCTAAGGGTTACCGACAGTACTGGACGAGATTCGTGGCTGCTAGTAAGAAAAAGATACAATTGGCTGTAAAAGTCCTTCAGTACGAAGCAATCATGTCGGCCGACGTGTTAATCATTGCGAGAGAGTTGCTAGTAAGTCCTTATTCCTTGGGATGAACTTGCACTCGAATGGTTTGGGGAGCCTTTGGGCGTGTAAGCATGCGTTTCAGGCTCATAGAGGGAGGAGTTACCAGAGTAAACCAGAACTCTCGAACTCTGCAGGAGGTGTGATCTCTTCCCCTTTCGCATCCAGTGCTTTACCGATCGTGAACGCAGCAAGGATACAAGAAATACTGAGGTACAATGAGGCTTCGGCAAAATATAACCCTGGAATAAGATACCACCGTTCAGTGGCGGCTTGGATAGTGTCATGTAAAGGACGCGCACCAGGACATCTGCGGCGCCCGAACCCAAAGATGAATTTCCGTGGGTCCAATTGGGGCGAGGGACCGAGGAATCGCTCAGGCCTGAATTCCAATGGGTCAGGGTACATCCCGTTATCCCGTGACATGGAAAGAATGTTTGCGATGACGGTTGCACCTTTGGGTATACGGTACCCTTCGTAGACATCTTCCTTCATCACGTGGTGCGGGATCCCTGTGTCGCTGAGAGTGAACGGGAACTAGGACAAAAAGTCATCTGGCTGACCTTGAGGAGCCACGGGTGCCCAGCGGAGGAGTTCCTGGATGAGCGCTCCGATGTATGGAAGCTTGCTTCTGTCGTCGAATACGGGAAATCGGTCCTGACCCACGACAGCATCGATCTCTGCCTGCGCATGCTTCTGTACCTCCGGATAAAGCAGCATCGCCAGAATGAAAGACGACAAGGATGATGTTGTCTGTTCATTGTTTCAAAAGTCACATGGGGAAGGGTGCAAAAGACATCGATATCTTACAGTGTCTACCCCCCCTGCATAGATCCCCAGACTGCACCACTTAGTGATCTCTTCTTGTTGGGCGCTGACCGTGGACCCGTCCTCTGGAAGGAGCTGTTCTGAAACGAAGGAATGCATGTAGTTGCCACTGTGCTGATCGGCGATGAGAATTGGTTAACGATCCCGGATAACAGGAACCCCCAAGACTGCTTAGCAAGGCTTACTATTTGTTTTTTTGCCCAGTTAAATGGTATCATGTCGAGCCTACTTAACTTTTGCCCGATGTCGAAGGCTACACGCTTGAAACCTGCCCCTGGAAACCATACAGGTAGAAAACGCACTCATATGAAAGGTCGGTAAGCTGAGTTTTATGATAACTGAATGAAAGGAAGGCATACATAATGGTATGGTATCGACCAACCAACGTCCAGGCTGGGCTAGCATGGCGCTCATTTCTATGCTGTCTTTCAGGATGTTGATGAGATAGTCGTTATTCTCGGTGACCTTCCAACCATATGCGAGATTAAGGACAACGGCCGCTGTGTTCCTAGACGCTCAATGAGAAACAAGCAAAACTAGCAATCACAAGAATTTCACGTTCTGATTTGCTCGATGAAATGTTCGGGGTTCTTGTGCAGAATACCAAGCAGTATGTGAGATTGTTCGGTTTGCAGCGACTGGTAGCTTTGTATAGCGCGGGAACTTAGACTGGCTTTGAGGATTGTGCGATACGTCTTGAAATATGGGTGAGCGCAAGATATGTTGAATGGATTCAAGTTGCGCTTGGCAAGTTCTGTCTGCATCCATACCCTTGGACGATCAGAATATATAGTGGCGCGTGAGTCGAGCAATTCGGTAGCTGATTGTAGGGAGCTAAGCACTATAAACTGCCGATTAGGCACGTGGAAGGAGAATATGGGCCCTACGAGACATGGGTGAGAAGTGTCGTAGCAAACGGGAAATTGGACAATGTGCACCATAGCTTTCAGCCCACTTGGCATACGTTAGCCAAGGCTCTTTCTTTGGTAGCTGATGAGCATTTCCGGTAAAGAGCTTTGGACGTGGCCCAGGGGGTAGTGGTAATTTACTGTGTCGACGGCTGTAGAAGAAAACTGTGGCCAGTACAGCCACAAAGAATATGAGTACACCAGAAGACATTTAGCAGACAACAGGTCAGCTTTTGCAGTTTACGTTCTGAATTCTTATAAGTATCCACAGATGATATAAGCGATGCTGTCACCGGTCTGGTTTCTTGCCCGCATCTGCGGCATTAATTACGCTCTCAAAACACCGCATCACAAGCGCAGGAAGCCCCGGGTCCTTGCGAAACAAGTGACAGCAAGCCCAGGGAGCAACTTCAGTCCTAAAACATTTAGCTCCTGGCGACAGTATGGCGTGGAGACTTAACTCCGTGAGCTCTTGAGTAATGTGTTGTCTTGAAACTACTGAGGCCCGATGTCATGTTTCCATTTGTTTTCAGGTGGCTTAGTCAGCTGTAACAGTAGTTGGTCCTTTGTGGAATTTGCAGCCCGAAGAGGTGGTAAAAATATTAATTCAGGATGAATCTACCGTTAACAGTAACCAGAAGAGTTGATGTTGTTCCTGAGCAGGGTAGGGACGGCAAGTGACATTTTGAAAAAAAAAAACAGAAAGCTGGGGTCATGTTCTTGATGCGGAAAAATTGTAGCTAGCTATGTATAGGAAAGGAGATGAGGGCGGGACCTAGTAGACTGCGGAGCAATATATCCAAGTCATCGGGTTAAGCAAGCGCGCGAGAAAAGGTACCGTACCCCATGAGGCTGCCAGTACACTGTTTTTCATGGGGCACGTCCTGCAGGAAAAAAACCGCCTCCTGCTAGAAACAGTGTGTCCCATGAGATGCTAAACTCTCTAGGCTCTCAGCACGCCGTTTCCATCCGAAAGCCAGGTGAAACACTCGGCGAGAAGCACTTTTTTGTCGGAATTGACGTGAATTGGTACAGAGACGCATCAGGCGTATTTTTGAGGCGAAAAAGATCACGCCGAGGCGCAGGATGGATTCCACATACTGCCGGGTTCCTCGCTGCCCACAGACCTCGGCAAGTCGGCAACCACAACGAACGCGCGCACATGTTTGGGGTCAGTACCAAGCCTGCGTGTCCCGGGCCATGTGCCTAATCATGGGCATAGCTATTTTGATGCGGTCATGACGCGGCGTAGGTAAGTGTGGAGGTTGACATCATGATGAGTACATATACTGCGAAAATGTTTGGGGAACTTGTCGTGATATAAGTGGTGCTTGACCCAGCCTGAATTGAGATAGCACTTGATACTGGCATGCGGCCGCGTCTGAAAACCAACATTGGATCAACGAGTTAGAAAGCAATACAACCGTGACAATACAAGACGAATGCAAGACGCACACTAGTAGTACGGACAAAGTCTCGGAGGACAGCCACTGTGAGTAGTGAAAACAGATTCTAGGCCTGTATGCAGATGGACATTTAAGTACGTAGTCAGATACATATGTTGATCATGAACGAAGATTTGGAATTCAGTTCGAGCGAGTCGCGACATCATCACCGTGACAGTCCCAAGATGTGTCACATGTACCGCGTCACAGTCGCGTCACGACCGCGTCTTGAATTTCACCTGTCCCCCTTGCTATAACAACGACTGTCCTAATACTGCGACTGCGCCCACATCGCATCATTGTACTTTGAAATTTGTCGCCACTCACTGCACAGTGCAATATGATTCACCGCATGTGGTGTCAGTCCGGGACGGCGTGGAGACAGCACTAGTACCCGACGTCTCGCAATTCCAAGTGACCCACTGGGTCCATCTGCAGCCTGGACCAGATCTCTTCTCAGATCTACACTGTGAAACCGTACAATCTCATTACAGACAGGCCATGGATCAATGGGATCGTCAAATAGTAAACCCAACATGCCTGCCATGATGTATCTAATGACAAAGAACATAGACTGGCGATATAAATTGAATCTAAAGTCAGGGACTTTGCAACAGTATGAGCGGCGTTACCGAAACATGACTGTTCAAGGCCTTTGCATGACAAGGAAACGCTTCGGCAGCTCTCTACGCTCAAAGATCATCAACTACTCAGATCTACCTGGCTACGTCGACCGTCCTCACTACCCGGGATTTTTCGTCACTGAAATTTTATTGACTCACTGGTACCACTTTTGCAATATGTAACATGAACTGATGATACCAGCACGGTAAGCATACTATTGCTATCAACTGCAATCAATGGTCGTAAAGATACATTGATACTATTACAATCATTAATGCATATATCGTCCATGTCAAAGTCCATGCAAGTCTAAGTCAGTCCAGTCTAACTAAATATTTGGGCAACTTGCGGCATCACCACAACCGAAACCTGCGTCGTCGTCCAGGGGAATCGTCCTCCTCCATAACATTATTACCTCTAATAACCTTCAGGAACACACTTTCTAGTGTCGCCTTTTCTACAGTGTACTCCTGGAAATCGCCTTGGGACGAGAGAATATGGAACAATCGCGCAAGGGTGAAACCGCTGCCTTCTTGTATAGGAACTTCGAAGCGCGTGGCAACATCGTCGGCTAGACGGGAGCCTGGAATCCGACTCATAAGGACCTGAGCTCTAATCACGTCCTCTCGTGTCGGACAAGAGAAATGCACTTGGTACGTGGCATAACGCGAGACCAGGTTGTCGATTGTACCAACAGCTGCAAGGCGATAAGATATTGCAAATATCATAATGAAGATGTGCCTACCCAGTAATTGTTTAGAAATGATGCCAACCTTATTTGCCAGAGCTGAAGCTTCTTCCATGGAATCTAGATAGCCATCTAAATTAGAGGCAAGGTCAGGATGATCTCAAAGAAAACGTACGTGTTGTGATAACAATTGCTTTTCCGACAGCGACGTTCCGGAGAGTGCCCCACATATCTCTTTTCATCTTCGCATCTACTCCCGTAGAAAACTCGTCAATGAGAACAACGGAGGGGTTACCTGCATGTGTTCATGTCAGCCATCCCATCCACCTGAAGTTTCAGAACTCACCAATGAGGGCGATAGCAAGAGACAGCTTGCGCTGATTCCCGCCGGACAGTTGACTTGCTAGTCTGTCAGCATACACATGCAATGATGTAGCAACCATGAGTGCCTCGACATTTGTCTTCAGTTCAAAGCCTCTCTTCAGGCCTTTGAGACGTCCATAGATCATGAGGTGTTCTCGAACAGTCAACTGAGAGTCGATCGCAGTAAACTGCGGGCAGACTCCCAAAGATAGACGTGCGGTTCTCGGAGAAGTTAACACTGATGTCCCCTTGATCAATACATCTCCCATATCCGGAACAATGTCGCCACCTAGACAACACAGAATCACGGAAATAAGTCTCAGAGAGTAATTGTCGTATCAGATATACATACGAATCATGTTGAACGTTGTAGTTTTGCCAGCCCCGTTAGGCCCAAGCATAGCAAAAATAGTGTCCCGAGAGACCCCGTAAGACACGTCATCAACAACTTTATTGCTCCCAAAAGTCTTGGTAAGATGAAGAAGACGCAGCACATCACTGGAATTTGCCACCGCGTGCGCTTCAGCAGCAACATCTTGTCTATTAGCCTCGAAACTGGCCTGCAACTTATCCATTCGTACTCGCCGTCCCTTGGTATTGAGGAATCGACGAGGGATAATTGACCCAGAGTCAACCCATACGAGAATACCGAACAGCACAAAGCCATAAACGAAGAGGTAGAGGATGGGACCTCCAAATTGCATGAGGTCACCAAGTGATGCCGATGTCACAGGAGTCGCGCCGTTGCAAAGCAGCGAGAAGAGATTTACTGATACAAAGGCGGTACGCATCTACGACATGATGAAGGCTAGTTTGCATGAAGAAAATAATGCAACTTACGACACTAGCCACCGGCGATAGCACCGAAAACGTGAAGTCTAGAAGAATCATTTTAAACGCCAGGCCGCAGATGAACATATAACAACGGCTTACGGATGATCGTGATGATACTGCCGGATTGAGACGGCGGCGCATAAGTCAGCGTCAAGAGATATCCACCCAAGTACAGCTAGTCCTACATTAGTGGTGGTGCGCCCAAGAAACTGCAAGAGCTCACGATATATACGATGATTTGGTATCCTGCCACTGCTGCAAAAGAGGACAGGGGTGACGACATGAACAACGACACGCAGTACGCGAATAGCGCGCCAACGATGCCATACAAAAAAAGAACGACCCACTGCCAGGATGTATCAGTGAATCACAGCGCTCAAAAAAATAAAGGTAAACATACGAAGAAACCAAGGCCGGTGAATTGATTCGTAGTGGTAGCGAAGACAATGATAATGATTGTAGCTATTGTCACCGAGAATATCGAGTCCCACATGAGATGGCCAATCCAAAGCCCAACGGGATTTGAAAGACCGTTCGACAGTTGCATGGCTTGCACGGCTGATCTTCGCTCTCTTGAGACATAGATGGAGAAGAACGCAGGAAAGACAGCCTAAGCAAGATATCAGTGCATGATTCTATGTATACAGGATTCTTGCACAATGCGTACCATAGCGGCCCCAAAAAACGCCACCCACTTGAGATCAACCAGAGTCCCTGAAGCAAGATGAGGGAAAGCAGCATAGCTCGCGTAAATGAGGTTCGGCGTGCGTTCAATGACCCCAGAAGCGTTCAATGCCCGATTATACAGTATATTTGTTACCAGATTCATCATGGTCGGACCAGTTAAACCGGGCGGGGTTGCCTGCCATGCAAATAACGAATCACCCGTCAGCATATCTATCGATATCCCACCAAACGTCAAGTTAAGGTAGTCCTGGTCAATCGTCGAGACAAATGTGGCATTGTCAACGATGTTCTCCGTTTTGAGGTATGACACAGTTGAGCCGAGAGTCGAAATGATATTCGGGGGTGACTCCAAAACTCGGGTACCAGGTCCAGACGCTGAATAGTAGATGGGCGATTCGGGGAAGTACAACGAAATGACCGACTCGTTCCCGAGCTTAGTGGTACATGTTGTGTCCTGGCCAGACAGGAAGACTATCGGGATGCATGAACCGCAAACCGCGATGACCACAGCCAACAAGGGTGTTAGCCAACTCCTGCGAGCGATTAATGCACGCTTATAAAAGATCGTAAAGGCTTGACTAAGAGGGGAACGAGGTCGCCCATCAGTAAGCTGAAGAGCTCCAGGTGGGGAAGATGAGCCGTCTGTCGATTCAGCCAGGGTGGGCTCATAAATACCACCTGAACTTGAAATGGACTTCTCGGTGCTATCTAGGGAGGCGCTACCAGTTTGACGGGCCATGAGATCTAGGAAGATATCTTCAATGGACGTCCCAAGTACATCACAGGACGCGACGCAAAGAGCGCTGCGCTCCTCATCCAACAGTTGGAGGACCTTCTCCACAACAACGGGATCCTTTGACTTGAGGTGGTATGATGCCTGGCTCGGCGAGGAGAGTGACATGGAACACTGGGGACAAACTTGACGAATACGATCCAAAGCTTCGGAGGGTGCTTTTGGAAGGTCCTTCTCAGCCAAATCAGGGAGGTCGAACATGACTTGGACGCTGTATCCCTGCCCGAGGTTTGACTTGAGAGCAACAGGAGTGCCCGCAGCTACCAGCTTGCCTGGCGCAGCTAAAATGGCTATTTTATCGGCCAACAGATCAGCTTCGTCCAAGAAATGAGTGGTGAACACGATGGTCCGGTCAAGGCGAACGGATGTCAAAGTCCTCCACAACGCCCGGCGGGATAATGGATCAACGCCGGATGTACACTCATCCACGAGGACAATCTTGGAGCCTCCAACGAGTCCAATAGCGAGCTGCAGTTTGCGCTTCTGACCACCCGAGAGAGTACTGGCATTGGCGTGGATCTTTTTGCCGAGATCACAGTCGCGCAGTAGCTGTTCGCAATCTTCGTCTTCATCTATCGATTTGGCAGAATGCTTCACTGCGCGCCATACGCGGAGAGTTTGGTAGCAAGAAAGTTCAGGGAATATCACATTTTTCTGAGGCACGATGCCGAGCGTTCCGCGGGGAGGACGAGACGCACCACCCTCAAAGGTGATAGTTCCGGTGCTGCGCCCTAGAAGATTTCCAATGATTGATAATGCCGTTGACTTACCGGCGCTAGTCATCCCTGGTAGTTAGCCATTTTCCATTCTGCCAAAGGTGAAACAAGACTCACCCATTTGATCCCAAAAGAACGAAGATACCAGATTTGGGAACATCGAAAGACAAATCTGCGATGGCAGTGACCGGTCGCTTCTCACGGTGGAACAAGGAAGGGGAAAACGTCTTGCCCAAATTCCTGACAGAAATTGCAACTCCGTTGGGATGCAGAGGTCGGTCAGCCTTTTTCTGCCTGCGGCAGCACGACCAAAAGCCTGGGGACGGCTCTCTGGCGTCATAGAGCCTTCTCTCGAGCAGGACACCTAAATATGGCCATAGGAACACGTCAACCTAGACATAGGTTAAGGCATTGTACACGAGATATATGCGTCACGTACAATGGCAGCAATAATCAAGGGCAACAAAATTAGATTTGTATCCGGATCTGGCTTCATGATATTGGTCGGAATCTGTTGGTTTTCCCAGCCACATATAGCACGGATTGCGAAAACGTAGTATCCAGGCGGGAAGATTACGGTAAAAATAGTCGCCGTAACCGTGCTAGCACTGCTGAAGACTAGCGCGAGGATAGCAAATATCATAGCAAGGAATGTAGTTGCCACAGCCGCAAGCTGAGGACTCTTGCCAAAAGGAGCCGCGACGAAGAAGGACCAACTGGCGAGCGAGAATCCAAATAGAAGGTGCACACCAAGCACCAGGCCAACGTTAGTACCGCTGAAAATTCGGTAGTGCCATATGATAGAAACGACCACCCATGCGGGAAGATATGCTAGAGAGATACTAATATGCCACGATCTGAATGCCATAAGTAATCAGGGACATGCGATGCATAGCGGGTCCTTTTGAGCAGTGACGCACGCTATTCTGGCAGCATCCAGTAGACCCATAGCCTTCATGTGGCTGGTTAGAAGATTGGCTCTCTCGCCGGTGAATGACCCCGGAAGATGATACGCAATCCCAATATAACAAATAAAACTGATCCCCAATTAAAGTTGTAGGATTGTGAGTTGATGTGTTGGACTCACAATGCAATGACAATGAGATTTCGAATGCCTCTAATGAAACCTGAAACAGGAAAATGTCAGTATGTAGTCGTACCATGAGCGTAACGACGTACTAAGTCTCGTATTCGTGGCCTGTTGTTGGTTGGTTTCCTGACTATATGGCCATTCCATAGGAGTGGGTACTACCTGTCCAGATCTAAGCTCGATGATTGCCTGAGTTGAACCATTAACACTTTGAAAGGAAAAGAGAGCAAGCGAATGTGTTACCTGGTCTAATGCCCATTGCAACGGCAGAATACGTGTCTCGAAATCACTAGTATGACTGATGACGTTGATGTAGACAAGACCACCATCGGCACTGATGGTGTAGTTGACTGGTTTCGGATCTGTGGCATTCATTGGAAGGTAATTGAACGCGATACCAGCAAAGCACTGAGAGGTCAGGTCGAAGTTTTGTGGACATTGAGTTGGTATGTCTGCGGGTGTCGCAACCTGCATGACCGCTTGAAGTTGATTCGACGTAAAGTTACTGGTGACGTGCGCCATGACTTGTTCCGCAGAGGGTGTTCCAGTACCATTGGTTCCATCAGCCCAGACTAAGGTTAGAGAGCCGTCAAACTGATCCTGCAAATTGTAGACCGATACCGGAGAGCCGAATCCGTACTACAAGGATGTGAGACGGTGGACTGGAATAATTTGGAAATATTCTTCACATTATTTGGCTTTAAAAGAAATGTCTGTGCGACGGCGAGGAAGACTTTGTAACCGTCGTAAGGATATATATTCATGAAATTGAGAGGGAGCTAGACGTACTTCCGTATCCGATCGGCAACAACAAGCAGCGCAGGATGTTCAACTATGGCATGGTCAGAGTGGTGAACGTTCCGCAGGCGTAATTTTACTCACGAGCGAATGTTTAGAGAGAACGATCCAATTCTTCCAGCACAGTATTGTAAATTGCCGGAGGAACAGACTCCCCGGAAACGCCATGATTGCCGTAACAGAAGGGATGAGGAGAGTTCGAAGAGAGGTTATATACCTCGAGGACGCGGTTTCAGGGAATACGCAGCAGCTGGTATAGCAATCTGGATTTGTCCATTGCAACACACAGGAGACGTTGCCGCATCGGTACCTATCGTGAGACGTGGAGAATTGGAAGAATTTAGAGTTAGAATGTTACAAGCTTCCCCTTAGTAAGTATAGTACTACTTGTAATGATAATCGACGTACAAATCAGATTCTCGTCTAACATTCCTTGGTGCTCGTCCGAGTCGGTTCTATCGCCGTCAAGTACTGGTAAGTAACTTGCAGTCTGAACTAGTATTTCATTCAGGACCATTTGCCGCGTGAGTGTTGGAGGCGGCGTGCGAAGCCAAATGCGTTTTTCTTAGTCTTGCTATGTTAGTATCCATCCGCGCCTAGTGGGTTACGGGCAAGACATGTGAAGACAGGAGAAAATCACCGGTGACGTACACAGCCCGTTCTGCCTTCCGTCGGAGTTCAACCGCTTACTGAAATTACTCAGCATTTTACACTTTAGATCCCGCCCGTAGTCAAACCTATAGCGAACTTAATCATTCCTTCCTCGCAAGTCGACGCTGACCTACATGGACTCGGTTGTTGATTTGCACCAATTCTTAAATCGAAGGACATGCCGTGCCTGGTCAATGTGACAAATTTTGTATGAAGTTTTGTTTGTAAAGGCCATATATCTACCAAAACTCTATATTTCCCACAATCCAAAATTAAAATAGGCAGAGTTGAGAGACAAAAAATAATACCTCGAAAGAGTATGCTACTAGGGACCCGCTCAGATATGTACATGTCAATAAGGGTGACGCATCTACTTTTTTTGAGTGACTGGATACCACTAGCCCAATTCACAACCGTCCTAGCCCAAATTTGCATGATAGCTTCAGTGAAATGGTTGCTAATCCTGTACCAGATGGTGATGCTAACTAGGAGCGTTCAGTTATTTTGCGTTCGATTTGGATGCTTTTGGACGTCGCTTTCAACTCACCCAATCGTGCCAGTATGATAACGCGATAACGCGCTATCTGCGTGGCTTCATTCCGAGTCCTGCGTTGTCGCTTTTTTTGGTTGCCGCCACTTCTTCATTAGGAATCGGAACAGTCGCACAGCGGGGTGTCTCACATCGCGCCCATATGCATTCCCGCGGTGTTTTCTCCCAAGAACCGCTTGGTACTATGTGGTACAGGGATTGCAATGATACAGTGCCCACTGCTGTCACCTAGATCTAGTCTGGAATATTCTTGCAAGCAATCAAGATGCGGCTTGACATCGGATGCGCGCTCCAAAAGTTATGTAAACTCCACACAGCCGATATGACTATTCAGGGGGATGGAAGAACCTGTGAAAATGAGGAAGTTAGAGAAAGGAACGGTCTGCGCTATTAGCTGGGCCTCGAATAACATGTGAGTTAATTGAGGATACATACAAGGCCGCCATTGGTGTGCCTGGCACAGAAGTTCTGCACGAACTCGGGGCCGCTGACTTAATATATAGTGCGCGTTGGTTGTGATCGGCATCGACTGGCGGCAGGAGTCAAGAATACTCCTAAATCGTGCAAAGTGCTTCGCTAACCACTTTGCGGATGTCCTGAAATGTGGCCTGGATGTCTGACAGGCCTTCAACGTACTCGCCTAGAATCCAGAGGACGCCGAGGAAGGTTTTGTCGGCCGGATTTGATCGCTGTCAGAGCTTGGGTGAACTTGTTGCATATGGATTGCCAGATGTGCTATGAGTGCCGGAACCAGGAGGGGGAAACCAAACAAAGGCCACGACGTCAAACGCAGAGGAATTGGTGTCCCCAAAGAATTTCATGAGTATGTAGAGAACCCTTCTAACCGCTAACACGTGGATCGATTGGTTTAAAGGTTGCCTGTACTCCGGAGCCTTTGAATTAGTATACGGTAACGTGCACATTTCAGATGGCATCGCTAGGACAATAGATCCACGTACAGGACGAGAATCATCTCCCGTTCTCACCACACTTGGGACACACCTCCCGGTAGAAGTAAGGCAGCTTTTTACTCCTGATTGACATTATGCGGACTGATAGATCATCGATCAAGGAACATACCACCATTAATCGTCGATACAATAATCTTGCGTGTCTAGTCTCTCTTCATCAGCACCTTTCTCGAGAGACACTCTAAGCTCCTGCGTGAATGGGCTCTCTGTGGTCAGATACGACTGTGTAGTATGGTGCCACTCCTGCCATGATGATTTGAATTTTGGACGACGTGGCTGACAGCGAGCTCGAGCCATACGTCCAGGATCGCACGCAATATTTGGTGGGTAGAAAGGCGTGAGAAAAAAACTTTCGATACGCATGAAGTACGAACTATTACTCTTCCACTTCACTCCAGCCTTATAAAGTATGAGTTCCAACTAATTCGTGTTCTACTTCAAATAACCCTGTCACGGTGTTCTTGAATCACACCCTCATGGCATTTCTCGGCCTCCGCGAGTGGTCCATTCCTGCATGTTCCATTTCTCGTGCCACAAGTGCCCTTCGCCGGCTAGTCATGTTGAATGATGTGCCCTAGTAGCAAGCGTATTCACCTTTCACCTTGCCTCAAAGAAGCAGGATAAATGTTCGTTGTACGTTGTTACTCTGACCTCGAATGGGTGTTACAGCGGAGACGTGCGTCAAGGATCCTCAAAACCCATACGGTGCTCGAATTACCAAGGAGGCCCATAATTAGAAGGCAATTTGACTTCCTACGAGGTATTAGGCGCGTTCCATCACACCCTTTTTCAATGGGTTGATAGCTCATCCGTGGCTTCCTTGTACTAAGTTGTAGACTCTTTCTTAGAACCAGATATCCTTAATTTTGGAGAATCCACGATGCAAAACACGATGTTCGTCGCAGAGATTTTCTGGAGTGCCATGCGTGATTTATAGTACACGCTCAGAGAAGCAATCGGTACTTTATTTTGGACGACATGGGCATTGTTTTAATATATTAACTGATTTCTGCCAGATGGAATGGGTGCTGAGTTGAGCACTCATGAAATGGCTAATGGCTGGATAAGATGTTCTGAGTCAATCAATTACCACCTGTAAGTACACCGCGAAAAAATGCATAACACTGTTAATAACACAATAGATAGGCAGTGTACTTACGTACATCTTCCGCATGATTCATAGACCCATTTAGACTTTTATACTCGCGGCATGAACGATTAATGATGCATCAGGGACAGATGCACCCACACAGTGCATGGCAGTTGATGCCATCACGCTTGTGATTCATGAACCGGGTCGGGTTCAGTTCATTATTAATGGATCTCAGGGGATGGTGCCGAGCTAGAAAGCATTTAGGAACCGGCATCGCTGAGCCTTTCCACGCTGCCCAACAAGCACCACTGACATGTCTGCTTCCCCAGACTATTACACAGAAGACAAGGACAAGGAAAATGCCCTTGGCTCGATTGAAGATGGACTTCATCGAGTTGCGTACGCTCAGGCTGAGGCAGCACCAGATCGTGTGATCGCAAGCCGTTTCGGTGTACTTGGCCCACTTCTTTCAAGACTCTTTGCCATTGGTGTCGAAGCTCGTGGGATAGAACGTGTACCGGAAGACCAGAGAGAGTCGAAAAATGCCTGGAACAAGTGCGTATGTTATGTTGCGCTCGTACTGTGCCTGTCCTGAGCCCAATGTATGTAGTCTTCTCATGTGGTGGTCAGTTTGATTTGATCCAACACATTGTTTTGTTCTCATGTTCCCCTCCCTCCATTTTTGCGCAGGTCCGTTAATGCAGTGTTGACTACCATTCCTATCGGGGCGCTCGGACAGTCCGTTTTCACTTTGAGTTTTGGGTATGTTCACTCACCACATCATGATGCCGCTTCTTACCCACGCTTATGCTCTCAAGCCATGCTGTAGCAACTATTTTCTGTTTTGGCGCTCTCGGCGGCATTGCAACAGCATTCATTGCTACCCTCGGCCCCATAACTGGTCTCCGCACCATGGTTATCACCCGTTTCAGTTCAGGATACGTTGGTGGCACCATTTATTCGGTCCTCAACATCCTCACTCAGTGCGGCGATTCTCGTTTACATGCACATTATCTCACTGATCGTACCTAGGCTCGGCTTTTCCACAACAGCAGTCATTCTTGGAGGTCAGACGCTCGCCAATATCAATCCTGGCACCCTTCCGCTCGTCGTTGGCATCATTATCATTGGTGTGTGTTGCCTCATCCCGTGTTTTATCGGGTACGACATGGTACACGTCTACGAACGCTACGCATGGATAATCGCCAGTGTCATAATGCTTTTCCTCTGGGGTCTTGGTGGCAAAGCCGGATATGACATAAACGCGCAAAAATCTTTCGAAGACACAGGGCGTGCTCTCTCAGCAGATATTCTCGGCTTTGGCGGAATCGTATTCGGCTCATTTACAGGGGTGAGTCCACCCATCATCTCTCTTATATCACAACAGGGGCTAAATACTGCAAACCTTTATCCACCAGTGGGCTCCAGTCGCTGCGGATTATAATTGCCGGCTACCAGCTGATACGCCACCTATGCGTGTATTCCTGCTTACATTCTTCGGCCTGTTCATCCCTATCTGCTTTGTCCAGATCCTTGGCGCAGCCCTCATGTCAATCACAGATCCGGCATATGTCTTAGCATACACAGATGGTTCGACAGGCGGCCTAATTGCGCAAGTTCTCTCCCCTTGGGGTCACTTTGGCCAATTCGTCCTCGTCCTTCTCGCACTTACTGTCGTGTAAGAGAACGGCTCAATACCTTCTTGTATATACTAATCTAGGAATAGCGCTAACAATATCCCGAATACCTACTCCACCGGCCTATCGATACAAGCCCTCGGACGCCCATTCGCCATCATCCCGCGCTTCTTCTGGGTTTTCATGGCTTTCGTCGCATATACCGTAGCAGGCGTCGTAGGCCGCGAACACTTCAACGCCATCCTTTCTAATTTCCTCAGTATTCTCAGTTACTGGACGGCTTTCTTCATCGTGATCGTAGCCGAAGAGCATTTCATCTTCAGACGGAAGAACGGACCGCTTGGAGGTTACAATTTGGATGATTATGATACGCCGTCAAAGTGAGTCTACTGGTTTGGGGTGAAGATGTTATTGACCCTATTATATCTTCAAGGCTGCCACCAGGCATAGCGGGTATACTCGCAATGTGCTTTGGAATCGCAGGTGCCGTCGTTGGGATGTCAGAGGTATGTCATTTACCTGCCATAGCCTCGTACACTGATATATCTCCCCGTTCGTAGGTGTGGTATACAGGACCGCTTGGGAAGATGGCAGGAGCGGCGTACGGCGCTGATCTTGGGTTCGAGGTATGATTGATTCTTTCGCCGATTGAACATGCGCTCACAAAATTTTCATATAGCTCGCAGCTGCTTTCTCGGCTGTTACTTATCTTCCGCTGCGTGCACTTGAGATTAAGCTCATTGGACGATAAGGGAGATCCGCTGTACTAAACTGGTGTCAAGGTTGTAAGTTAATGATCATGGATCGTAGGAAGACGGGCTGGGTAGATTACATACTCTGTAGTATTTGATTTCGGTTGAAATCACAGGTGTATGCATCATATGGTGTGGTATTATACATGTTGTGCTGGACGCTCTATAATTCTGGAATTTCTTTTGTAACAGTGCCTTCTGCTTCCCGAGTCTCATAGGTTGACGTCCTGGAAGGTATAGTGGAGACTATGGGACCAATATCACTTCCTTCCATCTCTCATCATCTGATTCCTGTCTAACGAACTTTGTCCTCCGGTTAGGCATAACTCCAAGTTCGATATAGTCAACTTCAATGGGATCAATCAGAACCAACGCAAAGTTTCCTCGGGCCTCCTCGTAATTCTTAGCGTCATACCCTTCCTCTCCGGGTTTCGCAACTTCGACAGGCCACTTTTCTGCATCGCTGTAAGAGTCCATGGGGGAACCCGGAACAGGCCGGCACCAAGATGCGCGCATGTGTGCACCGACATTATCAAATTGCCTCTGTCGCTCGTCCTCCCAGTCCCACCCCTGACTCCGGAATGCATCATACACCTCTCCCACGCCCTCGATTCCTTTGTTCTCCTGAAGTTCGGGTGAGGGGTAGATAGCCGCATGTCCAGAGATGCGGAATTGCTCGTTCGTGGCTTTGATCCAGACGTGCGCTTCTACGCGATGGCTAGGGTGGGACTTGATCTGAGCGACCTTTGGAGTGCGGATGTCTGTGGTTGTGAGGAGTAGGGGTAGAGAAGGCAGGGATGGATGGACGACGTGGCCCCTGAGGACATGGCAACGGACGTGTGGAGTAGCGTTGTTGAAGTCGGTAGTTGCGAGCTGAAAGACTAGTCCGAACGATGATATTGGTCCGTGTCTCGTGGAGTGTGGTTGGGAGCTTACCATTTTTCATGCCGCCTTCCTTTTGCAGAGCGAGCTTTAGAGCGTTGTGCCAGCGTGCGCTCATGATAAAACAAGTGTACTCAGACTATGACTGTGACGGTAATAGGGATGAAGATATTGCACTGAAGTCCAGCTAGGCAAACAATAAATTCATATATGCTACGTGAAAACCACTACCAAATACACTTCGACTGGATTCGGTAGACGCCTAACCCTTCACATAGGCTTGCTAGGGAGCTGGGTTAACAGGACGCCATAGCGCTTTTTAAGAGTAACGCGGTGTCTCGAGAATTTATCATCAGGCGAGAAACGTGCTGTATAGACAAATAATATTATTAGTATACCAATCGATGCACATTCTTGAGCCAGAAAAAATGGCATCAGGGGAGACGAACCTGGGTGTGCAGACTTGGTAATTCGGCCCGTATCTGTTGCTTTCTGAAACAGCGAGTCAGACAAGAGTTGCTCTATAATAGCGAAGGTGCTCACATTCAGAGTGTATATCCTGTTCCCACTCTCATCTAGCGTATACATAAGATGCATGATGACTTGTGAACGGCAACTCGTTGAACTTGGGATGATGAGCAGTGAGCACGAAACGAAATAATTTCTAGTATTCTCACGCTGCCAAAATGGGCTATCTTATTATCTTACTCTAGTACCATTACCAGTCTGGCAACAACTGGAATTGTCGGCGGCTCTGGAGTTTGGAGTAGACTCAGTAGACCAAGCTCTTTCGACTTTTCCTACATAGCGTCTCTCAATACTTCATTGCACTATAATACGCAATACGCACGCAATAACCTGCACCTATAAACCAACGGAAATCATTCTTGTGGCTGAATGGTTAGCGCTTGAAGTCAACGTGCTGGCCATCATGCCCCGAACGTTATTCAGAGTTCTGCCAAAGGATGAGACGCCCATTCCATTCTCACACTAATTCTCAGTGTACCCCACCGTTTCTCTTACACCAATTCAAATATACAACCACTCGCGATGAGTGAAGTCCATAGGCTAGATACTGCTGATCTTCCTCCAGGAGCCTCCAGATCCAGCCGGGAAAATGTCGCTGAAAGCTCGGTATGTGGTATCTTGAAAATCCGTTGCTTCCATTATATATTATTCGTCCAGAACCAACCTCGTAGAGGATTCTGTCAGCCCCTGCGGAAATTGAAGAATGGGTTGATCAAAAAACTCCCTGTGCGTAAAGATGAATGTTGATTGTTCTGAATACGGCTGAGATTGTACAGAAACGCTCTAAGCGAACACGCAACTGCACCACTTTAGTACAGAATGTCGAAATTGAGGGGGCTTCATCGAGTCAGGAAGTTGAGGTAAGTGCTCGAACTTGCTATCCTAGTCCTTCAGTTTTCTTAGAGGCGCCTCCATCCTTTCAATGGCAACAAGCATCTCACTACATCTGAGATTCCCAGCGACTCTGCGAACCAAGGGTTGTCCGGAGCGCCTATTTCACAGGTATTTTCGCCCAACACTTTAACTTTCTTTTCTAATTTCGGCGGTCCCACAGGTTCAGGCTGCTCCTTCCGGCAAGGGGGAAGGACCCGATTCTCAATTAGTTGATGTTGAACTTCAGGGTGCTTGTGATGGTATACAAAATATGGAATCACTCGGGAAACATGCGACTTCTATGACATCCGCCGCCGACAATGCCTCAGCGGATCTTTCTGCCGCAGATGATTTTGAGGCGGCGTATCTCCAACCCCTAAAGATTATCGATGGTGTCCTTGAGAAGATCGCGGATGTAAGGACCATTCTTCTTGATTGGAAGTGAACTAATCAATCAATTTGTATAGGTACATCCGTACGCAAAGATGGCGCTGGGTGTGCTGTCTGCTGCATCCAAAGTATGTTTGGTTTCTCTGCAGTCTATTCTCATACTCAGAAGTTTTAACTCCATGCAGATTATAATTGCTCAAGCAGAGCGCGACAAATCGATTCTTAGTCTTCTCAAGAAATTGGCTGAAGTTTACCGCTTCATGACTCAAGATGACAGTCTTAACAAGATTGAATCGATGCGCGGAATCGTTGGAAAGATCGTTCAGCAGACTCTCGAGTGTGCCCGTTTCATCAGGGACTACTCGGAGACAAAGAGCTTTTGTGAGTCTCCAAGCTATCGCACTTCGTACATGAATCTCATATTAGTATCATAGGGAAGAGACTCGGGAAAAACGTTCTTTCGGAAACTGATGACATCATCAAACAGTACAGCGACACTTTGGACAGCCTTGTGCAACAATTTCGGGACCAAGTTGATCGAGATGTGGCCACCTTCGTCCAACGTACGGGTAAGGATTCTGACACGCTTCTGTCTGTCTTTACATTCACTCACACCGTTTCAGGCGATACGCTGGATCTCGGGGATATCGCTTATGCAAAGGGCGCAGGACTAAATACCATAAAACAGTGCCTACCAGGGACGCGCACGGAGATTCTTTCCAAGATTACGGATTGGATCAATAGCAGTGGAAATGCTGCTAAACGTGTGCTGTGGCTATCTGGCCCTGCAGGCACGGGAAAATCAGCTATCGCCCATACAATTGCCAACTGGTTCAGCGAAACGGGAGGCCTTGGTTCATGTTTTTGTTTCGATCGGCATAGTGAAGCAGACCGTCGCCATGAAAAAATTTTCTCTACCATCGCGCGCGATCTTGCTGATTGTGATCCGGGGATGAAGCGGGCGTTAGCAGATGCAGTCAAGGATGCAAACTCGCTCAAGAATACGACGGACATTATCCAGCAATGGCGCAAGCTTCTCATGGTACCGCTAAAGAAGTTCTCTGCGTCAAGTGTAGGGCCTGTCTTGATCGTGATCGAAGCGCTGGACGAGAGTGGCGGAGTGGAGACGCGGCGGGACCTTCTCCGCATACTTACCAGTAAACTTCAGAACAAAGGTCTTCCCAAAATCACAGAACTCCCATCCAACTTTCGGATTCTCGTTACCTCTCGCCCACTTCATGATATTGAAGAATCATTTCACGGTGCTCAGCATATTCTACGGTTATCCATGGACGAGATTCCAGCAGGAGTGGCGGAGCGCGACATCCACACGTTCGTATCTGAGGAGCTGAAGGGGTTATCGGATTTTCGCGACAAGGAGTTTGCAAATCTCGCTGGGAAAGCCGATGGACTTTTCGAGTGGGCGCGTCTCGCCTGCGAATACATCAAAGATACCCCTCCAGGTGTACGCCACATGCCTCGTTACAATGCTCTCGTGAACCGCAGTGCCGGAAAGCAGAAAAACCTGTTGCACGATATGTATCTGGTCATTTTGAAAGAAATCATGAAAAGGGATCAATATGATGACGACGAGTACGAACAAGCATTAGCAGGGTTTCGTTCTGTGATGGGCCAGATACTCGGCACAGCTGAACCACTCCCTTTCAATTCCCTCAATATCATGCGGAACTACTTTCCAGACCGAAGCAAGGATGACAACATGGACATTATTAAACGTATGGGATCCCTCCTCAGCGGCACCACCAACTTATGTACTCCCATCCGACCCCTTCACGCATCTTTCTACGACTTCCTGACAGACAAGTCATCCAGCGGGGACTTTTTCGTCGAGGTGTCCAACGTACAACGCGACCTTGCATTTGCATCACTACGAGTGATGGAACATGGCCTTCGCTTCAATATCTGTCATTTGAATTCGTCGTACCTCCCTAATTCTCACGACATGGGGCTGCCTCAACGAGTCAAAACATCTATTCCCCTACATCTCTCTTATTCTTGTCGATTTTGGGCTACGCATGTTCGAACAACAGACTTTGACAATGAGCTCGCAAAGGAAATAAGATTACTCTTTGACGACGAACGACTGATGTTTTGGATTGAAGCACTCGGACTTCTCAATGCCATTAGTGGTGCAGTCGCTGTACTCCCACTTGTTGCCAAGTGGCTGAAGGTGAGCACATGCGTACGAGGCAACGTTGGATGGACAACTCATAAATAAGTACAGGACCATTCTGGATACGAAGAATTACGGTCCACCACGATGGATGTACAAAGATTCATTCAAGTGTTTGGGGGCATCATTTTACACAGCACCCCGCATTTGTATTTATCAGCGCTCCCATTCTCACCTGTCAACTCCACCATGGCTACCAAATTTATGACAAGGTTTCCGAATAACCTTCGTCTGGCATCTGGCTGTGATTTGAACTGGACGGTTGTTCAGACTGTAATCAATGGACACACTAGAGTGGTTTTATCAGTCTCATTTTCGCCGGATGGTACTCGCATCGCGTCTGGTTCGGAGGATAAGACAGTGCGGCTGTGGGATGCAGCGACGGGACACCCATTGTGTGGGCCCATGGAGGGGCACGCTGGAGCGGTTTTCTCAGTCTCGTTCTCACCGGATGGCACTCGCATCGTGTCTGGTTCGGAGGATAGCACTGTGCGACTGTGGGATGCAATGACAGGACAGCCATTGGGTAGGCCCTTGGAGGGGCACACTAGAGCGGTTTTATCAGTATTGTTCTCACCGGATGGTACCCACATTGCGTCTGGTTCATTGGATAAGACCGTGCGGCTGTGGGATGCAGTGACGGGACAGCCATTGGGTGGGCCCTTGGAGGGGCACGCTAGAGCGGTTTGGTCAGTTTCGTTCTCACCGGATGGTACCCGCATCGTGTCTGGTTCGGAGGATAAGACTGTGCGGCTGTGGGATACGGCAACGGGACGGCCATTGGGTAGGCCCTTGGAGGGGCACACTCGAGCAGTTTTCTCAGTCTCGTTCTCACCGGATGGTACCCACATCGCATCTGGTTCGTTCGATAAAACTGTGCGGCTGTGGGATGCAGCGACAGGACAGCCATTGGGTGGGTCCTTGGAGGGGCACACTAGAGCGGTTTTCTCAGTCTCGTTCTCACCAGATGGTACTCGCATCGTGTCTGGTTCGGAGGATCAGACTGTGCGGCTGTGGGATACAGTGACGGGAGAGCCATTGGGTGATCCCTTGGAAGGGCACACTAACTCAGTCGAATCAGTCTCATTCTCACCAGATGGTACTCACATCGCGTCTGGTTCTTCGGATAACACCGTGCGGCTGTGGGATGTAGTGAAAGTGCAGCCATCCTCCAAGTGCAAAGAGCCAGATCCATCCACATTTTCACTGCATCAAAGCACCGCACCTCCCACCCAAGAAAACCATATCATGCCAACCAACACCTGTAACGATTACCGCATTTCCTTCTCTTCCAGCCTGGAACACGCGCTACCCAACCCCGCTCACTTGTTCGAACCCACCTCTCATTATGATTCTAATTCAACCCCTTTCTTTCTGCAGGCTGACGGATGGATGATGGGACACAATAATCGGCTCCTTTTCTGGGTACCTCCTGCTTCCCGACATGCATTTTATACTCCTTGGACTTCATTGGTGATTCCCAGAGGATATCCTGAGATTGATTTGAGCCGCATGGCACATGGAACGCTTTGGTCGAGTTGCCGAGATCCGTGAGTTCTTAGCCTGTACCATCCATCCTCGCAGTTGCTAAAATCAATCCTGCTAGCTCCACGTGACAATGATTTTATTGTTGCAATATCGAGTGTACCGTTCAATTCTTTGATTCCCTGTCAATTCTGTACCTAGCACATCGAGCCTGAATTCATGGTTGTCCGACTGAATGATGGGCTAAAAAGTAGACTGGGTAAAACTTGCTGATTGGTAAGAGCGCGTACTGAAAACTAATTTCATCACAGACGTATTTGCGCCCGTGTTACTGTTTTGAGATTTCATCACTATCAATGCCCTACAAAAGTACATTCAAACTCGGAGTTCATGGCAGCCGCAGTCTTTCGATCGAAGTGTATGTGGTTCGAGTGGCTGCGGCCTCGCACATACAGAGACACAAAGACGTTCTGATAAACTCATTTTCATGTCTGAAATCTGATGGAATCATTTGAAGTGAAGCAACTTCAGCGTGCTGCACGCTGCAGATAGAGGATGCCTCTTCCATGGCTCTTTACATATTCCACCAGGTTGGTACAGTAGTGGGTTGCTGTTGGCTTGAAGGTTGAATTCTGATTGTTCCTGCAGGGTATCCATTATTCACAGTGCTACTTGTTACTGAAAAATTGGACACGATATTCGATGTCACCTCCCCGCGTTATTCAGGAACACAGGGTGTATTATACCTGAAGTTGGTATCAGGTATCGTAGGATCATGGATGGTGTGTCGAAACATCGTTTGATCCGGATATCAGATCTTCAGGGAGGAGTTGATGAATACTGCGAAATATACAGAGGGAGAAGAGGATCAGCAATGGGAGCACACAAGAAGTTGAACAGTACGCCCAATGCCACTTATAAGCCTCATCATACCACCATTATTGGACGATGCACAATTGTTAGTCATAGCGAAGGGTATCGAGACAAGGGTAGGCGTCCATATTGTTCAGGGTGAGTGAGTTGCTCCGAGATGCATTGGAAGATGATTTGATATGAGCGTGCGATCCAGGATGTCAGTGAAATTCAAAAACTAAAGTCCAACCAAGTCCAATGCATACACAGAGTCGGACAGACCCATTGGATAGAAGATAGTTGTTCTGTTCAAGAAATCTTGATCGCTCGAGGATTTCTGCCACCCGCGTCCATCGGTGGGCGTAGAAAGTGAAATGTGCAACGAAGAAAGACCGAGAAACGAAGCAGAAGCGCCTGCTGGGAAGTGAACAAGATTATATTGGCAGTGACGCTCCAGCACACTGGTAGGAACCATTGGTTCGGAAATAAGAATGGTTCATGCCAAGTAGTCCTACTAAGTTCTCTATCATAGTCGTTGGTTCTGTCACAGTGGTGGGAACTTGGAAGGAATCGAACTAATATTTGATCATCGGCTCCTTTCTTTTGGTCCAGGTTACCTCTGCTTTTTTCATTGATTCCATCGCTGCACAACTTATTAGTAGACGCGTGTCAAGCCTATCCGCGCGCCCGTGACATTTATGTAAATAAGAATGCTAATAACACAGCCTATCCGAGTCTGAGCATGATGCATCTGATGGATTGCTGTTATGCATTTGAGCTCAACCCTGCAAGTCCGTACTTATGATTCCTTCAAGTTCAATGGCACAACTCAGTCAGGTGGGCACCTTGCTTTTATGTTACTAGCCTGTTCCTCACGCATCCAAGCAATTCTCGGGTAATCCTGAAGGGTTTACACTACTACCTAGTGGTGCTCCAACCAGTGGTAGTACTTTTGCGACTCACCGTCTGGTCTCCACACATACTAGTTTGGCCCTTGCTGGAATTGTTGGAGGGATTTCTTTTGGAATTTTGGCTGTCTGGCTATTGGTCGTCCGCACACGCAAACTCAAAGAGAATGCCGCTTCTGCTGGAACCTCTGAATCCTCACCTCTCCTGGTTCAATATCAAGCACCACTTAATCTTCAGGTGGGGAGCTCGATGAAATTACCCAGCGCAGTGGACTGATTAAAGAGGATGAATAGACTTATACTGCCAAGTTAGAAAACGACATATTACTTTGTTCCATCTGTGCAAAGCTGGATTTTTACAGGATCCTTCTTTATGGCATCCACGAGCTGGAGCCGATACCACTCGGTTCACTGTCATCTATTTTCGAAAAATCATATCAGTGCAGTTTCTGCCGCCTCATATCATTGTATGTCCGTCGGACACGGATTATGGAGGACTTTCCTCACATCGATCTCTCAGAGATTGAATGTGGGGTCCACACGACGCTTTGCGGTGCTCTTCGGAGGGGACCTCATCCCCCACTCCGTTATGGCCGTCGCCTCTACATCACTGGGAACGGCCTCTGGCAGACACATCCCGCTTTCAGGGCAGTGGGTCCACTATTAATCCATCTCATGCAAGAAGATGCTTCCAAGTTTGGGAGACCGGTCGATCTTCATGGTCGCAGGGTGAAAAACACGGTGGATGTCGGTCTGGTGAAGAAATGGATTAAGTTGTGTGAGGAAAACCATGGAGATAAATGTCGGAATGTTTGGAGAATGGACAGGAACCTGCCGGAGTTCGTGAGAGTGGTGGACGTAGTATCGATGGCCGTGATCCCTGCACCTTCTCACCGCTTTCGTCACGTCGCCCTCAGTTATGTATGGGGAGGCAACGGTGCAGAGTATTGGACGACGAAGGATAATATAGCAAAGCGCTCCATACCTGGCGGATTGAATGCGGCAAACCTCCCTGATACCATTACAGACTCGATTTCATTCGTGCGACAACTTGGTGAACGTTACATATGGATCGACGCTCTGTGCATCATTCAAGATGATTTGCAGGACAAGATCAGTCAGCTGCACGCTATGGATTCGGTCTATGGCCTGTCTTATTTCACGTTAATTGCTGCTGGCGGAAAAACAGCTCGAGACCCTCTCCCAGGGTGCCGTCCGCGAACCAGAACGCCACAAATACATATCGAAGTTGTCCAAGGACTTCATCTCTTTGTGACTCCTCCAACACATGAGAAGGCTCTCGGAATGTCCGCTTGGATTACGCGTTGTTGGACCTATCAAGAGAGCGCGTTGTCCTGTCGAAGGATATACTTCACTGAGCAGGAGGTCTACTTTGAGTGCCGATGTCAGGTTTTCTGTGAAAACATCGTTGCGGAAAGTAAGGCCGACTTCTGCAGCAGCTTTCTTCGGCATTCACGGGAAGAATATTTCCCATTCTCAACTGACTCCTTCTGGAGTTACAAGTATGCCGTTGAGAGGTGCACGCGACGTAATCTCACCGTCGAATCAGACATTGTCGATGCTCTCACTGGAGTGACAAATGCTTTGGTGGTAGCATTTGGACTCGGTGACCCCGCTAGAGCTTTTCAATATGGAATGATGTTGACGGAGCTGCATCAAGCGCTTCTTTGGCAACATGATCCACTTACACCTCGTACTCGTCGTTCGCTTGCTGAAGGAAGCAACTCATCTTGGCCTTCTTGGGCATGGGCGACATGGTGTGGTGCTGTTATCTACATGTCACGGAGTGTGTATAGGCAGACTAGGGTTACTGGTTATAGCAGCGAAGTGTCGGTGGATGAGACGCTTGTTGATGCTTGGTACATCGTGGACCATGGTGGCGGTATAGTGCCCCTCAATGTTCAGAAGGTGTCACGCGATTATTGGATAGAGGAAGAGCAGCCCCCGTATTCCTCTCCGGGAAGGACCTTGGACCCAACAGCGATGCCACTGGACACTCATCGACCACTAAAACCAGGCACTCTCATTTTTTGCACGACTTCCAGCCACTTTGCCATTACAAGGCGAGGTGGTGAATCAAATGAAGAATCGAGCCCTGCCGACCACTATGGTCTCTTTAATATCCTCTCCGCCACGTCTTCTCCCACTTGGGTTGGTACTGTCATCCTGCCATTGAACCCTGCCCCACCAAGTTCTATCGAGTTCATCGTGCTTTCCCGTTGTGATGGTGCGCACGGCTTCTACGATGAAGAGAGTATCAAGCCTTACCGTGGGTGTTTGCTACATGTGATGGCGGTTAGTGAGAACGAGGGCTTGATGGAACGTATTGGATTGGGCATCATTCATATCGTTGCCTGGGTTGCTTCAACGCCGGAGGAGAAGGTGGTGTTTCTTCGATAATGGCTGGCAGTGATAGTTTGAGTTTAACCTCGATTGCTCAAAGCAAGAATTGACTGTCCTTCGATTTGTTGACTCGCTAGTACTGTACAGTTTCGGTGCTCCTGGCATGAAGGCCATGATGATACTGATCGAAACCAGTCTGTTGCGGTACATGGTAATGGCGCTTGCGCCCCAACTCCCCGACACTGCTTTGAATTGGCGATCAGGATATGGGTCAGTACTACTAGTGATTTAGATTTGTGGTCCAATTCATGCGATCCGGGGCTAGTACATACATCCCCAAATGGCGTGTGAGCGCTTGAGCATGGCGATATCGGCTCGGCTCATTCCTCGGCTAGCCGACATGCTCAGAGTCTAGTGCTCAACCAATGGCGAGTGCGTGCAACGTGTCAGTCGTTGAACCGGTGGAAATCGACATGATGGAAGTATCGAGCCGCGGAAAAAACTAAATCTTTTTGGTGATGGGAATTTTTTTGTGCTCGACAGTCTCCCAAGTAGTGTTGTGGGCAGAACTCTGCCATTCTGCCATGTGGCAGGGCAGAACTGGCACTGCCAGGCAGATGGCAGAACCTCCCAGGCAGAATGTGGCAGAACTCCCGCACATGTAGAACAGTGGGAGAATGTGCTATATAGTTTAGTGTGTCGGTTCAGTGTACGATAGTATAGATTGAGGCACTTTAAAACTGAACATGACGTCGTCACGCTCATATGCACACAACTGAACTTCCAGGCATTGATACAGACGTTGCCAAGCAGCTCGAAACCGACTTCGCATTTGTCCCTCCACTTTCAGCAGTCTCCGGCGACAATCTCGAAGCAGTGAATCGATCTCACTCGATGACATTGATGCTGAGTTTTCTCGTCTTGAAGATATTCGTAACACGGAAAAAATGATGGAGTTTGCCTCAAACTGGGATGTGGATAGGAAGGAAGTGTTGGAAGGGAGAGCGTTCGACTTTGTGGAACTGCGGCATGTCAACGAGGGATTAGTGCCTACCACGATAGAGGATGAGATTATGGTCGCAGATCGTGATGCGAATGAAGATGGGACTTGGAATATTGATTCTATGTTGCTGTCAAGTGGTCTTACATCCATGTAGTTAGTACTCTAGCGCTATGAAATTCTGCCATCTGCCATGCTGGCAGAACATGGTTCTGCCAGGTTCTGCCAGTTCTGCCGGCAGAACTACCTTGAGTTAGTTCTGCCCACAGCACTACTCCCAAGGACTACTAGTACTTATTGGCAGTATCGTTAGATGTCGGACCGGGGGTCTGCCATGTACTAGTCTGCATCTATGTAAGTACATAATATCCTACAAGTATAATCCTCGGTGAAACAGGAAATATGAGATAATAAGACTTAGTTGCATCGTGTTGTTGTTATCATTACACTTCATGTTCTTCAGCCAACTCGTGCCCTCTTTGTAGCACCGCCATCCTCCTCTTCCTCCTCTTCTTCGTCTCCTTCGCTGATTTCATCCGCATAACGTTTCAAGCCGCCTGCAGAAGTGGGAGGCTCGTCTTCGTCTTCCTCGAAATACTCGTCATCGTCCTCGGCGTCCTCATCGTCATCAGCAGCCGCAGCTGAGACTGATGTGCCATTCTGGAAGAATTGCATGAGTTTTCTGTGGAGAAAAGAAACGATGTATACGTACCTCGCCAACTAGTAGCGCCGTCAAACTTGGTTTACTCTATACCAATAACTCAACATTCTTCAAGAGGCGACGGACCAGGATTCAACATACCCTTGATGCGACACCTCCTTCCTCTCCATCCTCCCCTTCATCTTCGTCTTCTTCAGCTCCGACTGGGTGGGGCGAGCCAACTTGCTCTTCTTCTGCGTCCTGTTTTCATAAAACGTTGACAGAGCAATTGAAAAGGAGGTAGACACAATTGTTGTGCGAAAACGAGAACGAGTTTAGATGCACAAAATATAAGAAATATCAGAAAATAATATGCAGACCTCGACCTCATATTCATCGCTCTCCTCGCCTTCGTCAACATCCTCCGGCTCTTCTCCAGGGACTGTAGGCTCTAGCGTGGGGTCAGGGGACATTTTCGGGGCTGTGAAATGTATGACGCAGAGCCTTAAGGGATTGTGTTCGGTGCTGGTTGAATTTTAACCAGCTGTGAACGGGGAAGCGAGAAAAAGATTAGCGCCATGGTGACATAGCGAAATGATGGTTCTCACCCCAGGGTAGGTAGCTGACGAACGTTTGGTCCTGTGCTCAACACGTCGCACGCTCAGAAAAGGTCGCCGTCCCAGGGGGATTGCTGTCTTTGGATGAGGCGGGAGGTCGTTGCGTGGGGGGTCGTTCACACCAGCTAAACTTATTAACCCTTATTTCTTCTTCTCAATCTTCAGGGTAAACATGGATTGCGTCCTCTCCCGACGGTACACCAAATTTACTCATACCATTCATGCTAATTAATACCTTGAAGATCTGATTTCTCTGGCAATCTACACGAAGATACCCTGGTCCGCTCGCTGAGTACTGAGTAGCTAATGGTGATCTTGTCAGCACCCGCCGAATTCGGGGTATGATCGATCCTCAATACCAACACTAGTTTCATTATCTGGCAGCCGATATGAAATTGATTTTCTATGGTTCGGCAAAAACATGGAAACTGATGCGAAATAACTCGCGGAAGTTTGTGTACACTTTACCGTGTATCGAGCGCAATCCGGGCGCTTCATGTTGACTTCCGCATGAACCACCCGAGGCGAGTCTATGAATGCAGTAAGGTAAGTGAATAAGATTAACCTACTCGCCTCTGACGTCAGACACTTCGTCAGCAATCCAAGTTCTGTTAGGAGTAGATTGGTCACACTATCATACAGGGCCCCTATTGGCTCTCATTTAAGACAACCGTCTTCTGCAAAACATTATTTATCTCTTCAACGTTCAAACGTTCAACACTCACGCAACATGGTTATCAAGATCGTCCGATGGTGTGTCTTGAGTGCGTCGTTATTTTCTTACACGTCGTCAACTAGCTCATCTTCATCGCAGCGTTCACTCTCATCTTCGCAATCGTGGTGCTCGGTATAAGTGCACACCTCATCGCCATCCGACCTACACACTATTGGCATTTTGCTGCCCTTGCAGTCGCAGTATCTTCCCTGACAATTCTGACATTCCCTGTTATGTGCGTTTTCTTCCCAATTGGCTGAGCTAGCACTCATTTATGGTCGCAAAATTCAGTCTCCTGGTCGATACCTTCCTAGGTAGCGCTTCGACAGAACGGATCTTTGGCGAGGCTCTTTGGCTAAGTATGTACCTCTTGACGTCCAATATCATTTTCAATGATTACTTACGATTCCGAAGGTATCATGTGGATTTTGTGGCTCGCAACTGGAGCTAACGCCACTCATGCGGCTCGCGTACACTTCTTCGCAGGTGGTTGTAGTTTCTGTAAGTACTATATTTCCAGAACGGGGTCGCTTTTCTGATCATGTTATCTTCGCCTTCGCTTCTCAGTCTCTGGCTTTTCCAATAAGATTTGCAATGAGTTCAGGGTCGTGGAAGCTTTCGCTTATATCAACTTCATCATTCGTGCGTCTTTTCCCTTTTTATTTTTCTGTTTCTTAAGGGACATTTTCAGTGCTTTGCTATACAATCGGGTTATTCGCGTATGAGTTTACGCGCGACCAGTCTCCGGTTGCTACTCAAACCACTCAGAAACAAGCTCCTGCCAACACGACAGGTCAGTAGCAGCGAATTGCTACACCAAGCCATGCAACTGATTTTGCGCATGATCAACAGCTGTCTGAACGTGAATCGTCGAACGTCAACTTCCCCGAGCATTGCGTAGGAAATTGGCTTGCGACGTAGTTTCTATCTTTGCTCAGAAAATTAATACTCTAATTTGTATGCATAGTCATCGTTTACAATGTTACGTAATTGCACTCGAGACAAGATGTTCGATTTACTATTGTGACTCAACTCGTTGGTCTGTGATGTGCATTGAATATTAATGCCCACTCTGCTTCCTTCGCCAGTCCGCAGTCTAGATCCACACTTGAGTGTCTTGAATTTCTTCTTCTTCTCCAACTTCCGTGAGTGAGATATATTAGATTTTGAAGGTCTATTTGCTAAGTCACCAACTTCAGATTTGACTCATTGGTATTTCTTCTCAAGTTGCCAAATTTGACCACCTGAAGCTCTCTCGTCTTGTCAGACAAACCGGGAACCCCCAGTACACTGGAATACTTGACTTGTCTGATTAAAGCTTTTCACCTCCGAATGCTCATCGCGGTGATGCAATGCTAACGTTTTTCTACTTCTAGCTCGCAGAACTGAGGGTCGCAGAATGCCGCTGATAACAAATGCAGCCTCGTGTATGTCACGCTAGTCGGTCAACGTCAAACTTATCAGCAACTAGGCTAGTTTAGCACTCACTTGAAGGCACATGCTAATCTGGCCAAGTCGTACGATTCTGAAGGCATACCGCAACGGGGTACATCAGAAAGCAGCCTTTACCCATTCTGCTGTGACAGGCCACTCTATTCCGCCTCGTGTTGCTTGCGCTATCAGGACGCCCTATTGTCCATGTAACGATCGACGGGCAAATCGGATCTCTCTGCGACGGATCACGGTGACCCGACTTTCTCCATGTTTGAGCCATTTCCGTTGCACGTTTCTGACGGATCGCTCCGTGATGACTCTTCTTTTAAACACGTTTGTGTTATCCAGCAGCCAGCTCCAGGCATTATTGTCTCGTCTTACACATCGATGGAACATCTGCGATTATCATGGAAGTATATGTGCACTGCGTTCGTATTCCACCTATGTTATTTGGAGCCATTGAGCTTTATTAGGGGCGTGTCAAGTCTTTTCTATGCTGAGCACTGGGCGCTGATTGGACGAGTGGTCCCCCTTGTACAGCATGTCATAGCAACAAGTGTGTCGTAGCGTGACTGCTTTCGTATCGCTGCGTTATCAGCTACCATCGAGCTATTTGCTGCGTGGGTCGGTATCGGTGCTGCACAGTAACATACAGCTCAGATGGCATTCTAGTGCGTATTTTGCCAGGCCCGAGGGACTAAAATTGCAGTGACGCTTTTAGTAGTCTATCGCCGACGGCATGCGCAGCAGTTCATTAGTGTGATATAGAAAACTTTTCGCATGAGCATGATCTACGAGTGCCATGAGTTAGATGCCTCGCGATGTTGTCGAGGAGTTTAATTCTTTTACGATATGATGATCAGTGTCCTGCGCCACACAGATCAAACTATGCCTGCATGCGGGGTAAAGATGAGTTATCAACTAGCCCTATTACATGCAAGTACTGATCACGTACATGGTGAACGGTTTCAGATGGGTCTTGTGATTTGTGTAGCAAGAGCTGTGGGTCTCGCACAGGAACAACAACTTAAGCCCAAGCACCACGAGAGAATATGCCCGATGTGAACATGACGCTAATTTGTCATGTTACAGTTCCATCTGAGTGAGTGAGCTGGAAGGAGCTGGCTGGGCGCTCGCAAACATCCGTGATTCTGTTATCACCAAGGTGATTCTGGTATCGGGTTCTCAGCGACTGCCACTAGTTCGGATGGGCCTGGAGACGAGTGTGGTTCACTTCCATGGGCGGTCCCGTTCTGGTGTTGTGCTTGCTTTGATACTTGATATAATTAAGGAAGGGTTCTAGGGAAGCAATATAAAATAGAATAAGAATAAATGGAAGAAACGGAGAAGGGAGACAAAACGGAGAGATGTTTTTTGAGTTACGGCAAGCATTAATTGTGACCAAGCAAGACCAGACAACGACTTGAACAGCCTTTCAACCAAGCGAACTAACTCCTACAGCAGCAAATCCTTTTTTACTCAAAGTCAATCATATTCATTGACTCAGTCTTTCGTTAATACTTTATAATCATCCTGCTTTTCTTATACTCTCACAAGTGCTGCTATTTTGCGTTTGGCAGTTTGCGGTTCAATATACCGTGTCGCTGCACAGCTAGCCTCGAGGCAGAAATCTGAACTCAGTTTGTTCATATCTGGCAGCTTTTCAACCGTAACCTTGATCAAGGTCCCGCAGTATTAACTGCCAGTAATCTCTGTCAAGTCAGTACCCAAATCATTGATTGTCAGTACCTTGGCCTCACAGAACGGCATCGTTGACCGTAACGCATCTTTTCATTTCCCCCGTGGTCTCCTCGTGGCCTTTCACGCCAACGCCGCGCGACGATTACCCATAATATCTCCCGCCCTAATTAATCCATCTCTCAACTGTCACAGAATTCAATTCCCTTTGTCGTCTGCTCTTCTCTCTCTTGCACCTTCACTCCCACATACACCCTGTTCACCGGAAGTCACATACCCAACCCACAGCCTCCCATTCCGATTCACGTAGGACTTAAGAGAGACGGCTTGCCCATCCCTTTTCTCGTAAACCTCGCCAATTTTTATTCCCGCGGATGCCTGGTGTAGCCGCCACCTTTCATCAGCGCGGTGCTTCAAAGAAAAACTTCAAATCTGTCCTTGGCTTCGGGTCTTTCAACCGAAGCCGTTCTTCCGTCGACTCTTACCTTCCCCGTCAACCTACAAGTAGAGTCAGCATCGATACCACGAGAAGTTTTCAATACAAGCGCAAATCCCGCCAAGAACGTGCAAGTGCAACCGACGCCTCCTCTGATTCACTCTCAAGTTCGCCCCACGCACATCAGGAGCATAGTCAGAACCATAAACACGACCCCAATAACACCGTCCGCAGTATGAAGTCCATAGACGCCGCTCATACCCGTCCTCTTAGAAGACCACCGGTCAGGATTGATGCTCAGGAAGGTCCCTGGAGCGTCAGCGTCGCTGAGACTCCACATGATGTACACTCATATAGCATTTACATAAAGAGTGAGTCTCGCATTTTCGCTCCACTCTTTCTCCACCATGTTGGTCAGAACGAGTTCGTTCATTACCTACGCAATTGGATTTTCGTCTGGCTTTCCGAGGTAGCCGGGTTACCATTCTGTGTGCATGTGATTGCGGTCCAGTGTTTTATGTCCTATGGCCCCGTTAATTCCTACCACATGTCTTTAACAAACGAACCTGCTAATGATATTCTTTCTTCCGCAGCCTCCACGCACAACCTCACCCTGACCCGCACTGCCACAGAGGTCGTCGAGTTGCACGGCAAGCTTGCAGACTCCGTCCCAGGCACCAGACTTCCCAAGTTGCCCATAGACTTGGCGGCTCAACCCATCAAGCGGAATATCTTCCTCAACACGCTATCCCGCCTTGCCTCACCAAGCAACAAAGTAGCGCGCACGGTATCTACACGCATCGCCAGCGCTAGTTCCATCACTCCCATTGTTTCACCTACGCATGAGATCGGCGACCCTTTTACAGAGACGGGTGGCACAGGTTCAGGAGGCAACGTAGTCACGAGCCTTGCTGCATATCTCACCACCATCTCAAATGAGCCGACGTTCCGACAGACCCGCGCATGGAAGCGTTTTGTACGTGTGCGCACCGATGACCTCGAGAGCGTGCGTGTAGAGCGCGCGATCAAGCGTGTGCGCTCTGATCTGGCAGCGCATGGCAGCTCCAATATTACCACAAACGTCAGCTCGGGCAACGTCAGTGAAATTGAGGTGGATGATACCAATGGTGCTACGAGCGAAGTCAATCTGAACGATTTTGCTGCCGGTGACTTGAGGGAGGAGGGGATCAAAGAGGAAGAAGAGGATGTAGAGTCTATTCCTGTTCAGGTGGAGGCTCTAGCTCCTGTTGCGGATGAGGCTCCTCTTACTGAAGCGCCTGAGGACATTGTCGTTGTGGATGAAGCAGTTCCTACACCCATAGAGGCAGAACTTGCAGTTCCTAACGCAGCCGATGGGGAAGAGACAGCTGTGTCTACGCCTGTCGCAGAGGTCCAAGCTTCCCGGATACTTCGTTCCCACTCTGCCGATCCCGATAAAGCTAGCCGTTTGTCGCGAGCATACACCTCCTCGACATTGCAGGAAGGTACGAGTTCCCAAACGGGCGATGACTCTTCGATCAGCACCAACACTGGGGGGCGTAAGAATCGTACCAAGTCGGCTGACCCGAACAAGGAACTCAAGAAGCGTTCAAAACGCAAGGTCGTCATTGATGACTTTGAGATGATGCGTGTCCTTGGAAAGGGGTGTGCTGGCAAGGTCTTACTTGTGAAACACAAGACGAGCTCGGATCTGTATGCCCTGAAGGCGATCACGAAGCGTCATGTACTGGCACATCAGGAACTGCAGCACACGTTGACCGAACAAGCTGTGCTCAAACGGATGGCAGCAGAGTCGAAAGACCCATTCGTTGTCAAGCTCTGGTGGAGTTTTCATGATAAGGAGAATCTATTTTTAGTCATGGTATGCTTCTTCATAGAAGTGCACAACACGCACATTAATGGCGTTTTCTCCTAGGATTTCCATCCAGGCGGTGACCTTGCCACGCAGCTTGCACGTTGGGGTAGGCTAGGTCGGGACCGTGCCCGGTTTTACGCCGCGGAGATAGTCGAGGGTGTCGAGGGCCTGCATGCAGCCGGCGTCATCTACCGTGACCTGAAACCTGAAAACATCCTGATTGGTGCAGATGGGCACATCGTACTGACAGACTTTGGCCTCTCAAAAGAGTTCCCACGCCGTGTAGCTGCAACGACAGCGCCTCCTACTCCCACACGAGGCGAGTTCTATTCAGCTCCGGGCAGTGAGCCTGCGACGCCGCCCTGGATGAAGGGCGAAAAGAGTCAAGACGTTGTAATGGGATGGCATGGACAGACTGTTGGCCCTATGGATGCGACGACGACTTTCTGTGGCACAGCAGAGTATTTGGCTCCAGAGGTGATCCAAGGACTGCCATATAGTTACGAGGTCGACTGGTGGAGTTTCGGCACCATGCTTTATGAGATGCTGACGGGAATTGTAAGTGCCCTGGGTTAAAGCTTTGACGGCTACTCATGCGCAATAGACGCCATTCTGGGCGAATAACCACTCCGACATGTATGTCAGGGTCCTGCAGGATGAGCTGCAATTCCCTGAGGATAGAGCGATTGACCAAGATACCAAGAGCTTGATTAGAGGGGTGGGTGATGCTTCTTGTCCATGACCACAAATCATTTATAGTCGCCTTCGCATAGCTCTTGCAACGAAATCCTGCACTTAGGATGTGCGAGCCGCGGATCAAGCGGCACCCGTACTTCTCTATGATGTGAGTTTATCACGAGGCCAACTTTCCTGATCCTGATTTCTTCCCCTTCAGTGACTGGTCGCACGTGTATTACAAGCGCTACATACGTGAGGCATATTCGCTGCTGCGATAGATAGATGTGCTTACTTGGTGTTATCCCTCTAGCCCCCTATATCCCACCTATTGACCCATCCAATGCCAGTGATACCCAGAACTTCGACGACACATTCCTGGATATGGAACCAGTGATTGACGATCCGAACGATCAGGAACAGACTGATACAGATCGTGACCAAACGGACGCTGAGCCTACAGATGGGGAAGGCGAGGATTCAAGCACGACACCCTCGCATTCCCGTAGCCCATCAGTGCATCCAATTGACGAGAGCGTCGATGTCTTTGACGGGTATTCGTTCAAGGGCCGGCATTCTGTTATCCTGGACGATGATGACGATGAGGTATCTGGAGAATCTGAACGGGAAGAGACCGATGAGGAAGAGGTACCAGAGATTCTTTCAAATATTGCGGATACCCCTCTGCAACCGAAGGTCGAAGAGGCATCACCAGTTGTCGATGAAACGACTCCAGAACCGAAGACTCCTGAAGCCAGACCACAAGTCCTACCAGAGGAACAACCCGCCGAGATCATCGTTCAGCCACAAGAGGAGACTACAACACTGGTTGAGGAACCTTCAACCCCAGTTGAACCTATCACACCCTCAGAGCCGTCATCTGCTCCTCTCAAGGAATCACCGTTACCGACTACTCCCACGTCGCCGCCTCAGGAGATTGTGCCTATTCCACCAGCCAAGGATGTCAAGCAGAAGGTCACAAAGCCAACCGCTCCTCGGCCGAGCGCCCATCGTTCAACACGTAATCGCCGAGAGAAGTCTGGTGTCCCTGCACTTGACCGCTTCCTTTCCGATGGCCCTGACGAGGAAGAATGCACTGAGAAGGAAGAGGAGGAGGACTGGGACTTTATTGAAGCTGGGGATGGCGAGGACCGCAATGGTACCAAGGGCACAAGCTTGTTTGCTCGGGGTGTCGTCGACCGATACCGGTTGGCCGTATTCCGTAAAGCATCAACCCCTTCACAACGGATGGGTGGACGCTCATTTTCTGGCATGTCAAAAGAGTCTGATGTTCATGGTACCGACCCGGCAGAGTCACCTAGTCCATCAGAGAAGCATCGTCGTGGACGTGCACCTGCGTTGAAGTTCCGAAAAACGCCCAGACAGTTCCTCCGTGCAAAGTCTCCGCCATCATCATTTCCCACCACCAAGTCATCCTCTACTGCAAAAACCCTCACTCCTTCCACATCCGCTACGCTATCATCGGTATCAAGTGGTGGCCTTCTTTCACCTTCCGTTTCAGGCACTAGTCCAACACCAATGTCCCCATCGCTCAAGTCGAAAGAATCAGCAACTTCAGTCGGCGAAAGTCTATCGTCGGATCAGTCAAACGGTGATACGATACCAGAAACCCTTTTTTCACCCGAATCGACGAGAGGAGTCCCGGCCGCTCACACCGAGGAGCCCGAGAAGCTTAAGACCAAAAAGCTTAAGAAGTACAAGGAAGGAGCAGAGAAAATGCTGTCCCTCTTTGCTTCTCCTCGTCAGTGATCACGACCCAGTCGACCGCGGGACCGGTCCCTCTTCTTCTCTTCTGCTGCTTCCGCATTCTCACCAAGTCAAAGTCAAACAATAATCTTGTATCCTTCATCTCAAGACTCACTATCACTATGCATTGCCTCACAATTACTTACTAGCACTTTCCTTTTTTTCATTGACCTTTTTATATCAGTTCATCGAGGATGGGTCGCGAACTAGAATCGCGACCGGTTTTTTTGCTCCATTACATATGGATATGGACTGGGTGCTCGTTTTACGTTTCTTAATTGATCACGTCCTTCTGTCGTTACTTCCGGGCCATTACTGTTTTGCTGAAGCCAAAATCAAACAGGAGGCATTATTGTACAGATTTATTTAAATCCTTATAATTTGCTTCGAGTTGCAACGCTTCATCTTCTGATTTGAGTTCGCAGTATCAGAACGTAAAAAATTGCACACGCCGGTCAAAAGCACGATGTGCTAGAGGACCATATACATTTCTATGACGTCTGAAACCCCCTGGTTAAGAGCCAACTTCGCGCGGATGGTATGACCTCCATCCACCTTCCAGCGGATAGCGAGCTCCAAGCCTACGTAACTGTGTCTGCGTTGCCAGTACTCTCTTCCTTCTTCAGGCTTATGAAGAGGCGACATGGTTTCCAAAAGAGAGTCATTGTTAAAGGTAGATGGAGCAACCAAGATTCAGCTCCAGGACCCACAGTTGCGTGAAACAAAAAAACTTGCTTATCCCCATCATGTAGATGATATTGAGCGGCCAATACAGGTATAATGCTGGATTCGAATGAATATATTGAAGAGTCTGGCTTGCTTTGCACTGTCACAGGCAGTGCTTTTCAAAGCTCCGGAAAATTCGAAGTATTGCATGAGCAGGACAATGTCTCTTTTCACAAGTAAATCGGGGCTCCTGAATGTTGAGAAAAGGCGCCAAAGACTTGTGCAGGTTCCCGTGAATATGCACTTCGAGAAGGGTAGGGATGTTGGAGAGGTGTTCGCATGTTGCCAAGCTGAGCTGTGGACACGCAGGAGTTACGAGGCATGATGGAGTGATAGGGCAGGAATGGCTCATCTGTTGTGCACCCTTTACTGAGCACGACAGTCAAGCGCTTGGCCAGGATAACACAGCGGGTCAGCATAGATGTCAAATCGAGAGGCAAGACCGCTAGGAAGGAATAGAACAGTGCAGGAGACAAGGAGAAATGCAAGTATCCGATGTTCGTCCCAACCAGAACAACAACAAGAGTCCTGACAGTGGGAACCATGTCTTCATGGGAAGCACCGTAAGCAAGTGAAAGTGTTTGTGCGTACAAGACCCGCATGACACAAGCATTGGCGTCGTGCTCCGATAATGGTTCAACGCCTTGAGAATTACAAATGGTGCCTTGAGTACAGTGTAAACGATGTTGTCCGAGTCGATCGATCTAAATTGGCTTGAACGAAATATATGAGCGAAAAACGACACAGCAATTCTATCAAGTACATAGTTGTAGTAACACGGCCAAACCACTCAAGTCTCATTTCAAATTTGTGTACCTACAGCCAAGGGGTACACAAGAGACATAATCGCTAACCGATCTCGTAGATCGCGAAAACTGGTATAATAAGCAAAGCGCAAAAAGGATAGGCATAGAGGTCCGACACGAGTCGCAACAACTCACAGGCCGAAAAGATATGAATGCAGATTTGACAGGCACGCTATAGACAAGCAAACTTCGATTGGCGTTTTTTTAGCTCCTCCATCCGAGAGTCGAGCTGTGCACGAGCACGTTCCTTTGCACGTCGTTCTTCGTCAAGATGCGATTCGAGGGACTGTTTTTCTTCCACGATCGATTTCCGAACAGTAACAACCTCACGGCGCGCTTCCTGTAACTCATTGCGAAGGCCCTCAATTTGGAAATTAAGCGAGTCTCGGTCCCTCGCAAGCTCCGTTGCTTGCATGCGCGCGTTGAGAACTGTAAGACAAATATAAATGGTTAGCTCAAACACTAGAGAGCGATCAGGAAACGATACATACGATTCTTCTCAGAGTCGCTTAATGATGTCTCTAGTGCGCTCACGAGATCCATGTGAGCAGCCAAATCACTCTCACAGTGACATAGCTGTTTGTTGAGTGTCTTGATCATCACCTCCTGTTCATTGGTATACTTCGCTTGGTCCTCGAGCTTGGCGTCAATCGCCTTGGAGTCTACCTCAGGGCCGCTTGGTGCAAGTACAGAGGCAACCGACGTAGCAGAAGCGTCGGTAAAGTATTTCCAAAACATAGTAGGTTGAGTAGATAAAATTAACTGGGTTTCCTGGGTTTTCGGTGCTGGCGGGGGCGTGGTAGTCTAGTGGGTGGCGTCACATGATCTTTACTAGCCAATCAAATAATGATAAAAAAACAATTACAAATGAAATAATAGAATGAGCACCTCTAGCAGCTGAGTGCTCTACGACTTCGTCCGGACACTATCAGCATGACTCGGACAATTTTACCAGTTGAACTTTGTCTTCAGAACACGCAAGTGTACCGACTCCCACCTCCCAAAGTTCAGACATGTGCGGGACAAGCATCATTTGATCATCCTGCATATCTTGGATCATTCCTTGTCGGGAATGGGAATGTCTAGAGTGCTCTCAAGGGCAAAGGTCATATCAACCAGGCGACACCACCCGTGTTGAACAAGGTAATCCTGATGGTTATAATCTCGCCTACCAGTCTCAGGCGAAGAGAAGAAGAAAGCCTTTCCTGATAACGGTGAAAACGGATCTCGCCCTCGGTGCTACGCTGAAATCGCAGCCAAAACTGACGCTGCAGTTCGCCTTACGAATGACCGTAGTTTTGGTGTGTTTTATGATGTAAGGGTGCTCACACATTTCAACCAGAGTTCGGCCGTCTTTCGCAGCATGTTTCATCTTATGTTTCATGGTTTCTTGACTTCGGTACTTTATCTCCCATATGAATTAGCCTTGCATTTATCATGGCGTCCAGGATTGTTGACTTCAGGGTGGCAAGTGCCTAGTCACTCTGCATTCTGGTGCGGACTTGATATTAATTAACCAGGCGCTTCTGCGGAGGGGCCACTAATAATCATGTTCCATCAGGGACAGGAAACACAAGATGAACAAACTGTCAGAAACGCCAATCTGGGCCACTCTCTTCGAAGCTTTTAACCTTTGCCTTTGGAGGGTGACCAAGATCCTGGTGATGCCAAGAAGAAGAATACTGAAATTATTGGTGACGAACAGGAAGTCGAAGTCGAAAAAAGTGAGGAGCTGACTGAAAACGAGTCGGATTTCATTTACAATAAGCGGCTATCATGTTGACAGTCTTTCAGGGCTAGAACGATCAATCGATGGCTGACATGGATCTTCCTGGCATGTTTACATTAACACTAAGGGGATACCAGAAGAAAGCACTTGTGGCCAAATTATCTTGTTCTCCTCTACTGATTCATACAAGGTGGACGCACAGAAGCTGTGTTTATGCATCTATGGAGTGAGTAAGTCTCCCAACCAGCTATAGGAACAGCTGTCTTATATCCATGCTTTCCCTGCCGAACTGTAGTCGATCTGACTGAAGACGAGAATTCAGTCTTGACTTACCTAAAGCCGAACACAAACTCAAAGGAGGGATCCTTGCGTTTGTATAACACTGTCCGTTTCATCTGCCAATGTCAAGTTCTCAACGTTATACCACAGTGGTAAACAATGCATTATTCATATCTTGCGACGTGTACGGACAAGGGAGGGTTGCCACGATGCACAACGTGCTCATAAGGACCGGTCAAGGAATAAGACCTCATTGAGGTTCTCCGGCTGTCTGGTCAAGATAGCCCACACCAGGTGTTTTCAATGGACGAAAAAGAAGGGTCGTCGAACATCAGAAGTCTTCCCGTGAAATGATTCTAAATCCTCCGCTAAACTGGATGCGCCGGTACAAAATCTCGGTAGGTGCACCTCTGCATAGTCCATTCCATTCTGATCTAAGTTAGTTTCAGGGCACCTGTCATGGTATCGTTTAGGATCGATGGGCCTCAACTTGAAGCGCATTGCTGTCATATCAGAATTCGAGCGGAACAAGCGAAAGCCCAAGGTTCCGATTGTCAGCTTGAAGCCGTTAATCTGAACTTAAGCGCAAGCTACCTGCCTTTTGAATTGCCTGAACATTACTTCAAACAATAGCTGACGAGCGCCAACCACATCTTCATGATTAATCTCCCAGAACTTGTTGCCCTGTGCCACGCTAATGAATATTATTCAGACTTCTGATGCGAACGCGGCGACTGAAAATCGAGGTTGGCATCAGTATCCGTCTATGGTTAACCGTACTGATTTTGGTGACAGCCATCGATGGCATGCACCGAATTCGTAGGCGAAGAAAAAACTGTCTATATCAAAAAACTTTTAGTGAGTACGTCTTTATCATATTCATTTAACCTTCTTTGAGGTTGATCACACCGAAGGCCGCATACTCCGGATCCAAAAACGCAAGACTGTCATCGACAAAGAGGCGTTCCGGGCGATAAATCGGGTAAAGTAAACCCGGGGAGTCTCGAGGACCTGAAAGTTATATTCGGTGACAATGAGTGACAGCTTTTGTATAAATAGTGCATCTCTTCGAATGGCATCGAACTACTACTGTAAATGCAAGTCTGCGGAACGAGATATTAATCACTGGATCAAAATGGACTTGGACAGGAACATCAAAACCCACGACCCAGACACAGCCGCTTAATAAAAAAAATTATTCCATGACCAGTATCTCCAATGATGATCACTTCCACAGGTCGACAAACAACTAATTGCAACTCACCCAACGTAAACACTTATGTTATTCCATCGTACGATCACCGTATCTAACGGGGCACAGAATACATGAGAGGAAAACCGTCAAAATGAAGGCCCTGCATCGTAACGCCAAGGTACTATTATGAGACATTGCAACATGAAGCCCTGGAGTTCCCTGAGATGTAAAATTACTCCAGGAGAGACAGAATCCTCTAGCCATAAGTGCTCGTAGTCCGTCTTGATCGCGCTGCAAAATCGACATGACCAAAACTAGTGGGGTATGTTAGCACACCGTGACGTTAGTCCGTCCCATAAAAGGATCTCGAAGACGCCCTGTGAAAGACATTGGCGCGCTTGTTGGTCCTAGGCCTTCACCAGCATAGCCACTAGTGCATTATACTCGTCCTTGAATGTAGCTAAAAAGTCGGATAAAAACGACATTATGGGTGAACTATTGAAGTATTATTAGTGGCTTGAACACGTTGAAAGACTTTCTTGCCTCATGGAGTATCATAGGCCCAAACAACCTGAAATTCCTCATAAAACGGTTCGGGAGCCCATGGACGGCGCTATCTCAGAAGAATCTGCTCTCCGTTTATTAGCAACTGGCTATGGAGCGAAGCCGAAGCCAATGTGTCCAGTTGAGCGTCGCGAGGCAGACCACACCTGCCGCAGGCACCCGTCTCCTAGGATAAGGGACCACTGACCGAGTTCTCGTCAGGGGTTTACTACCTCTGCCTACCTCGCCGTTTTACTCGTCCTATTTAAGAGGATACCACTGAGCTTTGATACGACCTAGTGAGAGTATATGGTCCATGCGCGACTACAAGTCTAGTATATCTGGCCAGCTGCATTCGGTACTCATGGCCCACCAGCAGGGTGGGTACCAGTGGGGGGACAGGAAGCCTCATCTCCCAGCCTTTAGCATGAGCCGAACTAGTTGGTGCCTGTGTACGGCCGTTTCCGAACCGCACTGGTGTCCGTACAAAGACGGAACGGACATCTAAATGTGTGCGCAATGGATAACTAATGTATCCGATGCTCACTCAACCCTGCATGATGGGTGACCGTATGAAGAAGCCTCATGTAATGCTGGAAGGAACTTACCAACTGGATTAGGGCTTTTGGGAAAAATGACGGTAAGACCCAGCCATGTGTTTTACTAGTAAGGTCGCTAGTAGCTAGTACCCGTTGACTCACCGTGACAGCATGGGCAAGGCTCGATCTGCACGTAGGCGTCTTTTAAACGAGTGAATGGTATCACGAAAGTTTGCGACATGTACCTTGGAGTGTCAACTGGAGTTGGCCGAAAGGAGTTATGAGCCCTGCGCTCAAAGCTGCAGTTGGTTTGTGATCGGATCAAGCATGCTTAGTCAGCTTTAACCTGATACTACACGAAGTTTTACACCAACTTATACTGTACGGTACGGCGCAAATGCCGTCGATTAGCGGTAGTATTTTGCCCTTGTCTACGAACTTCCTCGATGATACTTCAAGTTTGTTCCCTCGGTGTTTTTTAACGGCCGGGCTGACCTCGAATCTCCAGTAGTGGCAGTTCTGCGGTTATAGGCGTTCTTTTGTGTTCTGGACCCTTGATGAGCAGTATCCCGATGCTAATTCAAACGTAAGTACTTGACAAACCTCTGTCAGTAATAAAAGTTTTGGTGCTAAATGTCACCCCTTTTGTTATCAGCGCCTTTGCCCAAATAGCAGGACCCTAAATGCATGTACTTTTGGAATGCTCACTCAAAGCCAAATTATAATAAGTCCATCGTGCGACTGTGGAACCGCCCTTTCCGTTGTCCAACGACTTTCACCCAGAGCTCTTCTATCCCTGAAATTAGCTGAGCGCATTGCAACACATGAGTTCAACTGCAACAGCAGCAGCAGATGTCCTTAGTTCATTTTCTTATGCGCAAAGTTAGTTCTAGTGATGTTCCCGACTTCCAATCTGATTTAATCCAAACACGGCTTTCAGTTGCTGTCGCTGTCGCCGTCTTGTATGATCACTGTATGCAATCGATCAAGTCTTATGACCACTCACTCAATTATCGTCTGTTCAGCATTGACCTTCGCTCGTGAAGTGAGTCACTGTTGACCCATAAACGAGCAAAACCTAATGATAATGCTGGACTCTTAGATAGATTATATATGGGTGAGTCAAGACTTGAAAAAATGGTGTCCGTTCGTCATATGCTGACTTCGTTGATGGCTAGCGGAGGCCGCCTTCAATAGTGGCCGCCTTATATCTATTGGTATGTGCAACTAGTGTAGATTTTTCTAGTCTTCACGTTGGTTAGGACCGCTACCTGGGCGATTCCGTCGTGATGTAAGCCCTGGTGTCTAGCTCTTATCAGTAATCTGATGTGTTCTTAGCATTGGTGTATATCGTAAGTTAATATTTATCTCACAAGTTATCTCTTTCACGTGCTCTAGTGTGCCTCACTGAAGATGCATCAACACAAGTGAGCGCGTTTGTCTAAACGTATGATTTGTGGTTTTCTTACGATGTCGTTTACAGGAGTATGGTCTCTAACGCGCTTTATTCGCACTTCTTGCTGATAGTATTGGTTTCACACATTCCTCAGATGCAAGTCCATTGACTTCGTATTCGAAATGGCCAGCATCTGACTTATACTCAAGGCTTTCGGCTTTTCCAAGTCCGAGCGTGGGGTACTCTTCTGTGTTCGTGGCTTACTCAGTGTAAATCACATTTGTGCATATACAATTCGACATTAACACCACTCGCATAGGCATCATGCAACTCCGAATATATGCTATGTACAGGCGGACTAGGCGGATACTCATGATATTGGTCTTTGCTTTCTTCAGCGAGGTCCTGGCTGTCGTTGTAATCATCTGGAGAACCATTGGTCCAGCAAGCCAATTGATTGGTACGTACTGCAGAGAGACGTGGGGCCACACTTGTTCACTAAACATCTCCAGTCACCAACGAGTCTTCAAGTTTTCCTGGAAAGCACCTGTGCACCTTCTCCGGGATCAACACGGATTTCACCTATTTGTTCATACCCGTCTTTTGCTTCGAGCTATTGCTCTTCTTCTTGGCCATTAGAGTTTCCCTCAATAATATGAGAGAGAGGAAGGCCACCCCTGGTACCTCCAGCTTGCGCGTAAATTCATTCATGAGCATACTCGTGCGAGACAGCATTTTATATTTCTTCATGTTAGCATCATCTACTTCGTACGTTCCTAATCACCGGTTGATAATTGATCTATCTAGAAACCTGGCGATGTGCGTTATCGTCATGAGCCTGTGGCGGAATGCCGCTGTGAGGTTTTTATTGCGTCATTTTTGACGTATTACTCACTGTTACTCATTGAACCCTGCACGCAATCAGGCCCTACACGCAAATATATCTATCCCGTTCATCATGCTTGTCGAGACCATAATTGGCACCCGCATGGTAATCAACTTCAAGGAACATTGTTCTCGCCGGTTGAACTCGGAACCGATCATGATCACTGGGTCAATACACTTCGCAGGAGTTGGTGAAGAGTCTGCGCGCCAGGTTACGAACTATGACCAGTTGAACGAAGGTGACGAGGAGATGCAGCCGGTCAAGAGTGATGAAGAGAGTACTGAGGTCATCACTTACGAAGAATTATAACTTTTGATTGCTGCGATGCATATACATGTACAAAGCACCGAGTCCATACGACCGGCGTAGATGCAATATAAGGTACTGGATGTTACGATGCAAACTATTGCTGTCTGCGCTCGACACTGGCGCGGACGCTCAGTCAGTATTTGAGCCCGAGTCTGAATTAGGCACAGGGATCCGGGAGGTGCAATAGCGAGAGTCATCGCTGCGATTCTAGCCTGGGCGTCGTATTGCCCAAAACATTATCCAGAACCTCCCCTGTGTTTCTTCGTTGGCCTTATATGAGATATCAGGTTAACCTAGGAGCATATCATGATAAATGCGATTACAAATAGAAAGTAGAAAAAAAGACTAATAGAAAATTTGTACAAAGTCCATTGCACTACAGTCTAGTTGCCAGTGTCACCGTCAACTAAAAAAGAAACTGAGTGCTATTGTAGAATGAAACTTTGAAATGAATCCAACTTCGGACGAGGAAAGGGAGAGACGGTCTTCTCGTATGAGCAGGTCATCTAGATCTAAGGTTGAACGGGGAATAAGTACTTGTAACCATCGCAAAACACCAATATGTCAAGTGCAATGGGTTCAGTAGATGCCAGGTATCAGTCGATACCTGACCACCTTCGCCCACCTCGCCCACTCGTCTCCGAAAGCCGATTTCAGTGCTTCATCTTCTTCGCTGACCCTACACACGATGTTGATCACAAGAAGCGTGATCCCCGCAAGCCATGCCACCACAGCTAATTTGAGTCCGAAAAAATCTAAAACTCCGGAGCGTCTAAGCCATGAAGTGGGCGATCCGTGCAGTATTACCATGCCAGTCATCTGTATAATACCTGCTGTATATGATGGATGGCGTATGACAGCGTATGGTCCTGTCGTGACAATATGGTGTCCTTTGCGGACACTGAGTTGGAATGTGAAAAAGCGACCGAGGGTGCGAAAACACCACCAGCGTATGAGACCCCCTACGACAGCAAGTGTGGTGCCCAAGATGAAAGAGAAAGTAATGGGTGTGTCACGAATCCCGTGACCGACTGTGTGTTGTGCAATGGCTTGTATGAAGGACAGAGAGTCCGTCGTGTGAGACACGATGGTAACGATCTCTGCGAAAGAAACAGCCCAGTAAATTGCCTAGCGCATCGTTCTGTAAAAATGATTGTGGATAGACAAATAAAACACCCGCCTTCACGACTGGAAACCCGTACATAATAAGCCCAGTGAAGACCCACTCATTAAATGTTTGGTGAATAATCTCTTTACTTGAGGGGACATTTGGGGGTGTGAACGATACTTGCTGCGTGATAGCAGACGAGAGAATGAGTAGAACTTTGATAAGTGACGCCATCTTCATGAAGAGCAACTGACCTTTCAACTTGAATGGTTGCGTTTTATTCATAAGTATCTCGCCGAGGCTATACTCGATGGTTGAAGTACCTGCATGGTCCAGAAGTGGCGATAAGCTATACACGTCAGCTCGTATTCTTGTATCTCAGCGTTGACATACTCTAGCCGTCCATAATGTGGCGAAGGTCGGCATTCATACAAACAGTCATCACTTGCCTGTCATAGAATATCAGTCCATTTCAGCCCTTCAACATTCAAACTTAACTTGCCATGTCGGAGAAGACAAACGAACTAAACCAGTTGTGAATAGCTCAGAAGTATCATTAAATTGCTTGCCGACGACTGTTGAAAATAAACATCACCTTGCATCTAACGAGGAAGGGAGAAGGTAGTGGACAGTGTCGTGCCGCGTATCGCTTCGGGGTTGACTTATGCTCCATAATATGCGTTCTGGGTCTGATGGCTGAATGAGGTCGCATGTAAGAATGACTAACATCACGTACTGTAAGAGTTGGACCATAGACATAGTCCACGAAACACCCGCATTGCAGTCCAGAAAAAGTGCAACTTCGCAAGCTACTTGCCTGACGTACACCCCTGAGAATGGTGGAGGTGATGAACGATGAGTTTAGACTAGTTGTCCCTAAAACAAACCGCCATCATTCCCTACTAGTACGGTCACTTCGTGAGTGCCCACTACTTCGCACAGGAACTGATGAATCCAGCTAGGGGGTCGGCAGTTTATCACATTTCATTGTCTGACAAACTCACTATACATCAAAAATGACTCACGAAGTCATGGTCACTCACAAAGCGATAGCACGGCATGGACAATTGAAAGTAGTCATTTCCTCTTAGTTGTCTTCGTAAGCTACAGAACCCTATATCCCGCAGTGCAGCATTCCAGGTCGGATCATATTCATGACAAGCAAGCATCTCATCTGCTTCTTCAACCTAACGTGACGTCCTTGTTGCAAAGATACGTCCATCTCGGAGCTGCGCTAGAAGGTTCAGATATGACGCTTGCTAGAAATTTCCATGACGAGGGTTTCATTTTGCGGTGCTTTTGGTAAAAGCCTAGTTACAGCGACATGCACGATGTCCGGTCCCATCGAAGTCGGTAGCAATTCTGCAAGAAAAGAATATAGGGCCATAGAACTGGAGGAAAAGACATAGTCTTATATTTGAGCAATTGGGATCCTAGGCCTCAGTGGTCACAGGTATACACATAGTTATTTCCCATGCCAGTGGAACCGATTCGGTGGTGCCAAGGGGTAGCGGTATGCTCCATGAATATGATGGCATGGCCCGGCCACTGGGCTAAACTGCCACTCGAATTTCCATTCGTATGCTGAAAGAAGTAACCATAACTGCCGCACCTACAGCCTCTAGTGAACAGCACAGAACGTCGAATCCTCCAGATTGTTACCGTTCTTGAATGCGACTCGGATGTGTATAGGATGCAGTTATTAGTTGAAGTTCGGGTTCGGTCCGGTTCATCAGCGAATTCACGTGACATCGTGGTCGTGAGAACCATAGAAGCATGTGATTCCCGCGAAAAATTCGAATCGTATAAGTCTAGATCACAGTGAGGAGGTCCCAGGGTGTAACGCTCGTCAAAAGCCATCGTCGAATATTGGCGATAGCAACCAATATTCTCGTTGTTAGCTTACTACTGACTCATTCCTTCTCTCTTATTCCATAGTATTCTTACCCTACAGTATATAAACTGACGTATATCTACTTGTAGGGCAGTGGATCTTTCACCCCCGAATATATCTTAGTTCGGACAGTTATCCTGTTCGAGTCTCTAAGTCTATCGACTCTCTAGTGTGAACGTCTTCGAGACGCCACACAGGGTGTTCGGACAGCTTTTTTGGAGTCAGACGGCAGCAGTCATAATACTAGCGCAAGTACCAATGCTACTGTTTTCAGCTATCTCATATTGAACGTCATGCAGGTGCTGATACTCTCACCAATGACTACAGCACGATGAACCACAGGGGTTATCCCAAGGTGATGCAGATGGAAGCCAGTGCTATAGAAGCACTGCGATATTCTTCGTCGCCATTCAGCAATGTATCCTGGTTCCCCGACTGGTCATCAGCACTCGAGAATATTTCTCTCAGCTCGATTATCATGTATCGGACTCTAGAGTGACAGACCTCCGAGTCAACGCCATGGCAGTCGCATATAACCCCGGTGCAAATACGCAGACACTGCCCGTTTTGGACGAACTGCGAAAACAAAATTAATATTTTTCTCGCCGACAAAACGCATATTGCTCATAAAACTACATCGGCGTCGCTGAGTCCCACCTATTTGACTCCAAGCTGTCTATTCTCTACAGTCTAGTTACCAGTGTCACCGTCAACTAAAAAAGTAACTGAGCGCTATTGTAGAATGAAACTTTGAAATGAATACCCTCCAACTTCAGACGAGGAAAGGGAGAGACGGTCTTCTCGTATGAGCGGGTTATCTAGATCTAAGATTGAACGGGGAATAGTTGTAGCCATTGCAAAACACCAATATGTCAAGTGCAATGGGTTCAGTAGATGCCAGGTATCAGTCGGTACCTGACCACCTTCGCCCACCTCGCCCACTCGTCTCCGAAAGCCGATTTCAGTGCTTCATCTTCTTCGCTGACCCTAAACACGATGTTGATCACAAGAAGCGTGATCCCCGCAAGCCATGCCACCACAGCTAATTTGAGTCCGAAAAAATCTAAAACTCCGGAGCATCTAAGCCATGAAGTGGGCGATCCGTGCAGTATTACCATGCCGGTCATCTGTATAATACCTGCTGTATATGATGGATGGCGTATGACAGCGTATGGTCCTGTCGTTACAATATGGTGTCCTTTGCGGACACTGAGTTGGAATGTGAAAAAGCGACCGAGGGTGCGAAAACACCACCAGCGTATGAGACCCCCTACGACAGCAAGTGTGGTGCCCAAGATGAAAGAGAAAGTAATGGGTGTGTCATGAATTCCATGACCGACTGCGTGTTGTGCAATGGCTTGTATGAAGGACAGAGAGTCCGTCGTGTGAGACACGATGGTAACGATCTCTGCGACAGAAACAATCCAGTAAACTGTCTAGTGTATCGCTGTATAGAAATGGTCGTGGACAAGCAGTAACAACACTCACTTTCATAATCGGAAACCCGTACATAATAAACCGAGTGAACACCTGCTCATTGAACCTTTGGGGAATAGTCTCTGCACTCGAGGGGACGTTCGGAGGTGTAAACGACATGTGCTGCGTGATGGCAGACGAGAGAATAAATGGAACTTTGAGAAGTGATGCCATGTTCATGAGGAACGATTGACCTTTCAATGGTTACTTTTTATGCCCGTACGGCCACTTCGTGAGTACCCATTATACTGCCCAGGCATTGTCAAATATGGTTTCGCCGTTTCTTCTTACGAAGTGTTGTCTGCGTAAGAACCCTACAATCTCTAGTGCGGCATTCGAGATCGGACCATATTAGCAATGTAGCAAGCAGATATTACTGTCTTGCCTAATTTCTTGTTTCAGAGATACGGCGCTTGCTGGAAATTTCTATGACGACTCAAAGGACTTCACTTTGAAGTGATCTTGATATTGGCTAATAGCCTGGTTATAGTGACGGGAGCGATGTCCAGGTCCCGTCGAAGTCGGTAGATGTTCTACGCCATTGATCTCTGCGGAAAGAATTCCTCAGAATACGAATACATATGAACTCCGCACCAGCATAGAAACCGGAGGAAAATATATGCCTATATTCGAGTTAGGATCCCGGAAATCAGAGGTATATATGTAGTTGTTTCCGATGTCGGAATCGCCTCGCCCTTGGTGGCTCTAAGGGGAGTAGGATTCTCCATGATCAGTATCACGATCAGGGCGGTCCCAAGTCTCCATTTATCACTCCATTTGTCACGGTATACTGAAAGAAAAAATCATATACGCACTTGTAACCTCGACGGGCACGATGTCCGGTCATCGAAGTCGATAGCAATTCTGCAAGAAAAGAATATATATGAGCTCCGTATCAACATAGAACTGGAGGAAAACACATGGTAAAAGAAGCTTATATTTGAGCAGTTGGGGTCCTCAGCGGTCACAGGTATACACGACCACCGCACCTAGCCTAGTACAGCCTCTCGTGAACAGCACGGAACCTCGAATCCTCCATATTGTTACCGTTCTGGAACAATTCTGGAATGAGACTCGGATGTGTATAGGATACCATACTTATACTCCGCCTGTTTTGGACGAACTGCGAAAACATATTGCTCATAAAACTACATCGGCGTCGCTGAGTCCCACCGTTTTACTCCAAACTGTCTGTTCTGTAAGGTCCGAGCCAATATCTGTCTGGATGGGGGAAATGACCTGAATACTAATCTCATGTTGCCGAGCCTACAATGCGGTCACATCAGACCGTTCCTGTGTTCAAACGAAGAACGCGTACCGATGTCACAGTAAGCTGATCCTGTTCCAAGAACATCCTGGAGCCAGCTGTCGGAAATGGCGTACGACAGACTGTTGCAATGTATGCACGATTCGAGACGATATCTTCACCAAAGGAGTCAATCATCCGACCCGGCTTGCAAATGCGAAGATCCGGTGAGTCAGGATCGTTGACACATTCCGAACGAGCAATGACTCGCTTATTGAAGTCCCAGATATGCACATAGAAGTAACCCTCACTGGAGAGCCCTTCCAGTGTTTGACCAGGATTCGGGATATGATCTTGGGGAAGAGCATAGGCCATTTTGCTGCCAAACACGCTGATATCGTAGCTTTCGTGGTGCGGAAAGTAGGACGCATACTGAGGTCCCCAATCTGACCAGGGAATCTCGACGAGCATATCTGAGCGCAGGGCCATGTCAGAGAAGATGGCCATATCGATGACTAGGATAGCTTTCCCCGCTTTGGGAAGAAACTCTAAAACCATAATCTGTGACTCCAGGGAGGGCACATAACTCGGCATGAGTCCTGGGCGTGCTGCTTTGCCATGCAGTGACGGGTGGCCATGAACCTTGACCTGGCAGTTGTACAATGATAGATGGAAGATCTTGGGAAGGTGATATATGATTCGGCACTGGGGCGACCCATTGAGCCCTTGTAACGTGTACAAGTATATCGAGCCTTCTGGGCCAATGACGACAAGCTTCTGTTCATCAACTAGATAGAAAAGATCTAACTCGCAGACACCCAATCGACATAAAAAATGCTGCTTATATGCTGAGTAGCAGAATTCTCACAAACAGAGGGAACTCACCCTATTCACATATCCCTTCCTCCAATTGATCACTTGTATGAACATGCCGGACACAGGCTCAGGATGGCAGTCATCCGCTGTGTTCTCTATGTAATAGAGGATAAATACGCGATCACCACAGATTACAGGCGGTGACAAAGCAGCACGGTAATCGCCAGGTGCATCAAAGGTATGCTTGCACTCCAAGGAAGTGCACTCAGCACTCGGATGTGGATGCTGGGACGAAGCCAGTCGGAACTCCACCCAACAGACATGGTAATCTTGTGTTGCATCGGTCACAGCGACATAATAATCATGCTCAGAACACACAACCATAAGATCCTGCAGAGGGTCGAAGGTAGTAAGAAAGCCCTCGACATCACCGATAGACCATGTCCGGGAGAGTGTAGGATTCGAGTCGCAACCCTGAATGTAGAATTTATTTTCGCCCAGCGAGTGTGACCACCAAAGCCCACATTTCACATCTTGTATCGGTAACGTGCTTTCCCATGTGGCAGCAGTAGTGACCACTGTTTCAAAGGTAGTGGTCGCATGGAAGTCAGATCGCCACAAAGATGCCAATTTCTTGAGCGAACACAAAGTCTTTCTGGCAACGCCGGTCGAATTCGTGGTAGCGGTCCCAGTATTAATCAAGCTTTGAGCATAAATTTCAAGCTTGCATTGAATGTAGACAGAATTCCGGACCGCAAGCCAAAAGATATTGCAGGTCTAGTATGATCAAACGTTAGCCATGGAGGAAATTGTGGAACTACGAGGAATAGCGAACCATTGCACAGCGAATAATGTCCCTGGGGTTGAGAAGGATTAGAATGTGACATATGAGCTCTGTAGGAAGCGACAAGAATCCGACCGCCATAGTCATGGTTATAGGATTGAAGAGAGGACTTAGAATCTGAAAATTTTAGGAGGCCTCTCCTCTCAGAATCCATCACGTCACCGTGACTGGAGCCTTGAGTGGGACAAAATCGCATCGAAGGCAACAGGAGCAATAAAACAAAATTCATCTAAAAACAAGCGAGCTCGTCGTCAGCTGCTAAGCTGCTACAAGTTAACCTGAGTAAGGCCTCTTGTGGCAAGGCACAGAATTCCCTCAAGCACGTCGCGCAATTGAGTAAGCAGCCCTGAAAACTTATTGGGTCAGTGATGCACAGAATGTGTTCACTCCCAGGATGGGAGACACCTCGCATATGGCGGATACGACGCTTCGTAGATGGTCTCATACATAGCTCGGGCCTGGTCCTCCAGTACGTGCATGCTAGCCATATTTCGAGTTGACTACTTAGCATGTCACGACTAGGTCTTCCTCTCCAATATCGCCAAGGCCCAACACAACCATTACATGTCGAAGCTATGTCCAAAGCCTCGTGAGGAGTGGTGATCGATTGGTCGAGGAGATCCATGCAGTGGCGATTTGTTCAGGTGAACCTTGCACTTTATCTTGCAAAGGGCACAAATGTTAACTATACGTAGTCTTCCAAGTCTTATCATACTTCGGCGCCGTCTGTACTTTCTTATATTTTCAGGCGCCCGTCCTCAGCTAAAACTTCTACCTCTAGGCATCACCTTGCAGCAATTGAGACCATTTCGCTGCAAATAACACCTCAGGCTCAGTTTCTTCTCATGGCACACAGGCCCGCACCAGTCTCTGCCTGAAGAGAACAACAACAGGTAAGTGGTATATTAGGTGCTTCTCGCTCTGCCATATGCATAACCGAATTTCCAGAAGGTGTCTACGTAGCGTGTGTCCCTTGTGAAAGCTAACGCTCAGACCAGTCAGTCGTCCTCAGGCCTCAGGGACAACTCCGCCTGCGACGCAACCAAACTCGACGCCACAGCCTCCGCCTCAGGCATAGACGACGACACAACCACCTGCTCAACAAGAAAAACATGGTTGTTACAACTTTTGCATCGCACTCAGGTGCATCCCACACCACCATCCTCTCTCTGCCTCTGCTACTCAGCCTGGTCCCTCGTTACTCTAGCGTGTGTTTATTGGCATTTCTTCATCGGCACGTTTATGTTGATCGAGCACATGTGCCTCCGTGACCAATCGCACATAGTCATTCGACATTGTCATGACTTATAAATTCTATATAGTGTTGAATTTTAGTCTCAAATATGTCGCCCATCTCTGCTCGATTCGGTTCCCGTCGTTTCCTACGGAGCTCATCTGTTACATCTTACCCTCAGGAACGATCGTCGTTGTGCAATGGTTCTCCATTTTCCGCAGGGACACGTTACTGATATTTCTTCTGACAACCTTGACACTTCCGTCAGAAATGTCATAATGAAGGTATGACACTTCGAGGGTACAAATCTATTCGGAGAGCCCCCTCGATCGAGTGGCCTACAGTCTTTCCTAACTGGCCCACTGGCAGCTGAGAATCAACGGCCCAGACGAGTTCCCGAACTTGTCATCGTCACGTTCTGTCCAGAGTATCAGCCCCTCTATGTTGTCTTCATTCCTATTGGAGACTCAGGTCGGCGGGTAATCCATGTCTCGAGAACATTATCATTAAATTTCGGCGTATTCACAGTGAAACTTTCCACTGGGCCAAGGTCATGATACGTTAAATATGAGACTCGAATTGATCCTCAAATTTCAAATGTCGAATGATGACAATGCAAGCAGGTGGGATTGACTATGCGTATGATTGTCCCAACAGGAGCCATAATCGTGGTATATGCTAGTTCAACGTCAATGCAAATGATGATGATGAGAAAGTCGAAATCGAATCGAAGAAATGCAAAATCCAACATTTCTACTGTATGCAAGCATATCCGTTAGCGTCTTCGACCAACACAGAAAAAAACTTCGAGCGCTATCGTGGAATTAAAAGAAAAGTCAGAGAACCAAAGAGCGGCTAAGTGGAATGTCTCAATATATATGCAAGTGAAAATCAAAAAAATGGATGAACGTCATAAAATCATCATACGACATGTTATCGGGCGTTCTTCCAGCTCGATGGGGGAGCGGCTTTTCGTCCGGGATTCTTACCAGGCGTCTGTAGTTGCAGATTCGAAGGTTGAGAAGCACCAGTCTTGGCGCGTTGTCTGGGACCTCCTCCATAGGCACTTGCAGCACTGTTTGGGACGCCTTGCCCAGCCGACATGTAGCTCGAACGGGAGGACATTGATGGGCCAAACGACTCCCCATACACACTCCTCGACCCTCCTCCGAACTCACTCTGCGTACTGCTGATCCGACCAGGGAACATGACGGAGCCTGTGGACCACTGATTCGGCATCATACCAGGCATGCTCATCCCAGGGACGCCCAGCATGCTCATTCCACCCCCGCCTCCTCCCATCCCACTGTACACACTACCTCCACCGCCCCCATACACAGACCCGCCGCCGACATTGGACCCTCGTTCCCACTCCTCTCCGGCTAATGCCATCGCATGTTGAGCCACTGCCATTTGGTACGCTTGCTTCGCGATCATCATCGCATGCTGGTGAGCAACGAAGAAGCTCTGGTCGGGGCTGAGCTGAGGAGCAATCATAGGTCCCATACCTGTCGGCATGGGCTGCTGCCACGCTCCCCACGCAGGAGCGTTCATCCCAGGCATCGTGCCATCCAAGCCCATAGTAGGATTAATGCTCATCCGCTGTCCATGCTGAGGCACAAGATCATCGTCAGAACCATTGTGCACAATGGGTCCACGACCATTGACGATTTTCCCGAACTACGACCAAAAAGTCAGAACGACCATCAACAATCACAAAATAGAACACAAACCTCAATAGCAGACCTCGCTTCACTCCGTCTCCTCTCATTCCGCTTCTCCTCATCAGCAGCATCATTCTTCACCCTCTCACGACCACGCGGCGGATCATCCTTAAAGCTCACAGTCGACTGCTTTGCATTCGGCCCGCGCGCCTTGAGCGTCAAGTCCACATCGCTTTCATCCCTCCGCCCAGCGTTCATCCCAATATCACTACCATCACGAGGAGTGAACGGCGCACCAAGACCACTGCTAGAGTCACCTGTTGAGCTGCCGGCGGGACTATCGCCTCGTAAAGAACTATTACTGGCGAAGGGGCGGGAGGGCATGAGTGACTGCGATTGCAACCTGGATGGCTGTGGTACTGCGGGCATGCTAGGCCTTGAGGAAGGGGAGACAAGCGTGCCTGACGGCGGTCGAGATATTCTGCTATCCATCACACTTGCCGTCGAAGCAGGGCGTGTCTTGTATAAATCCTTCGAAGACCCCCAACTAGCTTTCACAGAAGGTGAATCGGGCACGGCGGTGATGAGAGGGACAGGTGGGACACGAGAAGAGCGTGAGGACCGAGAAGTTGAGACGACGGATGAAGCATCTGACTTGTCAGTTGATGGTACATTGTGCTGCTGAGCTAGGATACCTGCACGAGAACGAGGAGCGAATGAAGATTTGATAGGAGAAGGAGATCGTTGTGGGGAAGAAGACCTCTTGGAGACACTGGAGAACGTTGTTGTCGGCGAAACTGGTGATACTGCCTGAGAGAGATCAGTGGTATATCGACGCGGAGGGCGTGAGGTGACGCTGAAAGAAGCTGGTGGTTTATACTCTCTGACAGGCGTTGGCACGATGCGGTCGTCACGAGGGGATTCTGTCTTATCATCAGTGTCTGACAAACGTTCGACATGCGGTGAAGTGATGTGCAGGGGCGGCACTTGTTGGGATGGTTGTGTAGGCGACTGTGAGGAATCTCGTGATTGATCAAAGGAAGTAACGAGTCTGATGGCGTCTATCAAATCGTCATCAACCTCGATTGGTGAAGAGGATGCCCGAGGGATAGACCCAACATCACTGCTTGACTTCTTATGGCGAGTAGGAGAAGAAATCTTAGGAGCTGGGCCCGAAGGTGAACGGGGAGTTACCGGAGCAGGACTCTCAGCCAAGCGACTCGGCGTCAAGCTGATGACAGGGGGAGGAGCAAAGGGCTCGTCCCTGTCCACCTCACGTTCCTTACCCTTTGTAGACGCTTTTTTCACTGAATGCTCGTGCCTCAGTACAGGCGTGAGCATCGGAGGACTTCCTACGAGTGATTTGATATCAATCAGGGGCTTCGCGGGCATCCGAGGCCGCGAGCCAGCGGATCTGTTGGTGGATATGGATGCAGAACTTCCCGGTCTGCGTGGTGCAACGAGCGCGGACAGAGGCATGTCTTCAGAATCATTATCCGAATCTGACGAAGTATCCGAGTCGTCACCCTTCGCTACCCTTGGCGACAAAGGCAATGGCAAAGATTTCTCTGAAGCCAAAAGGCATGTTAGAAACAAGGATAAACTTTAATAACTTGTATGCTCGCCTGATGATGCAGCAGAAGCGTTTGCAGCAGCTAAAGTCGACGCACGACGGGCAGCAGCGTTGGGTGTGAGAGCGCTAGTGGAGACAGATGCCCTCGCTCGCACGGCAGCCATATTGTCGGGCTGCCGTAACTGCACATTGTCCGATTTTGACCATTTCGGAGGATCTGGCCGTTGAGTCTGAGCGTTTGATGTAGTAGGTACATGCCCCGCATCGGACCACGAGCGCGGACCAGGGCGAGGAGTCACAGTGCCTTTGCGACTAGGCTTGATAGGCACGCCATCACTATCCACTTCTTCATCATAATCATCCGACTCTGAAGTACTAGTGTCCAAAACGGACGAAGTCCGGTTAGCGGAGATGGGTAGCGGGGGCGCACTCGAATTACGATTAAATGGTAGGTGATGTTCACTTCCGGTAGGCGTTGAAACCGTAGAAGCCCGCTGTCTCGATATATTTTCAACACGAAGGGTATCGAGGGAAGAAGGCAGTCGGAATGAAGGTACAGGGGAATTTGCACGGCTACGGCGTTGTGCTTCACGAAATGCTGCAACAGATATCTTTTGAGAGGATTCTGAAGCAACACTGTCCCCGCGCGGCCGTGGCCGGGCAGGAGGAAGCGGAAGTCCGGTATCTGAAACATCAGCTAGAGAAGGAGGGGACTCGGAACGAATGTGGCGGAAAGCTTTCAAATTAAAGTTATCCCTCGGTGAGGGACTTGGAGTAGGAGGAGCTGCAATAGTTGCTAGTGGCAGGGCGGGTTTCGATTTAGTACGCTCTCTAGCCCACGAGAACAACCCGCCAGATTTTTTTACATTAGGTGGCGTCGTCGAAGAAGACGGAGGTGCGCTGTGTATCTGATTCCGGGCGACGGAAGGGGTATCAAGGGGAGATTGACGGCGCGTGTTTTCATGAGGAAGCGAATGTGTGGAATTAATGCTGGGATCGTGATATATTCCAAAGGACAGTTTTGGTGGGGGAGGCGAGATGTCGTGGCCTGATTCAGAGGCTACACCAGATATGTGTGCGCGTGGCGGGCTATCGTTGAGAGAAAAGACGCTTGTGGAAGTGCCTGCGACATGTGGCTGATGTACAGGTCTCCGACGGAATGGCAACTTTAGCTTGCTCGACGATGCTGCTGCTTGACCGGCATAAGCTGCGGCCGGAAGAAACTTTAAAGACTTGTCTGGAAAGACATAATCTGGTTCTGAAGAGGTTAAGGTGCCGCTCGAGATGGACACTCTAGAAGTCGGGGTCGTTGGGACGTTTAAATTGGATGGTGCACTGCGAGGACCAGATTGTTTATCTCGTTTAGCAAATATTCCTGGAAGCAATGGCATGAAGAGGGTCAGCAGCAGAAAGGCAGTCCGGGTGATGAATGAAAGAGAGAACAAGAAATGATGTTCGTGATGCCGGGTATGACCAGTGAACAGGGATTGTTTGACTTTATTTGCTTATTCCCCCATTTAGAATGCAAAGTAAAATTGGAACCGACTTGCGACAGCCTGCGATGCGAACTCGGACGACGAGCTACAAGGCACAAGGGGTAACAGAACGGCAATAGGCTACATGATATTAACCGAAACCGCCTAGATTTATCGCCTTGCATACGCATTGATACAGGTTTTTGTTTCATGCAAGTACCGCGTACGAATCAAAAAATAGAATCGACTCGGTACTCTCACAGTCACAGTTCCCAACGAATTACAGCGGCAGATCCTCCCCGGCCACCCGTCCCCGCATTCATATACAACCATCCCAATAGCGCTCTTGATTCGCTTTGTATAAACTTACAAAGCTCGATGCGTAGCCGCGGCAGAAGAGAACACGCGAAGTAGTCGTTTTTTGATATGACGCAACCTTGCTAGGTAATTGCATTGACACACGTTCCTTCCCATGACGGCGAACTTCCTTTCGCACCAATGGGATTGCTCTTATCTTGGCGGCGCATCTGTTTCACGTTTGTGCGAGTTGATTTTCATAAGCGTGATGCGGCCTCGCTGAAAGTGTATGGTAAGCCAAGTCAAAGTTGGTTGTAATAATAATACATGATGTAACTTATACGTTTGATTTCCCCATATCATAACCAGACGATCCCTTCCATATAATTACAACGCAAATGATGATTGTCTCTTGTCTAGTAAGTTGCCTTTAAGCAGCGACTTCGCATCCCGTCATGTATGAACCCATTAATTTCTATCCGCAACAGACGGAACAAATCAGTGATGTGCACGACATCAAACATGAGGTACTCACGTGCAGACTTAGTCCATCCACACCCGTGGCGTGCCCAACCTTCTTTCCGTCCTTGAATACCATATAAGTAGGGACCTTGTGATATTCCTCGGTTTCAATTGACTCCACAAAGATGTCATGTTTGTAAAAATACATACAACGCGTACATCAGCTTCCATCACCACATCTTCTAGTTCGTCCACATTCACGCGATAGAAATCCACGCCGATGCGAACGAATGTGTCAGAGAGCTCAGAAAACTGCTGAGAGGTGGACCGGCACAATCCGCTCCAGTCTGCATGGAAATCTATCAGTACGGTTTTACCGCTGTTGATCTGGGAGTAGTGAGCAAGGGATTGAGTCCATCGAATATTTAGGTACTCACGATTCTAGTGAAGTCTTGAGCATCGTCTATGGGGTTGAAAGGCATATTGTGACTTTGGTCCAAGTGTAATGAGAATGTATGTATTTTATATATTACGGAGATGAGTGAGACAAGGGTCTGACAGAAATTGACGTGAAAACAAACAAAAGGGGGCAAAAGCAAAGTACAAAGAGTATTGTCAGAGGATATAGTATATATGTCAAGCGATGGGAGAGGTGAAGAACTTTATTTCAACGATGCATGACGCGCCGTGACGTCGACGCCCCTTTCGAGTTGTAGCGGTTTGCCTGCAGTGTCGGCCTGGCCAGGTAGTAAATCAATTTGTGATAAGATAACGAATTGGGGTACTGAGTATTACTTTATCCGGAGGTCTGGACAAAACCTCTCAGTAATCACAAAGGTGGGTAATGAAACGCACATCAAGATCAACTTGACACTCCGATTCTGAGACCCTAGCTTCCCACCATCAAGAAGGCGACAATGAAAGCCCATTGTCCATAGCTTGTCAGCTGCTTTTCAGCTCGTACAATGATTCCGATCATCCACTGTCTTAAGTTCGGAGACGATGTTGTGGGGCACCGGGATGGCAGTCTGCTTAGAAATCAGTGATTCCTGGATGAAATAAATGTCAACCCATATCAATGACACGTGTGCCTACGAGTTCTTGCCACTTGGTACTAGGTTTGATAACGGTGACCGAATCATTTGCCATGCTCAGTAAGGAGTCTAAGTTGAGTCTAACCTCGTTTTGTAGGATATTCTACCTAATGGATCAACCAAGCTCATGCCATAAATCTCGTAGTATCATTCCGCGAAATATTCGGCACATGAGATCACGCTGAGTATGGGTATGGTGGACCTGTTTTCAAGTCTCGATAACCGGTGATGGATCGATCGATGTTTCATGTGCAGATCATCACCTGAATTAACGAGTAACTACATAGTAACTGGTGGAGGAAGTGTTTCAAGTAGGATGAAGTCTGAAGAAGAAATCATCGGAAAAGTTTGCTAATTGCCTTTTTAGGTTAAGTGGTGCTATGTCGAGATTGCTGTGCCATTGGACGTCGTTAACAGCGTCGACGTCGGTAAGTAACTTAATATTCCGCAGTCGGGATCGCAGCTGCGTCGTTGGGCTCAACCATCAATTGCGACGTGTTTTGACATCGCTAGCTCCTGTTAGACTATGGCACCCAACTTTTTTGCAAAGCTTGTGAAGCCTAGTACACAAAGTTCATCTCCGAGCGGAAGAGAGAGTACGACTGCTTCACCGCGTCAATCCAATATTCCAGCGCGCCCGCATTCTCAGTTAATATCACACCCTCCTTCATCACTTCCCGACCCAGCCAATGACAATTCTAGTACAAAAGGGAGTGTCAAAATTGGTATAATTCCACCTTCCCCTCGTTCAGCCCTTCTTACTTTTCCTTATCTTCCTTCGCAAGACCACCATCCTGATACATCTCAACATCGACGTGCACGCTCGCAGGACAGGATGGTCCCAGACAGACATGCTGTATCGTTCGCTGCTCGTCCCATGGCAAGCGACTCTTCTTTGTCTACGGATGACATGCTTCCAACTCCAACCCCCTCTCGTTCTCGTCCTGAAGAATGGAAGACCAGTGCTGACAGCTCACCCAAATCCTCTCGCCAGCTCACACCTGCGTCATCCACTGGGAACCTGAAAGCCTTTGTAGACAAGCGTAGCAGCACTCACCCTTCAAACACTCACAAGGTGGTCGATAGAATTCCCTCAAAGAAGTCACTTCGCAGTAGAACACAGCCCCCAGCTCCGCTCGATTTCGATCAGAGTAATACTCGTTCCGATACGCACCGCCGAACTAGTCGCCACGAACACAATGCCGTCATAATTGAAAATGGCCTCGTGGACTCACCCACCACAATAAGCAATGCCCCCAAAAGCTCCCATCATCAACAGGAGCTTTTACCTGTCCTCACCGACACAGACGCAAGATCCATCCGCTCCGTAAACAGCTCAACCTCGAAGACAACAGGTTGGCGTCGTCCTTCACTCACTACTCCCAATCGCAGACAACCTGGCGTTGCTTCTTCTATGGTCGCTTCCATGACAAATACTGGTTCCCAAATGTCCCCTGTTCTTCCGGTTTCCAATTCGGCAGCAAAAAAAGTCACCAACGGAACAGTCAGGTCAAATGCCTCTGCTCGTTCTGCAGTGGGGCACACTGCTTCCGCTTCCGTGACGTCTGTGCCTAATTCTACCGATGTCAACGCTCGCACAAGACGTGCCTTGTCTGGTCGAGATGACTTTTCAGACGGTCAGCCAGACTCGTTTACTTCTAGCGGAGAGAGCGAGGCGTCGGACGACGAACTTGATATTAATGAAGACATTCCCGTCACGGGTTTTGCCGTTGCAAGCAGCAAGCGTAATGCAGACTTCCACGAGTTGTTCCCTAGTATCCCCGAAGGCGATTATCTTATTGAAGGTTTGTCACACTTTGACAATGTCAAATATCTGCTTCATATCCTGTAGATTACGGGTGCGCATTACAGCGTGAGATTCTAATCCAAGGCCGGATATACATCTCAGAGAACCACATATGTTTCCATGCGAACATTTTCGGGTGGATCACTGACGTACGTTGCACACGCTTATGCATACTGGCAAACTAAATGATACCCCACAGCTGTCAATCCCAATATACGAAATAACCGCTCTTGAGAAGAAGATGACGGCATTCGTCATTCCCAACGCCATCCAAATAACTACCCGACAGGCAAAATACACCTTCGCCTCGTTCCTCTCCCGCGATACGACGTATGACGTCATTGCCAATATCTGGCGACTTGCCCGTCCTGATGATACTCTAAGCCAAACCGGCTCATCCGCCAACATCATCACGCCCGCAAGTACCTCTGATGTTTCAGGTCCCCTGGTCACTAGCGGAGGCAAAGAAGCAGCTCCTGTGACTCGCATTAGCAAAGTCACGCACTGCGCATGCTCGAAAAATGGACAGCATCTTAATGAGATTGCCCTCGAGACTGTGTTACCTGGAACACCGGACAAGATTTATAACCTCATGTTTGCGAGTGGGTTTATCAAGGATTTTATGCGAGTGGATCAGAAGCTCATGGGTGGGTGGCGTCTCGCTCGACTGAATCAGTACTGATGCTCCTCATTCAGATGTGCAGATATCAGATTGGTCTCCCATAGGCGACAACTCGAAGCTTTTGGCACGGAATATGTCGTATATCAAGCCTTTGAACAATAGCGTAGGCCCGAAGCAAACAAAGTGCGAGATCCACGATGAAACCATGACCTACGACTTTGATGACCACGTCGTGATGTTGACGACGACGAAGACGCCCGATGTTCCTAGCGGAGGTGTGTTCTCCGTCAAGACGAAGACATGCTTGATGTGGGCAAGTGCTATTTCCACACGGGTGGTCGTCACCACGCAGGTAGATTGGACTGGGAGAAGTTTCATCAAAGGTCTGCTATTCTTTCCTCCTACAAAATCTTATGCTCATGCTCGCGATACGCCAAGGTCTGATCGAAAAATCAGCAATAGACGGTCAAAAAGTGTACCACTCCGACCTCGACAAAGCCATGCGGATGTACATCCAAGAACACCAATCCGAATTCATCCCAGCAGGCGTTGATCCAACAGCCGTAGCACCCGTCGAGCCTATCAGCCCCGTCATCGAACACCACGACCTCAATCTCCTGAGTCGCTCCATGGGCATATCAGACGCAGAAGCCCGTAAAGCACGCGAACACGAACGTAACAGACGTGGGCTCCAATGGGCGTATGAGACATTTGACGGTGCCTATGGCGTTGCGAAGCGCTCTACGTTTGGAGCGCTGGAACTTGTCAAGGAAGCTTGGGAACAGAGCTCGTCGATGACGATTTTATATTTCGTCATCGTCATTCTTGTGTTCAGTAACCTGTGGACGTTGATGCTTGTGGGGCAAAGGGAGGAGGCAGGGAGGAGGAAGGAGGCGAGGAGGACTGAGGAGAGGGAGAAGTGGGTGCAGGATGTTGTCACTGGGCTTTGGGAGGAGATGGCTGTTGGGAGGGCGAGGGGTGGTATCGGGTCTTCTGGTATTTTTGGAGTTGGTGGTGGGGTTATTGGTGGTGGTGGTGGTGGTGGTGGTGGGTCGGTGCATTCGGGTCATGTGAATGGTGATTGGAGGTTGGAGTTGGATGCTATCAATACGACGTTGAATGATGTCGAGGAGCGGGTAAGACTCTTACGGGAGAGTCTGAATGCCCTGAATTGACTTATTGGAGGACAATACTCCTATGCCGCACACATACTACACTTATTATTATCTTAGGCACTGGCTAAATTTTGAATCGCTAACCGTGATCAATGTCCATTGACTCGCAGAGTTCAAGTTGACCGACTGGTCTCTTCAGGACGGCGCGGGCCAGGTGAAACGCGGCACCACAATATTGAAAACTGTATTATGTAACAACTGACTGATTCCAATCACACCACTGCCGCCGAAAAAAACCTAGTAACAGTTTCAAATGGTCTGAAGTTTGAACGGCCCACATTGATGTGCATTGATGTCATATATATATGTCATGCCTGTTTCTGGTGGTCTGTTCGCAGGGTCCTTGGCTGTTTCGCCTGCTCTGCGACCTCGGTCACGTCTTCCATTCGCTGCAAAATCCTTGGCTTTTCGTGCTGATGTTACTTCTCTTCACATGTCAACGATTCGAGTCCTAAATCGTCCGTATCGTCACAGCTGCATTGAATGTGCCGCGTTCTGTCATAATGGGGTAGTTACGAGTCGACTTTTGGTCCGGCGCGCGTGCCGAACGTCGATGGTTGGTATCAGAATTTACCTAAGGACGTCACAGTATCATCCAGATCACGCAAGCGACTAAACAGGAGTGAATGTCATCTACGCTTACTATGATAGTCAGGAACTTCCAAGTCGCATGACGAGTCCTTGCATGCTAAGCTAATTCAGCTTGCGATAGTTTCCCAGCGGCGAAGCTTTTCAGACAGGGTCCAGGATTGCTCGGTACCCTACATACATCACATGCAAGATGGAGGAATTGGCGTTCGTTCGTGGTTACAAGTGCGTAATGATGATTTTTTCTTGCTAACCACCAAAGGCGAGGCGATTCCGACATCGGAAACAACTAGCTAGGTATATACTTCTGATTTCCGGGGATTCTAACGTTAACTCGAATATACGCATATATGCTGATCGGTGGAGTTCAGTATACGTAAGTATTCTGAAGTATTCTTTCGACAAAGACTGATTGTGCAGAACATCTACCGACTTTAACGGGACCTGGACATCGCTCCTGTCACTATAACTATTAGAATACCAAAATCACCTTAAAGTGAAGTCCTCCGAGTCATCATGGAAATTTCGAACAAGTGCGCATCTCTAAAGCATCAATCTTCTAGCGCAGTTTCGTGAGTGTATATTTAGGTAAAACAGTGATATCTGCTTGCTAATATGATCCGACCTCGAATGCTGCGCTACAGATTGTGGTGTTCTTACGCAGATACATTTCGTAAGAAGACACCTCGAAACCCTGGCTATATTTGACAATTTCTGGGCAATGCAATGGGTACTCACGCAGTGGCCGTACGGGCATAAAAAGTAACCATTGAAAGGTCAATCGTTCCTCACGAACATGGCATCACTTCTCAAAGTTCCATTTATTCTCTCGTCTGCTATCGCACAACAGGTAGCGTTTACACCTCCAAACATCGCCTCGGGTGAAGAGACTATTCCCCAAACGTTCAATGAGCGGGTGCTCACTCGGGTTATGGCATATGGGTTTCCGACCATGAAAGTGAGTGTTGTTACTGCTTTGTCCACAACCATTCTTATAGAGCGATACGCTACTAGGCACTTTACTGGATTCTTTCTTTCACAGAGGTCGTTATCATTGCCTCTCAGACAGCAGACTCTTTCAAGTCCGTTATACAAGCCATTGCACAACACGCGGCCGGTCACGGGATTCGTGACACGCCTATCACTTTCCCTTTCATCTTGGGCACCACACTTACTGTCGCAGGGGGTCTCGGCCGTTGGTGGTGTTATCGCACCCTCGGTCGCTTTTTCACATTCGAACTCAGTGTTCGCAAAGGACAGCATATTGTCACGACAGGACCATACGCTGTCATACGCCATCCAGCATACACAGCAGGTATCACGCAGCTGATCGGGATGGTGATGCTACACGGATCGCCCACTTCGTGGCTTAGACACTCCGGAGTTCTAGATATTCCTGGACTCAAATTGGCTGTGATGTCATGGCTTGTGGGGGTGACATTTCTTGCGATAGGCTCCGTGCTCAGGGTCAGCGAAGAAGATGAAGCACTGAAATCGGCTTTCGGAGACGAGTGGGCGAGGTGGGCGAAGGTGGTCAGGTACCGACTGATACCTGGCATCTATTGACCCATCGCACTTGACATCATGGTGTTTTGTGATGGTTACAACTATTCAAACATTCACCGTCCAATCTTAGAACTATCATATGTAGACACGCTAGTGCAAGCTAAGACCATTGCTCCCTTCCATCCGAAATTAGAAGAGATTCATCTCAAATTTCGGATTTCATTCTACGATAACGCTCGGTTTCTTTTTTGGTTAACGGTGGTGAGACGTGCAATAGATTTCGTAGTCGTTTTTTCGATGTCGGCTTTCTATTTAATCGCGTCTGTTGTCATTCCAGGCTAACCTAATACGTAGTTTATGATACACGAAGTAGTTGAAACCGACAGCGGTGAATAACGAATATTCCGACTTTCTTTCTTAGCTTTCCTCTAGAAGCATCGTCATGAGAGAAAGTATCATTTGCCCATCAATGATATACCGTTGCAAGCGGAAGACCCTGTTATTGCAGGATGAGTTATTTAAAATGTTTGCATGTTGAAATGACTGCAACTGTTAGGCCCGTTGACGCTGGAACATACATTCCTTCATTAGCCTTGTCCCGGGCACTCTCACCTCCCTTCATTTCCTTGCGCACAATCCCAGATTTGCCTTATCCTTCGTCATCGGCTCCGAGTATTGCGGGAAAACGTCGAATACGGAATCATCACATGATACTGCGTTTGCCCCAACTCCAACACGGAGAAACACGTCAGTTTAGTGGCCGACAAGAGCGTCCGGAGGAGTTCGTGGCGATTCTGCATAGGTGGAGAGAGGCTTTGAGTCATATCTTGCCGTAGGCACAAAGCCACGCTGTCGGAACCCAATAGAAAGTAGATGTTTCAGATGGGCCCAGGCGCGGCATGATTTGAAGAGGGCCCAATATTAATGTGTTGACGAGGATACCTGCCAGTGGAAGGAGAGTTCCGCGTCCTTCAAATAATGTTTGGCAGGGATCTGCGAGATATGGTCAAGACTCAAGACCTTCCAGCTCGGGAAGGCCAGCACAGAAAGTTCCACGGCCGTGGCAGACTAGTTATTTCTGTGAATCAGTGTCAGTCGTGAGCCGTTAAAGTCTTTGTAATACCCCGCTCACCATCATGTCCGTCAAACCGATCACATCTCATAGCCAGTTCATTTCCATCGTAGGCACTTCATAGTCAGTGGCGTAGCACAATCACATTTAACACCACAGGTGATGGAAGAGGGAAAGACTGTCATCGTAGATTTCGTATCCGAAAGGTGTCCTCATTGCAAAGCAATCGCCCCCACCTTTGATGAGCTCGCAAACAAGTTCTCGTCGGACAAGATCGAATTTTACGTTATTGACGCCGAAAAAGTCGACGATGTCAGCTTCGAAGTTGGTGGCATAACGAGCGTAAATATCTGCACACAACCATCGTCTTACGCCGACCACTAATTTATATGGCTTCTCAGTATCCTACATTCATCGCATTTAAGGACGGTAATAAGATGGAGGAATCCACGTTTGGTGCTGCTCGCGAGAGGCTGCAGGTACGTTTGTAGTCTTTCAGCATTCGAATAGAAACTCATTCTTGCCCACCATCCCAGAAATTCGTGGAGAAATACTGTTCATCTTGAAGCTACATTTTTTTTCGCAGAACAAGGACAGTTCTGACTGTTCGGGAAACGACTTTCATTGATTGGTCGGACACGTTGATGACTTTACTTACCTTACCTCCATGTCTACGATTCTACGACCTCTATGGAGTTTGTAGATTGTACCTGTATGGATTCCTCTAGGGTGCCAAAGACAGATTCTACGGAAGTTCGATGGGACGTGGACATCGCGCCTGTAAGCTAGTAGGTCTTTCTCAAACTATCACTCGAGCTGTTCGTGGAATCTTCTCCTCGCACTTTCAACCAGTGTAGTATGGATGTTGCGGGGAACTTACATGATTTACCGTATCCAGCTTTCGCACTCCTTCGAGCAACTTGCGAACAACGAGAGCTTCCACACTTACAAAACTTTGGGCTTCACCTCCTGCATTTGGTTAGAACTTGCCTATTTTCTTAGGAACGACTGTCCTCTTCTGTAGGTCTTACCAGGAGACTGCCGATTCTGTTTGAGTTCAGTTGGGAAACGGAACTTATCCTTGTAAGCAATGATAATGGAAACACTTCCGGTAAGCACGTGAATGCAGGTTCGTCTTCGATTTTCTATCTGGCATGTTGATCCACAAATTTGGCCAATCTAGGGTGTTCAGATGACGAAGTTGGACCTAGTGAGTTCCAAGTGGAGTCGGGGAATCATGTCCATGTACCTCAGCGTGCGCGCAAGCGGACCATCGAGCGTAATAATCGCGCGAAACTAGTACCATTCCTTTCTATGATACATCTCTAAACCCTTTTAGCAAAGGAAACTGAGATTATCCGCTGCGTAGAGTCGGGGACCCTGGTCTGGCTTGGGCCTGGTGCGTGCACCAATGATAGGATGTAGGACTGATGACACTCTCAGGCTCCACCCCGCACCCTGTTTCACTGACGCCCGCTTTCACAGTATGATACCGCCGCCGTTGGAGGAAGTCTAGCCCTCGATTGCACCCTGAGTGAGGTATGTATAAAAGCAGTCATTGAAAAGCTCGAGTGCTCTTCATAATCATGGAGTCCCTTCTCAAAGTTCCACTGATTCTCTCGTCTGCTATTGCGCTGCACGTATCGTTCACGACCGGAAATCTTCCTTCGAGTAAAGAGGTTGTTCGTCAAACGTTCAACGAGTGTATCTTCACTCTGCTCGTTAAATACGGGTTTCCGACCATAAAGGTAATTTATGTCGCCTGCCCACGAACATTTCATAGAACCATGCACCAGGCATTTTACTGGGTTGTTTCTTTCGCAGAAATCACTACTATCGCCTATCATACAACAGACCCCAACTCTGTTTCCGCGATACAGGACACACCCATTACTTTCCTTTTTGTTTTCGGCACTGCACTCGCTATCACGGGGGGTCTCATCCGCTGGTGGTGTTATCGCACCCTCGGTCGTTTTTTCACTTTCCAACTCAGTGTCCGTGAAGGGCAACACATTATAACGACCGGGCCATATGCGGTCATACGCCATCCAGCCTATACGGCAGGCCTGGCAGAGATCATAGGCCTATTGATCCTGCACGGATCGACCAATTCATGGCTTAGATACTCAGGGGTTTTGGCTATCCCTGGACTGAAAGTGATCGTGGTAGCATGGCTTGCGGAGATCACTCTTCTTATGATAAGCGTCGTGTTCAGGGTCAGTCACGAGGATGAAGTCCTGAAATCAGCTTTCAGAGACGAGTGGGAGGCATGGGCAGAGACAGTGAGGTACCGGCTGATACCTGGTGTTTACTAAACCCAAAGCGCGTGGATCATGCTATCATTGTGCGACGAGAACCGTCTGCAACTCTCCCCTATCAAAAGGAACGCTAATATTCCTTCGTCTATGAAGGGCCGTCTATGGGAGACCAGCTCTCTACAGTTACATGGCAGGTTACTCTTTTTTGAAACAAACATTTTGTTGTCTTTACGAATGATCTTTTCTCGACTTGTACTAAATATTGTTCTTTGTTCTTCGTAGGGCAAGATATGTTCTCCGTACGCACCTCATTTTACATGTACAATTACTCGTACGATCTTCCTTCTTCGTGGCAGCGTCCTTTTGTTTGGGATCACTTCCCCTTGATTTTTCAATTGAAGACTGGGTATCTTTCTTTCTCTTTCTTAGTCCGAGCCTTCTCGTTCGCAACACTTTATTATCATACCATAATTCCCTTGCCCAAACAGTGGACGAGCTTCACACTATGCAATATTGAAGAAATGTAATCAATAGTATGCAGACTGGCTACGCGCGCTGTACTATTGATTGTTTCGAGCTTGGTTCCCGAGTCACAGAACTTCAATGTGTTAATATTCAGGTATTGTCCATCCATTCAGCGTAGTTTATCCCGGAGGACCAGATAGTGCTCCTGTGAGTGGATAGCTTCATTGATACTGTCACTTTGACCTGCTTTGTCGCTGTTCGTCATCTATGTTTTCTAATAGAATGGTGATATCATAGATTACTGTGAATCAAGTCTGTGAATTTATATGAAGGTTATATGCAAATGCCATGGCGTTGAGCTCTGTCAGTCTGTTTGATACATAACCGAGCTGAGAGGAGTACTGGTGACCAGTCGAGGAACCAGGACACATTGCTAGACGGCTAAAGGATATTGCAGTGCTTCCATACCACCGGCTCCCATCGGTATCACCCTGTGGTTCATCATGCTCAGGCTGTGGTCATTGGTGAGAGTATCAACGGCAAAATGCTTACATTCGTAGATATAGTAGCAACCTGCATGATGCTCAGTATGAGATAGCTGAAAATAACGGTGAGAATGTTTCATATGCAATTTACCTGAAGCGGAGGCTGCGGCGTCGAGTTTGGTTGTGCCGCAGGTGGAATTGCCGCTGAGGACGGCTGACCGGTTGGCTTTCACAAGAGACGCGTACTACGTAGACCTTCTGGAGATTCGGTTGTGCACATGGCGGAATGAAAAGCACCTCATACACCACTTACCTGTTGTTGTTCTCTTCCAGCAGAGACTGTTGCGGGCCTACCGGTGGTGGCGCCAGGGCCACGCCGCAAGAGGTGCAAAGGGGCGTGGTATTAATAGATGGTAGAGAGGTTGGATCTCTTGGACTACTTTTCCGTGACATAGAAAGTGGGTGTCTTAGACCCTTTATTGGTACCGAAAAGTGATACCTGAGGTGCGCACTGCGGACATCCTTACCAAGGCTCTCGCTCACGGCCACTATTCCTCGCAAGCTTGCGCCTGGTGTCTCGCTGAGGGTGTGTGTTGACGTTAGATAACGATTTACCTTTTAGACATTGTATTACCTTCTTGTTCTTATATCGCCACATGCAGCGGACACATACGAGCTTTCCGCTAAACTCTTCGCCGGTTCATTACCTAAGCTCACTTTATCTTTCGTATATAGCTCGTAGCACACCTCAGAATTCTTCTACGCATACTGAGGTGTGTATGCCATGTCTTCTCACTCGATCGCACTCATGCTCATGTATCCTAGCCTAGGTATATATCAATGTGGCTTATAACGGCAGTGCTTAGTCGGCGAGAAGTTTCTCCCAGAATGCTGTACCGGTCGAACTATTCGAACGTTACAGTATTCTTGGCGAACGGAATCGAACCTGTTGCTTAACACGTCGTTACAGCTGTAGATATAAACAGCTATAACGACATGTTAAGCAAGATGTTACCCTCTCGTCATGCCATTGTGATAACGTGCATACGTTAGAATAGCGGGATGACGAATGCACACCCGTCACATGCGCTGTCGCGTCAGCCAAGTGCTATCGAGCGCCCCCTCTGCCACCCGAGTTTCGTTAACGAAGGTTCCGCCGCCCCCTCCTATTCCCGATGTCCACTGGCCCGAGAATATGACATGGACCTTGCTGTCAGAGGTCGAGAAAGACGAGAATAGGCTTGTTTTGCTCGGGAAGCGGGACAAGAAGGAGGCAAGTACTATCCAGCTTCAGATCCACGATCATTTTATAACCATGCCATAGAATACATCTGGTGATAGCAAGATTACCGTGTTTCAACGTATTGAATCTGTCATGCTGCGAGACAGCTATAAGCTCAACAACCAGAGTCAGACTGGTCGATCTGGAGTGATTTGGCAGGCGAAGCGAGGAGTTTGAAATTTGTGGCTCCTGTTGGGACAATCTTACAGTCAGTCTCACCTGCTTGCATTGTCGTCGTTCAACATGTGAGAATCAATTCGAATATCGTATTTAACGTGTCACGGCCTTGGCCCAGTGCAAAGCTTCACTGTGAATACAAATACGAATGATAATGCTCTCGAGACATGGACCACCGCCGACCTGAGTCTCCAATAGGAATGAAGACAACATAGAGGGGCTGATACTTTGGACAGAATGTGACAATGACAAATTGCGTTCGGGAACTCTTCTCGACCGTTGATTCTCAGCTGCCAGTGGGCCAGTTAGGAAAGAGTGCAGGCCATTCGATCGAGGGGGCCCGAATAGATTTGTACACTCGAAATGTCATACCTTCATTATGACAGGAGTGTCAATGCTGTCGGAAGAAATATCAGCAGCGTGTCCCTGCAGAAAATGGAGAACCATTGCATGACGACAATTGTCCCTGAGGGTAAGATGTAAAAGATAAGCTCCGTAGGAAACGACGGGAACGGAATCGAGAAGAAATAGACAACAGATTTGAGATTAAAATTCAACATTACATAGAATTTATAAGTCATAGCTCGACAATGGCGAATAACTATGAATTATGGTGGGCGATCAGCTACGAAGGCACATGTCCTCGATCAACATAAACATGCTGGTGAAGCAACATCAATAAACGCACGCTGGAGTAACGAGGGAGCAGGCTGAGCAGCAGAGACACGGAGAGGATGGTGGTGTGGGAGGCACCTGAGTGCGATGCAAAAGTTGCAACAACCATAGTTTCCTTCTTGAGTAGGTTGTTGCGTCGTTGTCTATGCCTGAAGCGGAGGCTGTGGCGTCGAGTTTGGTTGTGCCGCAGGTGGAGTTGCCGTTGAGGACGACTGAGTCGGACTGACCGGTTGGCTTTCACAATATTAGACACGTGCTACGTGAACATTCTGGAGATTCGCCGGTTATGCATATGGCAAAATAGAAAGCACCTCATACACCACTTACCTGTTGTTGTTCTCTTCCAACATGGACTGTTGCGGGCTGGTGTGTCACGCGAAGAAACTGCGCCGGGGGCGTTGTTGCATCGAAATGACTTCGATTTCTGCAGGGTGAGGGAACGCGGAAGTTCTAGAAGCAGTTGGCTCAGGCTGAGGACGGGTGGGAACGCTTGAAAAGATAACAAAGTAGTACAGACAGCGCCGAAGGATTATATGACTGGAAAGCTACTTATCGTAATTAACATTTGTGCCCTTTACAAGATAAAGCACAAGGTTTACCCGGAAAATCGCTGTCATATGGATCTCTTCGATCAATCGATCAGCACTCCCTACAAGGCTTTGTACACAGCTTCGAGCTGTGATAGTTGTGTCAGCAATATTGGGGAGGAAGACCTATTCGAATATGGCAAGGCGGGGTACTTGGGGTCGAGTCACGGTTTCTGGGCGTAGCTATTTTGACGCGGTCCTGCCGCGCCTGCCGCGGTCGTGACGCGGTCGTGACGCGCATGTGACGCGGCACTGACGAGCCTTGATGATATCGAGTGTAGTACTAACTTACTCAGGCTAACTGGACGAGCTCGCCTGTTTTATTTTGTTGCTCCTACCTTCGATGCGATTTTGTCCCCCTAAGGCTTTAGTCACTCGTATTAGTGGCGTGATGGTCCGGGATTCCGAGAGGAGAGGCCTCCTAAAATTTTTCAAATGAATCGAAGTCCTCTCTTCAATCCTACAACCATGACTATGGCGGTCGGATTCTTGTCGCTTCCTACAGAGCTCATATGTCACATTCTAATCCTCCTTAACCCCAGGGATATTAGTCGCTGTGCACTGGTTCGCTTTTCCCCGTAGTTCCACAATTTTCTCCAGGGCTAATGTTTGATCATGCTAGACATGCAATATCTTTTGGCTTGTGGTCCGGAATTCTGTCTACATTCAATACAAGCTTGAAATTTATGCTCAGGGCTTGACTAGTACTGGGACCGCTACCATGAATCCGACCGGCGTTTCCAAAAAGACTCTGTGTTCGCTCAAGAAATTAGCATCTTTGTGGCGATCCGATTTCCATGCATCCACCACCTTTGAAACAGTGGTCACTACTGTTGCCAAATGGGAACGCATGTTACCGATCCAAGATGTGAAATGTGGGCTTTGGTGGTTACACTCGCTGGAAGAATACAAATTCTACATTCAGGGTTGTGGCACGAATCCTACACTCTCCCGGACATGGTCTATCGGTGATACCGAGGGCTTTTTTACCTTCGACCCTCTGCAGGATCTTATGGTTGTGTGTTCTGAACCTGATGATGATGTCACTGTGACCGATGCAACACAAGATTACCATGTATGTTGGGTAGAGTTTCGACTGGCTTCATCCCAGTGTCCACATCCAAGTGCTGCGTGCACTTCCTTGGAGTGCAAGCATACCTTTGACTCGGATGCACCTGGCTATTACCGTGCTGTTTTGTCACCGCCTGTAATCTACGGTGATCACGTATTTGTCTTCTATGACATAGAGGACACGGGTGATCGCCGCCATCCTAAGTCTGTGTTCGGCATGTTCATACAAGTGATCAATTGGAGGAAGGGATACGTGAATAGGGTGAGTTCCCTCTCTTTGTGAAAATTCTTCTACTCAGCATAAGCAGCATTTTTTATGTCAACTGGATTTCTGCGAGTTAGATCTCTTCTATCCAGTGGATGAACAGAAGTTTGTCATCATTGGCCCAGAATCGATATACTTGTACACGTTACAAGGGCTCGATGGGCCGCCTCAGTGCCGAATCATATATCACCTTCCCAATGTCCTCCATCTATCATTAAACGACTCGGAAATCATTGTTCATGGCCACCCGTCACTGCATGGCAAAGCAGCACACCCAGGACTCATGCCGAGCTATGTACCCTCCCTGGAGTCGCAGATTATGGTTGTAGAGTTTCTTCCCAAAGCGGGGAAAGACGCTATCCTAGTCATCGATATGGCCATCTTCTCTGACACGGCCCTGCGCTCAGATATGCTCGTCGACATTCCCTGGTCAGATTGGGGACCTCAGTATGCGTACTACTTTCCGCACCACGAAAGCTACGATATCAGCGTGTTTGGCAGCAAAATGGCCTATGCTCTTCCCCAAGATCATATTCGTGATCCTGGTCAAACACTGGAAGGACTCTCCAGTGAGGGTTACTTCTATGTGCATATCTGGGACTTCAATAAGCGAGTCATTGCTCGTTCGGAAAGTGTCAACGATCCTGACTCACCGGATCTTCGTATTTGCAAGTCGGGTCAGATGATTGACTCCTTTGGTGAAGACATCTTCTCGAATGCATACATCGCAACGGTCTGTTGTACGCCATTTCCGACAGCTGGCTCCAGGATATTCTTGGAACAGGATCGGCTTACTGTGACATGGGTATGTGTTCTTCGTTTGAACACAGGAACGGTCTGATGTGGCTGCGTTGTAGGCTCGGCATGATGAGATTAGTATTCGGGTCATTTCCCCCACTCAGACGGAGGTTGACCCGGACCTTACAGAATAGACAGTTTGGAGTAAAACAGGTGGGACTCAGCGATGCCTGATCAGTTGGGGGACCAGGACATACAGCTTCGTGACAAGTTTCAGTGGCCCGATGTTATTTCCTGGCTCGCATAATCCTGGCTAAGGTGCACCATATTCCTGGTAATGAGCGGGTTAAACAGACTACGAACATCTTGTGAACTAATACATCTTGCAAGCGTTACGTGAAGTTGCTGAATTGTTAGCTGCCCAAACGCTTTCCGTCGATGTAGATACACCACCGCAATGGATTTAACTTCGTATATTATGGACGAGGGATATAACTGACAGACGAGAAAATGGTGAAATATGCCAAATGTGAGTTGACCCTTCTCCAATCGTTGCGGTCTCGTACGCGAAATACCATGGAATCATGTGAGCCATGCTGGCTAGTCGAGAATCTTCCTGTAACCATTAGTTTCTGTCTTGCAAGTCCCTGATCGAACTCGCCAGGCTCCCTCGCGTACACCCAGTCTTCGTAATAGTTGTCAAGCCAGATAACAGTACCATATCGTCCGAGAGTAACGTGCGGATATGTCCCAGAGATGTGCAGTCATCTGTTTCGTCTGCGAATAGATTCGTCAGGCATTGTAAATATACTAGAATCAACACTGACCGTGGAGTTTGCATCTAAGCATTTCGAGTACCTGTAAACGATGCCTCAGAAGTGCGCGATCAGACGAATAGATGTTTAAACTTACCCAGTTGCGAAGATGACAAGGTCGGCCACCACTCGCGAACCATCATCGAATACCAACCCGGAAGGAGAGAAGTGGGAAATGGGAGAAGGGCCCGGAGCCCACCTCTTGAACCTAAGTCCGTCGAGTGATAAGGACATTGAACCTGCACGAGCCGAACCGTGCAGTGTCAGACCCAAATTCAAAAAGTAGCGCAGGTGCCTACCTCGATCCTGTAGATAAACTCCGTTGCAGCAATGTCAGACCTGTGCCCGAAAGCACGGTAGGTCTCGAAGCCGCCGCTGGCACCGTTCTTGAACTTGATCCTGATGAAGTCACGGTCTTCAGGGGCAGGTCCGCGACGGAGCTCGAAGGCAAGAGCAGAAGCATAGTTTGCTGTAGTCCTTGCATTAATCGGCTGAATGCATTGAAGTGAGATCATACGCACGGATAGGAAGGAGATGCCGGGACAAGTTGCGCCTACGCGTGCAGGAGGACTCGAGAGCGTGTGGAAGTTTAGGACTGTCACATACCAGCACGAGAAAAAGGGCAGGAGACGCCACTAGCTTTTGACGCCACGACGAAAGTGATTTGGACACGCGGAGTCGACTGGCTGCCTTTGTAGGGGCGCCCAGAGAGGGTATGTCGAAGAAGAGGGTGATCTTGTTGAGCCTCGCATCGAGAGAGATGACTTCGGATGTAAGTCGTTATTGCTTGCGACGCAGCAGAAACACTAGGGTGTTGTGAGTAGGGTGAAGAGAGGAAAGGAGAGCATACTTCTGACACGAGGCCGAAGTTGAGAGTCATTTCCGCAAGGTCCTCGATGGTCATAGCACGATTGTCCTAGAGACACACGCGTGAAGGTATGAATAGGAACGAGGAAAAGGACAAAAAAAATGCAGTTAAATTGCTTCGCCGGTTCAGGGTTCAAAGCAACTCTGTACGCCCTGGCCGGGTCTGCATTTACACTGGGATCAGCTCAGGGTTCGAAGCAACTTCGGACTGCCCCGGCCAGCCCAGGCGAAAAGAGAAAGTGCGGGCGAAGTTGACAGAATGAGTACTCACTTCCACGAGTTGGGGAGATCGATTAATTCCCACGGGTTCGGAAACTTCCACCTCAGCTGGCCAACCTCCCTGAGCAACTCGTGCCGATCAGACTTGAATTCGATGTGGAGCATCATAAGATGCGCGAGACCTTTGTATGGAATCTGAATGGTAAGCCTCTTGTCTAGAGTAGCTTTCTACGACTGACGTCATTTAGATCCTGTCATCACTCCTGAGCATTTTGCGCAGACGCTCATCGAGGATTATGCGCTACCCCAGAGTTATCACGGCGTCATCACGCCACGTTGACGAGGACAAAGAAGTGCGTTGATTTTATATTGCTGTCATTTATCTACTGACTGACACTGACCCAATAAGCTTTCAAATTTCAGGGCTGCTTACCCAATTGCGCGGGGGTGCCGCCAATTGACATGCTTGATGGAATTCGGCGCCTTGCCAGCATCTGGCCTTACTCAGGTTAACTTGTAGCAGCTTAGTAGCTGACGACGAGCTCGCTTGATTTTGTTTTGTTGCTCCTGTTGCCTTTGATCCGATTTTGTCCCCTCAACTTGTCACTGAGGCTCCAGTCACGGTGACGTGATGGATTCTGAGAGGAGAGGCCTCCTAAAATTTTCAGATTCGAAGTCCTCTCTTCAATCCTACAACCATGACTACGACGGTCGGATTCTTGTCGCTTCCTACAGAGCTCATATGTCACATTCTAATCCTCCTTAACCCCAGGGACATTAGTCGCTGTGCAATGGTTCGCTATTCCCTGTAGTTCGTTACAATTTCCTCCATGGCTAACATTTGATCATACTAGACTTGCAATATCTTTTGGCTTGCGGTCCGGAATTCTGTCTACATTCAATATAAGCTTGAAATCTATGCTCAAGGCTTGATTAGTACCGGGACCGCTGCCATGGATTCAACCGGCGTTTCCAGCAAGACTCTGTGTTCACTCAAGAAATTGGCAACTTTGTGGCGATCCGACTTCCATGCGACCACTACCTTTGAAACAGTGGTCACTGCTGCTGCCACATGGGGGCGCATGTTACCGATCCAAGATGTGAAATGTGGGCTTTGGTGGACACGCTCACTGGACGAACATAAATTCTACATTCAGAGTTGTGGCACGAATCTTACACTCTCCCGGACGTGGTCTATCGGCGATGGTGTCCAGGGCTTTCTTACTACCTTCGACCCTCTGCAGGATCTTATGGTTGTGTGTTCTGAGCATCATCATTATGTCGCTGTGACCGATGCGGAACAAGATTACCCTGTCTGTCGGGTGGAGTTCCGACTGGCTTCATCCCAGCGTCCACATCCGAGTGCCGAGTGCACTTCCTTGGAGTGCAACCATACCTTTGATGCACTTCCTGGCTATCACCATACTGCTTTGTCGCCACCTGTAATCTGTGGTGATCACGTATTTATCCTCTATTACATAGAGGTCATTAGTTGCTGCGATTCTGAGCCTGTGCCCGGCATGTTCATACAAGTGATCAATTGGAGGAAGGGATATGTAAATAGGGTAAGTTCCCTCTGTTTGTGAAAATTCTTCTACTCAGCATAAGCAGCATTTTTTATGTCACCTGGATTTCTGCAAGTTAGATCTGTTATATCCAGTTGATGAACAGAAGTTTGTCATCATTGGCCCAAAATCGATATACTTGTACACGTTACAAGGGCTCGATGGGCCGCCTCAGTGCCGAATCATATATCACCTTCCCAAGATCCTCCATCTATCATTACACAACTCGTGCATCAGGGTTCATGGCCACCCGTCACTGCATGGCAAAGCAGCACGCCCAGGACTCATGCCGAGCTATGTACCCTCCCTGGAGTCACAGATTATGGTTTTAGAGTCTCCTTCCAAAGCGGGGAAAGCTATCCTAGTCATCGATATGGCCATCTTCTCTGACACGGCCCTGCGCTCAGATCTGCTCGTCAAGATTCCCTGGTCAGATTGGGGACCTCAGTATGCGTCCTACTTTCCACACCACAAAAGCTACCATATCAGCGTGTTTGGCAGCAAAATGGCCTATGCCCTTCCCCGAGATCATATTCCTAATCCTGGTCAAAGACTGCAAAGGCTCTCCCGTAAGGGTTACTTCTATGTGCATATCTGGGACTTCAACAAGCGAGTCGTTGCTCATTCGGAAAGTGTCAACGATCCTGACTCACCGGATCTTCGCATTTGCAAGTCGGGTCAGATGATTGACTCCTTTGGTAAAGACATGTTCTCGAATCGTGCATACATCGCAACGGTCTGTCGTACGCCATTTCCGACAGCTGGCTCCAGGATATTCTTGGAACAGGATCGGCTTACTGTGACATGGGTATGTGTTCTTCGTTTAAACACAGGAACGGTCTGATGTGACCACATTGTAGACTCGGCATCGTGATATTAGTATCCAGGTCATTTCCCCCATCCAGACAGATGTTGGCCTGGAAATTACAGAATAGATAGTTTGGAGTAAAACAGCTGGGACTCAGCGACGCCGATGTAGTTTTATTATGAGCAATATGCATTGTGTTGGCAAGCAAAATAGTAAATATGTTTTCGCAGCAAAACAGGCGGGGTATAAGTATTTGCATCGGGGTTATGTGCGACTGCCACAGCGTTGAGGTCTGTCACTCTAGAGTTCGATACATAATCAAGCCGAGTCGAGTGCCGAGAACAGAACGGGGAACCAGGACATTGCTGAATGGCGACGAAGAATATCGCAGTGCTTCTAGCTTCTATGCCACCGGCTTCTGCCGTCTGCATCACCCTGTAGCTCATCATGCTGTGGGCATGGGTGAGAATATCATCAGGAAAATGCTTAGATATAGTAGCAACCTGCATGGCGCTCAATATGAAGCAATAGCATTGGTACTTGCGCTAATATTATGACTGACTCCAAAAAAGCTGTCCGAACACCGTGGGACCTCCTCATTGTGATCTAGACTTGCATACATCCATGGCCATGTACCGACGATTCGATTTTTTCGCAGTGTAGACAGTAGATAGACAGAATGTGACGATCATAAATTGCGTTCGGGAACTCATCTGGGCCGTCGATTCTCAGCTGCCAGTGGGTCAGTTAGGAAAGACTGTAGGCCATTCGATAGAGGGAGCTCTCCGAATAGATTTGTACACTCGAAGTGTCATTCCTTCATTATCACATTTTTGACGGGAGTGTCGATGCTGTCAGAAGAAATATCAGCAACGTGTCCCTGCAGAAAATGGAGAACCATTGCACAACGACAATCGAGGGTAAGATGTAAATGATGAGCTCCGTAGGAAACGACGGGCACCGAATCGAGAAGAAGTGGACAACAGATTTGAGACTAGAATTCAACATTACATAGAATTTACAAGTCATAGCTCGACAATGACGAATAACTATGAATTACGATGGTCGATCAGCCACGAAGGCACATGTCCTCGATAACATGCTGATGAAGCAACGTCAATAAGCGCAGGCTGGAGTAATGAGGGAGCAGGCTGAGCAGCAGAGACGCGGAGAGGATGGTGGTGTGGGAGGCACCTGAGTGCGATGCAAAAGTTGTAACAACCATTTTCCTTCTTGAGCAGGTTGTTGTATCGTCGAGTTTGGTTGTGCCGTAGGTGGAGTTGCCGCTGAGGACGACTGACCGGTTGGCTTTCACAATAGACGCGTGCTACGTGAACCTTCTGGAGATTCGGTTATGCATATGGCGGAATAAAAAAAGCACCTCATACACCACTTACCTGTTGTTGCTCTCTTCCAGCAGAGACTGTTGCGGGCTTGTGTGCTGCGCGAAGAAACTGCGCCTGGGGCGTTGTTGCATCGAAATGATCTCGATTGCTGCAGGGTGAGGGAACACGGAAGTTCTAGAAGCAGTTCGTCTGGAAAGATAACACAGTACAGACAGCGCCGAATAATTGTACGACTGGGAAGCTACTTATCGTTAACATTTGTGCCCTTTGCAAGATAAAGCACAAGGTTTGCATGGAAAATCGCCGCCACACGAATATCCTCAATCAATCGATCAGCACTCCCCATAAGGCTTTGTACATAGCTTCGAGCTGTGATAGTCGTGTCAGCAATATTGGGGAGGAAGACCTAGTCGAATATGGCAAGGCGGGGTATTTTCCTGTTGTAATGATATTGCTAAGTAGTCGACTTGAGGTATGGCCAGCACGTACCGGAGGCCCAGCGCTCAGAAGCTATGTCATCTTGGACCATCTACGAAGTACTAAGTTACTTATGTGCGTCGTGTCTCCGAGTGACCTGAGGCTGCTTACTTAATTGTGCGGGGGTAGTACAGAACGTTCATCGTTCATTGTACTACTTGGTGCAGATGCATGATGGCTTGAGGTATATTGGGTGTACTAACTTGCTCAGGCCAACGACCAGCTTGCCTTTTTTCAGATTTGTTGCTTCTACCTTCGATGCAATGTCGTCCACTCAAGATTCTAGTGTCAGTAGCGTCGGATAGCCCGTGATTCTGAGAGGGGAGGCCTCCTAAATTCGAAGTCCTCTCTTCAATCCTACAACCATGACTATGGCGGTCGGATTCTTGTCGCTTCCTACAGAGCTCATATGTCACATTCTAATCCTCCTTAACCCCAGGGACATTAGTCGCTGTGCACGGGTTCGCTTTTCCCCGCAGTTCCACAATTTCCTCCGGGGCTAATGTTTGATCATGCTAGACATGCAATATCTTTTGGCTTGCGGTCCGGAATTCTGTCCACATTCAATACAAGCTTGAAATTTATGCTCAGGGCTTGACTAGTACTGGGGCCGCTACCATGAATTCGACCGGCGTTTCCAAAAAGATTCTGTGTTCGCTCAAGACATTGGCATCTTTGTGGCGATCTGACTTCCATGCGACCACTACCTTTGAATCAGTGGTCGCTATTGCTGCCACTGAATATATTCCATTTTTACCCGCGATCCAAGATGTGAAATGTGGGCTTTGGTGGTCTTACTCGCTGGACGAAGACAAATTCTACATTCAGGATTGTGGCATGAATCCTACACTCTCCCGGACATGGTTTATCGATGATGTCGACCGCTTTCTTACTACCTTCGACCCTCTGCAGGATCTTATGGTTGTGTGTTCTGAGCATCATCATTATGTCGCTGTGACCGATGCGGAACAAGATTACCGTGTCTGTCGGGTGGAGTTCCGACTGGCTTCATCCCAGTGTCCACATCCCAGTGCTGCGTGCACTTCCTTGGAGTGCAAGCATACCTTTGATGCACTGCCTGGCTATTACCGTGCTGCTTTGTCACCGCCTGTAATCTGTGGTGATCGCGTATTTATTCTCTATTACATAGAGAACACGGCGGATGACTGCCATCCTCAGCCTGCATCCGGCATGTTCATACAAGTGATCAATTGGAGGGGGGGATATGTGAATAGGGTGAGTTCCCTCTGTTTGTGAAAATTATGCTACTCAGCATAAGCAGCATTTTTTATGTCAACTGCATATCTGCGAGATACATCTTTTCTATCCAGTTGATGAACAGAAGCTTGTCATCATTGGCCCAGAAGGCTCGATATACTTGTACACGTTACAAGGGCTCAATGGGTCGCCTCAGTGCCGAATCATATATCACCTTCCCAAGATCCTCCATCTATCATTATACGACCCGGAAATCATTTTTCATGGCCACCCGTCACTGCATGGCAAAGCAGCACGCCCAGGACTCATGCCGAGCTATGTACCCTCCCTGGAGTCGCAGATTATGGTTTTAGAGTTTCTTCTCAAAGCGGGGACATCTATCCTAGTCATCGATATCGCCATCTTCTCTGACATGGCCCTGCGCTCAGATATGCTCGTCGACATTCCCTGGTCAGATTGGGGACCTCAGTATGCGTGCTACTTTCCGCACCACGAAAGCTACCATATCAGCGTGTTTGGCAGCAAAATGGCTTATGCTCTTCCCCAAGATCATATTCGTGATCCTGGTCAAACACTGGAAGGGCTCTCCAGCGAGGGTTACTTCTATGTGCACATCTGGGACTTCAATAAGCGAGTCATTGCATGTTCGGAAAGTGTCAACGATCCTGACTCACCGAGTCTTCGCATTTGCAAGTCGGGTCAGATGATTGACTCCTTTGGTGAAGACATCTTCTCGAGTCGTGCATACATCGCAACGGTCTGTCGTACGCCATTTCCGACAGCTGGCTCCAGGATATTCTTGGAACAGGGTCGGCTTACTGTGACATGGGTACGTGTTCTTCGTTTGAACACAGTAACAGTCTGATGTGGCTGCGTTGTAGGCTCGGCATGATGAGATTAGTTTTCGGGTCATTTCCCCCACTCAGACGGAGGTTGGCCCGGACCTTACAGAATAGGCAGTTTGGAGTAAAACAGGTGGGACTCAGCGACGCCTGACCAGTTGGGGACCCAGGACACATTACTGGATGACGACGAAGATATTGCAGTGCTTCTATGCCACCGGCTTCCATCTGCATCACCCTGTGGCTCATCATGCTGTGGGCATGGGTGAGAGTATCAGCAGGAAAATACTTAGATACGGTAGCAACCAGCATGACGCTCAATATGAGATAGCTGAAAGCAATAACATTGGTACTTGCGCTAGTAAAGTTATGACTTACTCCAAACAGCTGTCCGAACACCCTGGGACCTCCTCATTGCGATCTAGACTTGCATAGATCCATGACCATGTACCGACGATTCGATTTTTTCGCAGTGTAGATAGCAGGAGCACTGAATTTACACACTTCTATAGTTCTCACGACTGCAATGTCACGGACTCATGAATTCACTCGTGAACCGGACCTTCGGAACTAACTGCTATGCAGTACTGCTGCCTCGATCGGTCCAATGGTAAGTTTTTAGTGACATCACCTGATGGCATCATACTCACCCGCGTTCACTCAGAGTTTAGGAAACGATGTAGCGCGCTCGGTGAACAGCATGACCGCATTCTTGGCGTATGCACTTCCGTCCTCACCTCTTTCGCTACTGACCATTATGAGGTGTCCTATGCTTCAATCTAATGCTGCAGCGGGTGCTGTTGGGAGTGACGACTCCTTGATCCGTGATGAAGACTATCATGGACCGCCATCGGACACCGATTTATAAAGCAACAGCGACTAGCAGCAGTGCAGGTAGACAACAGAGAACATGGACGTGGTTGGGTGTGCTGCTAAAAGCATTTATGAATGTCTGCTGGTATTTTAGTTTTATCGTCCATCTTGTTATGACATCTGCATTGACTTTACGATAGGCGATCAGTACATGCCGCACCACACAGTCGGTAAGGATCACGCCAGACAAAGATTTAAAGATTTAAACCTGGTGACGTATGTTGTGCTAGTGCGTGCATTGTTGTTGATTGATGTTTGAAGGGCTTGGTTCAACCAATCGCGCAAGCCCGATGATGTCCTCGTCGATGCATTGTTCCTTTCACGCAGAGACTATTGATGTGTTCGATTGCTACTATCGTTGTCTTTCAACGGGTGCTCCCCACAGTTCTGCCAATGACCACGACTTTCTTTCTTCCTACTGTCTCAGTTTGACAACAACAATGTTTACGGTGATCTCTGGTCTATCTACTTACGGCTAATCAAGAACCTCTCCATTGAACACTGTGCAATTAGCCCGCACGGTCGGCGATTTGGAGAACCCAATTTTATGGATGGGGGGCCCTTCCTACATAAATTTCTGGTATTTTGACGCATTGTTCACGGCGGATGAGTAGTCGGTCCAGGAAATGGCCTGACGATGAATATCAAATGCAATTGATACCCAATTCTTCAGCAATGATCATCGCAGCCCGCTCTCCAATGAGAAGTGCAGTCGAGTACGTGTTCTGTGTATATCGTGAGATCGCACATCAACAATCCTCTGTCCAGTACCCACTGTGCCAACGTTCAACGGCGAAATGGACATATCTGCAACCTTCAGGTTCGACACTCCATATACATTGAGCCGAGCGTCGACGACTCCCTGATCTGCCTCAGGTTTCATCGCACAAGTCCCAAGCTAACAAATACAAATATCAGATATGAAATCACGGAAGGTTCAGTCGCACACACAGAATGCCACGTCGTTTGCACTGATGTTCGATTCAGTATTTCAAGTACTGTGACAATACAGATCGCATGTCAGCACTTACTAATATCGCGGTGGAATCGATCAATCGCCTCGTCATCTTCGGTAGTGTAAACAATGTCTGGCGCATTCAAGTCCACTGGCCCGGAGGCTTCTCTGCAGGCTGCAGCGCTTCCCTCCGGGAAATCAGGATGGCCGGCAGCGACTTCACCTCGGTAGGAAGCCATGCGTCGAAGAAGTTCGCGTGTCTTTTTGTACCCGAAGTCAAGAGGAACAATATCAGATGGACTGGCCGGAGTGTCGTAGTCATGCAAAGTGCCCTAAAATGAAATGCGTCCACTCACTCATCTAGGAAGCCTGTAGTAAAGTCCATTTCTTCTTTTCCGTCCTCTGTCACGTGGATATGGACGCTTCCAACAGACACGGGGTAAAGCTATTGAAAAGGTTAACAAAAGAATCACAGAGTAGATGAAAAGCAATACTGTATAATACCCCGTACACATATACTTGCGAGGAGGAAGAACAAGCGGCCTCGAGAGCGGTTGAACGTGTCTGGCTGTCATGAGCATTGTCATATCATCAAAGCAATGCGCACACACCCTGCAAAAACACAAAATATTGCAACAGCCTTGTCTGGCCGGTCCTGGAAGAACTCCTTCCAGCGCGGTTGAAAAGCTGGATCCATGGCTTTCAACTCCTCGTCATCAGGACGCCACTTGATTTTTGCATCGAGGCCGCTGAGATTCCAATCAGCACGATGCCAGCAGTGATGATAATAACTTGCACTGACTTTTGTGCAATCAACGACTTGCCGCTGCTGTTCCATTCCGCAAGGCTTTCTGCATTTGAGTGGTTGTGAAGTGCCGCAATCGTGGGATGAAGCATGCTTACCCTGCAGGATACTGTCACCACGCCAGAGGGCGTCCATGGTAACGGCCTCGTCAGCAGCCAAGTATGGAACAAAGACGAGATTGTGATCTGACCGTCCTAAGCCAAGCAAGCTCTCGGGATAACTTAAAAGCGCACCTTGATAATTCTCTCCGACACCAGGCAAATTCACCAGCTGCTCGATACCGCATCGCTTGAGGATCGCCTCGGCACCGATCCCAGACCTCTCCAGAATGGTCGGGGAGCCGAATACCCCAGCAGAAATAACAACCAGTTTTGATGCTCTTACAATACTCGACGACTGATCCGCATCTGGGCAAGACACCGGGTCGCTGGCGAACTCGACACCTACAGCACGCTTGTCTCTTTCGTTTGGAGAAACAGTCAACCGTTTGCTAGGGTTGCGATCTCAGATGGCCACTTACTCGAAGATGATGCGTTTCACGCGCTTTCCGTCCCAGACTTGTAAATTCAGGTTGTGAGCTTGGTTGTAGACATAGTGGTGAGCTGCATCAGAGCGCCTTCCGGTTGTTCCGTCGATGTATCTTGTGTACATGAGCTAAGATTTCGCAATTGCCTAGGAGTGCAGGAACTCACTTCCGCCATGGCTGAGATAGATCTGGTTAGTTGTCGCAGGTAGGAAAGAAGCATCGTAGCTTACACTGTATGTATTGCATGTTTCCAAATCATCGGTGTCGTCGGCATACTGCCTCTTGTGATAGGTCGTGCCAACCTGGATGAATTCGTCGGCGATACCCAACTTACACCCACCAGATGAAACTTTGATAGGTCCGTCATATCCGTGAGTTGGACGATTGGGCTGCATCCCATATGTCTCCAGCTATAAAGCGAACGTATAAGTAATTCGAACGAATGTCCTGAAAACAAATTTGAGACCTTCTTCATGAGGGGAATCAAATTTTCAGATTCCCAACCATCGACTCCCCAATCATCAAAGTCCGAAGCAGGTGCACGGGTATATGCCATAACTATCTCATTATTAGATTATCGTTCACTGTCATTGCAAGTATGCTACGCACAATTCACACATGAGGCTCCACCAACGCAACGACCGGAAGGAACGATCGGCGCACGGCCGTTGAGGCGAGGAGATGGATTTCCCTTGTGGAATGTGACCGTGGTGCTCGTCGGTGCTTGGTTGAGGGGATATTGGTATGGTTGGACATGTATAGGTTTATTGAGGGTGTGTTGACCCGCTTCCAGAATCAAGATCCTGAGCGAGGGATCATATGCAGCCAAGCGACCTGCGACAACACAGGCTGTAGCACCACCTATACAGAAGAATGCATAGCTTAAGAGGGGAAACCACTACAGGATTATATCTGCTCACCTCCAGCAAAAACGATGTCGAATTCTGACAGGATTCGCTGAGACATTAATGTGGAGGGTTCCTTTCAGATTGCCCCTCGCAAGTTCCACTTTATAACCTTGACAGAAGCGATGCCTATCTTGGCGCCCATCGGGAACTTGCGACTTCAGTCTGCTTTCACTACTAGGCGAGGTTTGAACATGATGTGAGAAAAACACGGGGTGCGTACGTGTGTGATACTGCATGATTATAAGAGGGATGCTCCATTACGACTTTCGAACGACAAAGTCATTTTAGAATCGAGCATCCCTGAATGTGTGGCATTGCGGGTACCCCCGACGCATTAAGCATTAGCGACGTTCACACCTGGGAGAGCTTACGGTTTGTTGCTCACAAAATTTTGTGGTTCTTTTGTATGTAACCGGGTATGGAGAACCATGATCAACATATATGCAAGCAGATACTGCTCATGAGAAGGAAGTTGTGCCTCGCAAGTTGCTAATAGTAACGTCTTCAATAACTGATTAACGAAAGTACTCACCTCCTGCAGACCAGGCTATCGCTCGTATTGACGAGCCATCGCAACTATCCAACTTAAGTGAATCACGTTGGTATGCGAGCTTGCCTCGTCACATGCAGTCACGGCCTGCCAAGTATCAGTTAACCCGCTATTCACAGTTGGCAAATTCGTATATCCAATGGAACGGGCACGGACTGCAAGGGAACCAAGGCCAGACCTCTATGGCGGGAGGCTACGGCTCTGTCTATCGAGGACAGACTACGACACACGCGAGGACTACCGACTACGAGCCAGGACTCCTGCCACCGCGCCAGGACCCCTGCCACTCCCGTCCTGTCCTGCCAGAGCGCCCCGCTACATATGCCACCCCTCCAAATGCAACCGTCCGCGGTTGCAAGACGAAAGACGAACGTGCGGGAGTGCGGAAACCTGCGCCAGACCACCACCCTGGTACACCTCCCCCCTCTCCAAATGCAACCGTCCGCGGTTGTACCACGAACGACGAATGTGTGGCCGCAGTCTGAAAATGACGAGAATGCGGCGGCTGAACGAGACGGAGAGGTTTTTGACACCGGCAAGTAGGACAATGTGGTGTACTAGTAGCATGGTGGGAAAAATGATATGGCGAGTTGTCGAAGAATGTTGGATAGCGTCTCAAGTGTGAGTGATGTGGGAGTACTGCAAATACTGTGTGAGGGAGTTGAACATGAGTCCGCAAACGACGACGCCGGTACTGAAGACTGGACCATGGGTTGCGACAGGAAGTGCGAAGGGCCGAAAAATCGCGCGAAGGTCGAGTCTGAGCAACTGTGTAGCACACATCATCTGCCCAAGTGGGCGGGGCAGTATGAAGGTTAGTGTTGGTGATTGGCGAAGACGGTAGATAGGATGGCAACAGTACAGACGAACTCCATGCCTTCAACTGCGCAATGTCAGCGTCTCGACGATTCCTATCTTCCAACTTCTCACGACTCCGCTGGAGCTTGATGCTGGGAACTCGTAGCACATCTTCAACGAACTCGTCCCATGTTGAGTAACTGCATGTTAGGTGGTCCTTGAGGAGGTCGGGGATGCCCTCGAGCACATCCTCAATCAAATCTCCTTTTAAATCTCCCATACCCAAAGCAAGTTGCGAGATCTCAGTTGCCCATACAACATGCGCAAAGTTGCCGTTGGGCGCCAATGCTCCAATATCACCCTCTTTCAGTGCATGCGCAGCCACGCGCTCTCTCTGCTGCGCACGAGATAACTTGGGCGGTTTCAGAAGTGGCCACCGTTTGAAAAAAGCTATCGTGAGTGCCGCAAATGTGGCAGTTTGGACTGAGTTGAGTGACTGGAACCACTGGTCTGCCATTTGTCCGGGCACGAGTTGCATAGAGAAGCGCCGGACACGCTGAGTGTCGGTCCATGTTGTTGGAAGGGAGAGCTGGAATTCTGTGAACCACGTAGACGGTTCCTCATTGCCGCTATAGTCACCATAGAAGAGCGGGACAGGTTCTATAGACATGAATTTGAAATTCGGGGACCAGAAACCAAGAGAAGTCGAAAAGTAGACCGGAGCAAAAAAAATGTGAAAATGCGAAAACCAGGACTCAGATCTCAGATGTCAAGCACGGGGAGCGAAGACCACTCTCATCACCAGATGGAACGGGCACGGACTGCAAGGGAACCAAGGCCAGACCTCTATGGCGGGAGGCTACGGCTCTGTCTATCGAGGACAGACTACGACACACGCGAGGACTACCGACTACGAGCCAGGACTCCTGCCACCGCGCCAGGACCCCTGCCACTCCCGTCCTGTCCTGCCAGAGCGCCCCGCTACACCAATTAATGCAGCAAAAGAAGCAGCCGCCATCACGCACCTGGACTTCCTCGATGTGGCCTTGGCATCTGCACACGCTGGAGCAGGATGGAAGAGCCGAAGCTATGACAAAGCAGAGACTCAGGAATGATGCATCATGATTGTGCTAGTCACCACTTGAAGTATTACATAGTAAATTCACACATTTCTAGCATTAGGGATGTTCACACCTGGGAGAGCTTACAGTTTGTCGGTCACAAGATTTTGCGGGTCTTTTGTATGTACCTCGGTATGGAGAACCATGGTCAACATATACGCATGCATGAGTACTGTCAGTCATGGGAAGGACTCGGAAGTCGTGCCTCGCAAAATTGACAAGCGAGCATTGTATTACATAATAATCTATGGGGCAGAACTTTTCCGAATAAGGTTGAGCCTGAACGTTAACCTGCAGTCAGAATTATATTCTTCCAGTACTGCTTACCTTTATCAAAGTGGGTGGCCTTGCAGCCACCCCTCCATGACATGCAGAGATAAAATTTACGAAACTTGAAGGCCGTATTCCTTCCACTCTGAACCGCTTTCATTATGGGTCACGATTCACAACCTGACCTGGTTGCTTGCTTAATTGCGCGGGGGTACGGAATCGTGCTTGTGTGCCTTGAGTATCAAGTGTACTAACTTACTACTCAGGTTAACTTGACGAGCTCGCCTGTTTTCAGACTTTGAAATTTATTTTGTTGCTCCTACCTTCCATGCGATTTCGTCCCCCTAAGGCTTTAGTCACTGGTGTTAGTGGCGTGATGGCCCGGGATTTCGAGAGGAGAGGCCTCCTAAATTTTTCAAATTCGAAGTCCTCTCCAATTCTACAACCATGACTATGGCGGTCGGATTCTTGTCGCTTCCTACGGAGCTCATATGTCACATTCTAATCCTTCTTCACCCCAGGGACATTAGTCGGTGTGCAATGGTTTGCTTTTCCCCGTAATTCCATGTTTTCCTCCATGACTAATGCTTGATCATACTAGACCTGCAATATTTTTTGGCTGGTGGTCCAAAATTCTGTCTACATTCAATACAAGCTTGAAATCTATGCTCAAGGCTTGATTAGTACCGGGACTGTTACCATGAATTCGACCGGCGCTTTCAGAAAGTCTCTGTGTTCGCTCAAGAAATTGGCATCTTTGTGGCGATCTGACTTCCATGCGACCACTACCTTTGAAACAGTGGTCACTACCGCTGCCACATACCTTCCAGTGTCATGGGAACACATGTTACCGATCCAGAATGTGCAATGTGGGCTTTGGTGGTCAGACTCGCCGGAAGAAGACGAATTCTACATTCAGGGTTGTGGCACGAATCCTACACTCTCCCAGACATGGCCTATCGGTGACGCCAAGGGCTTTTTTACGTTCGACCCTCTGCAGGATCTTATGGTTGTGTGTTCTGAGCCTGATGATGATGTCGCTGTGACCGATGCAAAACAAGATTACCATGTCTGTTGGGTGGAGTTCCGACTGGCTTCATCCCAGCGTCCGCATCCGAGTGCTGCGTGCACTTCCTTGGAGTGCAAACATACCTTTGATGCGCCTGGCTATTACTTTGCTGCTATATCACCACCCGTAATCTGCGGTGATCACGTATTTATCCTCTATGACATAGAGGATACGGGTGGCTGCCATCCTGAGCCTGTGCCCGGCATGCTCATACAAGTGATCAATTGGAGGAAGGGATATGTGAATAGGGTAAGTTCCCTCTGTTTGTGAAAATTCTGCTACTCAGCATAAGCAGCATTTTCTATGTCAACTGGATTTCTGCGAGTTAGATCTGTTCTATCCAGTTGATGAACAGAAGTTTGTCATCATTGGCCCAGAATCGATACACTTGTACACGTTACAAGGGCTCAATGGGCCGCCTCAGTGCCGAATCATATATCACCTTCCCAAGATCCTCCATCTATCATCATGCGACTCGAAAATCTTTGTTCATGGCCACCCGTCACTGCATGGCAAAGCAGCACACCCAGGACTCATGCCGAGCTATGTACCCTCCCTGGAGTCGCAGATTATGGTTGTAGAGTTTCTTCCCGAAGAGGAGAAAGACGCTATCCTAGTCATCGATATGGCTATCTTCTCTGACAAGGCCCTGCGCTCAGATATGCTTGTCGACATTCCCTGGTCAGATTGGGGACCTCAGTATGCGTGCTACTTTCCGCACCACGAAAGCTACCATATCAGCGTGTTTGGCAGCAAAATGGCCTATGCTCTTCCCCAAGATCGTATTCCTGATCCTGATCAAACACTGGAAGGGCTCTCCAGTGAGGGTTACATATATGTACATATCTGGGACTTCAATAAACGAGTCATTGCTCGTTCGGAAAGTGTCGACGATCCCGACTCACCAGATTTTCGCATTTGCAAGCCGGGTCAGATCATTGACTCCTTTGGTGAAGACATCGTCTCGAATCGTGCATACATAGCGACGGTCTGTCGTACGCCATTTCCGGCAGCTGGCTCTTGTATATTCTTGGAACAGGATCGGCTTACTGTGACACGGGTACGTGCTCTTCGTTTGAACAGAGGAACGGTCTGATGTGACCCCATCATAGGCTCGGGGTCACGAGGTTAATATCCAGGTCATTTCCCCCATCCAGACAGACGTTGGCCCGGACATCACAGAATAGATACTTTGGTTGTCCAGCGTCATGCTTGTATCATGTTTGTATTGGAAAGTGAGTAAGATAGGTAAGACTTAGCGACGCCGATGTAGTTTTACGAGCAATATGCGTTTTGATGACGAGCAAAATATCGAGGTTGCTTTCGCAGTTCGTTCAAACAGACGAAGTCTACGTATTTACATTGGGGTTATATGCGAATGCCATGTCATCGAGGTCTGTCACTCTGTCCGATACATAATCGAGCTGAGAGAAATATTCTCGAGTACCGATGACCAGTCGAGGAACCAGGACACATTGTTGGATGGTGACGAAGAATGTTGCAATGCTTATATACCACCGGCTCCCATCGGTACCACCCTGTTGTTCATGAATCATGCTGTGGTCATTGGTAGAAGTATCGACAGGACGATGCTTACATTTGCAGATATAGTAGCAACCTGCATGACGCTCAATATGAGATAGCTGAATGTAATGGTAAGAATGTTTTTTTTCAAGGTAAGAAACCGCATTCACTCACCACGAAAAATGCAGTACATGGTCCCTAAGGATGGCAATAATGTCGCCATGACCATCACCAAATCCATCGTCTGAACGTGTTCTCTGCATCTCGCGGACATACTCCACGAGGACCCGTACGGTAAGGAGGAGAAATAGAAGCTCGATGCATAGACTTGGAATGCCCTCAAGAAAAGGCACCATGGAGGCCATGGACATAGTGCAGACTCCCGACTCGGAAAGTACGCATTCTTCAGCTGAACATCAACGATTCATGAGCGAGTAGCCGTCACAAAATTGGCTGACTTGCATGCTAAGCCATCGGTTACTCCTCGAAAAGCGCTAGCGACCAGAAAGCAGATAATAAGGAATATCCTCATCCGCATGGATCGGCGATACATGGCAAAAACACGGATTGACATGACTGCTACGATTGATTTTGAGACATTAATAATAGTCCACATTCATTTGATCACATAATGGAACGGACCATACATCGTACACGCGAGGGCAACCATTCCCCATGACCATGATCTGCCAACAATGCCACCTATCAGGAGTTAAAGGGATTGCCGCACATGTGTAGCTCATTGACTCGCGGCTAGAACCGACATTAGCACATGGACTGCAGCAAGTTAGTAGCTGGTGGAACGTACTTCTGTGCTTGATCAGTCAGTCAAAGATGTATTCCTGCAAGTAACTTAAGAGGCTTTACCGTATCACCCAGCAAGATGCCTGGCCCCCCTACTACAAATCGAAACAAAACACGAGTTGGTTTGAAAGCAGAATTCCACAAAAACATACATACATATCTGAATTCTGAAACCCGTTATCAGTCAACAGATCCGCGACCTCTATTTTAAACTTACATCGCAATTGCAAGACCCAAGTAACGTGCCTAAACAATGTCGTCAGGCCACATATCGCGATGTTTTCAAAGGGCAACTTACAATGATATATAGAACTGTCGTTAGCCTCCAGCGTTGGCGCTACGGAGTGTTGGTATAAGTCAGACGATAAGTACATTGGTTTGAATTCCTCGCCCATATCAGCTCTACCTATTCGGAACGAAGCAGTTAAAAGGTGGAGATAGTAACAGCTTTAGAAAGATCGTATAACATACTTCACGAGAGAAAACGAGGCCTAACAAAGACCACATTTGAGCATGCTTGCACTAACTTGTGATATAACTGGTCAGATACCATAGTCGTAGAAGATGATTGTTGTAGAAGCCACTGTGCGCGAATCAACTCTAAGAACTTGAACAAAGGAGGCCAAAGACCCACCAATAAATCTAAAGTGAAGGTCATCACATCCGGTAGCTGGCCAAAAGCTTGGTGAGCCAGATGTAAAGCTCATATCCCGCGTGTAGGTCAGAACGAAAGAACGATGCTGTAGAAGTCGACCCATGCCACCTTACTTCCGCTTTTATAAGCTTCCCATACCGGCTTGCCATTGACCAAATCCATCATGATCATACATAACTTAGTCAAGTCTTACTGTCGTCTGCTTAACTGTCACGCCAAAAGGCAGTGATACTGAAAGCTTGTGTTTTAGTATCTCGGACAGAGATCATGGGAACTCTAGTAAGCCAGCGTGCTTACATCCATAGACTAAATTTTGCAATCTGAAGTGATTATTTCGAACAAACTCAATAGCGATCCTTTAAATCCATCGGCACCGGTGCAACGCGGGTTGTCTTCTCGCTCCACTTTATGAGCATGGAAACCAAATAGTATGAGCATTAATTTACCGTGATCATCATGATGGGCAGTATACGCATTGTACCGTCTCGGATCAACTCCTTTCTGTCACTCAGTGGCCAGGACTTGGCCTCCAGTTACAGTAATTCAGTCAAAGTGTCAAAGACCCTCCGATACGTTATGTTAGCAAATGTCGTCAAGGCGCGTGTGTGGCATTAATTAATGGTTGCAGCAGGAAGAATCGTGGTGGGTATCAATGCGATATCAGGGGGGAGGATGATATGCGTAAGGAAGGGTCGCAGGAGAAACGAGTTCGTGTCCAAAAGTTCTCATCTCCCTCACAACTAGACCTGAAGGAATAATCAGAAAGATTGAGCGTGTGAAAAGGACGGCACATACTAAGCTAAGCTCGAGGGTCCATACTCGTCTTGCCCATAGCTTCACAGGAATAGGTGGCTCTCCTGGCACAGCTAGATCGACCTCAAGGCCGTCCCACCAGCACTTGCGCTAGGATTACCAACGCGTGAACGACTGTCCCACGCATACGTGGAGCAAACTTACCGCTGGTTTTCTCCAGAACAATAACAACTTCTGTGCTGTAGCCATTTGATTGTAGTCAATAGTGACCGGGCGCTCGCTGTTTTGTCCTGGAGGATGATGTACGATGCCCGTCTTGAGTAATACAAGAGCGATCGAAGAAATACAACACCGCGAGGGCTCCATGGCACGGAATCCCCATTCGTCATCTCGGTTAAATCCACTATGGACGCTGTCAGTCACACCGTAGATAGCCACCAGCGGTCTTACCTCATGCACAACATATCAATAAGATGTTGTTCAGCAATATTGTTCTCCTTGTGAACGTTTCGTTGGAGCGCAGTAAAGATATTACGCTTTTCCATAACATTTTGTCCACACTTGTGCTTGATATCAAGAAGCGCCTGGTTGGCGGTGCCATGTTCATCAGTCAGAGCCTTTCCTTCTTTTGGCGGTATAGCAAAGTATTCCAGTTCCTCGCGAAGCACGATGATAGCCTGCTTGGTAAGGAGTGGATTCTGTGATACAGAGGGACCAAAATCTGAAGGCGACCCGTCAAGCAGATGCTGCTGTGCCGCAAACAAACCAGGCGAAGTATTGGTCCCATAGAACGTGTCTGATGCGTTTCTGAAGAAATCAAGCACGTATGCAAAGCATTCTGGGTCGAACTGCGGCGCGTCAGCAAACCTGAACCACGTGAATTGTCCAGTAGCCGCTTACATCGACGCCGTACACCTCGTCGTCTTCTTCATTGTCCCCGCCATCTGAGAATGCTTGGCTCTGACGACTCAGAACAAGCCCGTTTGGAAAGAGACACAGAAGAACCGATTCGGGGAGATTCATGATAGTTTCTCTGTCAACCGAGAAACGTCTGCCTCGGAGGTCGAGGAGCAGCCTAGTGAGTAACTGAGGCTGAAGGCTGGTATTCACGGGCGCATGCTGGGATACCTGTGTGATTGGTGAGGAGGATATCGATACTGCTGCCATGATGGTCAACAGTGATGATGAGGGAAATGTTGTGAAGACTGCTCAGGGATTCTGAACATCAACTTTCCCCAGCGCCTCAAGGCTACCACGACCTCCCTTGTTTGTGCAAACCAAATACTTCCACAATAACCCTGGGCAGGCTGGGCTGCACATTGTATTCAAGACTCGGCTTTTTTTTTTTTGCTTTTTTGCTACAAGAAGTCCTCTAGTATCTATAAGGAGTGGACGATGCATGTAACAAATCTGAACGATAGCTTATGCATCCAAGTTGAAATATTACAGAGATATTGCGTTTCGTGATACTGTCCAGATCAACTGCGCGTTGTTAAGATAAAGTCAAGGAAGGACTGGAAGAATGAAAAGGTCGTAAGGTATCACCATAAAACACGTGTAGTCCAAAGAGAGCAAACGAAGAGCATCCTTAAATTCACTGGCCAGCCAAAAGTTTGGAACCTGATCTCGAAGAATGTCACATGAAATCAAAAATAGAATGTATCTTTAATATCCGCTTCCATATCCTCCTGGATGTGGAGGCGCTGCTCCAGGTGGTAGATTAAACGTTGACGAACGAGAGTATCGGTTCTGAGGCGCCTGTGATGTGGACCGACGGACTGCTGGTCTCGCTACCCTACGGACACCCTCGGGCCCAGGAACAGGTCCATTGTCAGACAAGCTGACCCCACGGCCCCCTTGTTGATATTTGCTGGGCACAGGCGGCGGTGACATATCTTCTGGTTCGGCACTATAGCCACCATACTGGTCGTCATACGTAGCCACATATGGTTCAGAGCGGAATGGGTTCTGGGTCTCTCCAGGGTATTGGCTGGATATGGTCTGATTGCGAAGAACACCCCCTGCCCGGGCAACGTGAGCATCAAACTGGGGGTACCGCGGCGTCGGAGATTCAGTATACGAGTCGACGTATTGGTCTTGCTGGGAGGAAACAAGTCGTTGATTAGAGGTGGAGCCCCCATCTGAATAAACAACATCTTCACTAGAGCGTGACATAGCGGCTGACGAGGTTGGTGTCACAGAGCTGGGATTCTTACTGACGGAAAGTGGTGTAGGGAGTGTAAGAAGGCCGTTACTGTCGTGTCTCGACCGAGTACCAGATGCGTATGGCACACTGGGCGCAGACTCTGTCGTTGATGAGTCAACACCATTATGATTAACATCAGAGTTTGATGCCATCGAGTACCGATTGTTGCTGAAATAGAAGTCAGCGATAAGAAACGGAGCACGCCACCAATCACAAGACTTACACAGTTGAATCACGAGATTGCACCCCATTCTTCCACCGCCTATCACGCTCGAACTCAGCCCAGCGCTTCATGACGATATGCGAAGAGTCAAATTCTCCCTCCTTATCACCATGGTTGCCACCCTTATCACCTGCAACTTGCCGCGTCTGACCCCATGAGAAGTCATCAAAGTGCCAGAACGCATATGCAGGGAGGAGACCGTTCCATATGGGCAACGAAATTAAATACACGATCATCCATCCGACATAAGCGACCTTGCGTGACGTTACGACAATGAGGAGACCGGGTAAACCAAGGACGATGGCAAGCAGTACGAGAGGGATGGTAGTGTTGGCACCGCCAGGGATGATAGAGATGATGATGAGGTAGAGAGTGAAACTAATAGCGGCGGGCAGGACGAGCGTTCCCATAAGCTCCATACCCACGACGAACTGCATCGAGAAACAGAACGTTCCGCAAAGATCACGGACAAGAACGAGCTCAAACAGATTATGGATCGTTGAATTAATCCACCGACGACGTTGGGAGAGCAGAACGTGGAAGGTGTCAGGGACGATGGTCTTGCAGACGGCCTGGGGACAGAACATGTTCTTGCGCCGCGGGAATGTCTTGAGCAGGAGGGTTGTGAGGTATCGATCTTCTCCGAGGAGTAACAGGTTCTTCTTGTGCAAAGTGTCAACAACGTTCTCTGAGTACCGTTCCACGATGTCAGGGTTTGCCAGGACAGGAACCCAGTACCCAGTGTCACCCTTGGGAGCCTTGATCCGGTACATACTGAAACAACCGGGTAAACATGTAACACCACCGAACATGGCTTCGAACGCCTTAGTCATGTGATGTGAGATGTAGTACTCGAAGACTGCGAGGCAAAAATTAGGGTTAGGTTTCTACAGACACCAACAGACGAATCGTACCCTGCATCATCGTCACGAAATTATCCGCTTTATTTGCAATCTTTGTCTCTCCGCACAGACCCATAATCTCAACGTCCACAACCATGCATGACACCATGCGAGTCAACGAATCCGGGAACACCTTGGTATCCGCATCAACGCAAAGCACAAGTTCATATCGATCTGGGCTGACACCCGTCACGCGCCAGATGGAGTTGAAGAACTCATATTCAAACGTCGTCATCCGCTCGTCAAACATGACCTTCTGCAAGAACGCCATGAGCACGATCTGCGAGTCACGCTTGCCTCTGTTTCCAGGCTTCGCGTCGTTTGTCTCCAGCGGGTTGCCGACCTTGGCAACGACAACCATCGGAACGCGCTGCTGCTTCGACACCTCAACCGAGGCATTGTCGTAGTCGTAGAAACCGGCGTAGACCTTTGCCATGTTATGACGCTTGTGCCCATCTGCAATGGCAACATAAGAGTGTGGCTCGACCTCATGCGGTGAGATGGCGAAGTCTTTCATCATTGAAAGACAAATCTCCGGCGTTGTCATTGAGTTACCAGCACCTTTGACCATACCATCCGCGATGACCAGGATGAGCTTGTGGCTGTTAGGGTAATCTGTCGTGGCGAGGGAGTCGAGCGTTGTACGAAGACCCTCGACGGACTCTGAGTATGCCGTGACCAGGCAAATAGTGTGCGCGAGGGGGAAGTTGAACGGTTCGAAATCGGGGGGAGGCTGTGGCACAACATTCTGCAGAGGGAACGGACAGGGTGTGTCAAGGAACGCGGAGCGAGGAGAGATATTGCGAGACGATATATCACCAAACGACATGGTGCTTCTTGATTGACGGTATGGTGTATCAGGGGGACTGACTTTAGAAGCTTTGGTAGAATATGTGGTGTTCCGCTTGTAGGGATCTCCCATTCCGTAATTCGTGGTAGGTCGAGGAGAGGCGCCCTTAGGCATATTTTCCTGTGGTGTGAAGCGAGAGGTAGACGGAAAGAATCCTTTCTTCCCGACCTTCCCATTTCGTAATCCATTCTTGCTCACATTGGGACGATATTCGCTCGGTGCAGGCCGGTAGATATCGTTCGACCAGTCTTCTATCTGGGCGGAGCGCTGCATACGTTGCTCATATGTCTCCCGCGGGAAATTACCGAGCTTCCATGAGAAAAACCATGCGAACATGACGGCCATGACAAAGCGAATAGCGACGACGCCGATAATGAACACGAGGGACAGATAGAGGACGACCTCGGAGGCAACGCAACCGATTGAATTGGTATCAATAAACCCGACCGTGATCACGTCCTCCAGACACTTGCCGACCTGGCGCTGGTTTGATCGCATGAACATCATAGAAAGGTCTTTTCCATTATATGTTCCATCTGCATTTTTCATCTCATCGAAAAGAGCAGGGTACTGCACCTCAGCAGTGCTGAGCCACTGTAGAAGATCTAGGTCGAGAACGTTGCTAAAAAAAATGATCAAACTGAGAAAACATCAACTACGTAGAAACTCACGACTCGAAGACGGCCAAATTACGACCGGAAGCTGCGACATCATCCCATGTGTAGTAGACCTGCCCCTGAGGCTTCATCGCAGCTAGCCCCTGCCTTGCTGTGGAAGATACATGACAGTTCGTCGAATCTCCATATCCGGACACATTCTGTGCGTTTGACTGTGGATTGAACACATTACAGGGGAAGTACCAGTCCAACATTTGTCCACTGCCCGTGATACTGGAACCGTTCGCCTTCGTGATGATGCCCAAGCAGTTATCATTGGTGATCTGAAACAAGAAGCTTGCATCGTTACTGGCCAGGTTCCATCCACCAGTCAGCAGCGGGTTTGTTGATCCGTTGAACGGCCCCACGGCTGGATGCTTGAAGTTGGAAAAGTCGTAGTCATAGCCATGGATGATCACCGAGTTGTTCTGAATCTGGCCCTGGTGGAATCGATTTGGAGGAATGCCGCAAACAGTTTCTGTGAAGCCGAATGTAACGAAACCGACACCAGCCATCTCTATCAAGATGATGCTTATTAGACCTATTTTCTCGCGCCATGCACGTTGCGCATCTGGCGTGCGGATACCTGACATAAAATGAGCAATCTTGCAACGAAACCATACAAAAATGCCTACCGCATGTCCGGAGAATGAAGTGGGGGATCCAACAGGTAATGATGTAACAGTAAATAAACCATGCATCCTTGGGCCCCGGCCCGATGCTGTCAAGACATTTGCGTGACTGGCGGTCAGGTACTGTTAGTGGCGCGGCAGACTGAGTGGATGCTGGGCGCTTGCGCCGAAGGGTTGCACCCCGTTTAAAGAGAGCAAGTCCTGACTCCTGCACGTCCTCTTCACGTCCAAGAAAAGATTTTCCTCTGCGGAGCACTGCTTTCTGCGGATAATTACCAGTACCTAAAATAATGAGTTAGACGACATGCTACTAGGGCAGGCATACTTACTTGACGGTTGAACACCCACTCTACCAGTCCCCTCATTCTGCATCTGTGCTGCATGAGTGCGATAGTGCCATTGCCTGTGGCCAGGTTCGATCTTCTCCCTGTCTGGTCGGACCAAACTCTTCTTCCGCCCCACTCGTGCAGGATCGAGGTGATCTGCTCCTGCAGAGTCGATAGTAGGTGAAAGTTGGTTTTCGTATGCAGAGGGCAGTGTACGCTGGCGTTGCTGATCCAGGGCACTCTGCCTATCACCACGCTCAGTAGTTTGAAAAGAGATATTTGGTGTTCTGCCCTCTTGAAACTGGTTGAACGCTGGCCGCTGCTGCGAGTAGGCGCTCGCAGGTGACGGAGAAGATAAATGGCTATACCCAGAATACTGCTGTTGTGGGTAGACGGGAGGAGTCTGCGGGGGTGATGGGTGATGATGTTGGTGGTGGGCAGACCGTGAACGTCTTTGATCACGATAATCCATTGTTTTAGGGTCAAGGAAAGTTCACCCTGATGTGGTCGCTGTCGTAAACGTCAGCAGCGCTGCTTGTGATAGTGAGGAGAAAAGAGCGGCGGATTCGATTGAAGGGAATGGGAAATTGGCTACTGCCCCGTGTAGTGGCGCAAGGCAAAAGGCCTCTCAATACGTCGTTTTTTGCCACGAGCAAGGTCAAAACAAATGACTATTTTCGGACACACGTTGATTTCTTTGTACAAAAATCATTGTGTTTCCATTGCTCTCGTCATGTCTACCGCTCATTAAAAAACAAAAGTAATGTGAATGATAACAACAGCATATATATACTGGTCAAGCTGAGTACGACTCTACAGTACTTGTGAAGATTTTTGGCCCATAATTAACCACAGTACATCGTTTAGCCAATCATTTGCATGCTATTATTGCTATGCTCTCAGCAACACGGGACAACGGTTCAATATGTACGGGTACGGTAGCAGAACGCAGCATTTATTTCTATCCACACATTCTCACATATTCTCGTGAGAAGTAGCGCTCAACTAACGTATAATATGCTATCAGACACGGCGCCATCGCAACACGCAAGGTACGGTAGCGCAATGACCTTGCCATATTCGACTCAAGACATCTCACTATCTCGATTCTCGAAGCTTGCGGCGTCCCCTTCAAGCACAACCAACACGTCTCTTCTGCCACCTACTATATTGGCTGCAGTTAATGATGTCTCTCCTGCTGCTGCAACATCGTGAAAGAAGGGCGTGAAACTGCGACCGGATCCGAAGAATGGACGGTGCCGGCGAGTGTTTGCATTTTGTTATTTATAGGATCGTCACTACTTACACACCATACTAGGAACCTTTGTGCCCTTCGCTAGCTGAAGCAAGTGGTTCCACCGACGAATTCAAGGCCTACTATTCTTAGCTGAACGGAGAAAACCAAGGTGTCCTCTCATCATCTCTTTTCGTGGATACTACTGGTGACTTTTCTGTCTGCAGATGCTACGATACCGAAGTCGCACTGCTAGTAAGTGCAGCCCTCCTACTCCTGTTGTGTTGCTGAGGACTTGCTACCAGGAACAATATCTTGACTACACCACCACTTGATGTCTATGGAATAGGCGACCTTCCTGCACTTCCCACAGGAACGACGATCAACCCCGTCAAGTCATGTGTGTTTTCCTCGTTAACAGAGCTGACCATTTACTACTATGATCAGGGTATCTTCCGGAGTCTACACATCCTGTGCTGACAGCTCTTAATTTCCTTACCAATACTACAACAATATCGTATTATGAATTGAACGACCCTGCAGTGCTATCCATTCCTCCCGCCCGGACGTTATTTCCATTGATACACTTGCCAGTGGTTTGACACGAGCTGAGCGGTCATTTTGTGGATGCAATTTCAGCGGCATCGTGGCCTTGGCAGCTTGGCTTGAGTATTTGTCACCAGGCCCAAGCCAGGGGTTTCAGGCCCGACACATCACTAATGCCACTGTCCCTGTCAAGTCCCTGTTGTTACGGGGCTGCGATAAGTGCCTAGCTAATCATTAACCAGCTGATAGCATACCGCTCTGCTCTAGACGTCAATGACCTCAAGCTTGCTGGTAGCCATCGAGAAATACGGATCGTCGCCGAACGTTACACGTTGCACATCTGTGTGGAGGATATAAATTCTATCCTTGTCGATATGTCCTCTAACTCGGTAGCATCAAAATTTCTGCCCGAAAATACGACCTGGACGTAAGGCAGGGGTGTCGTCAAGCTCCTTCCAAATCTGCCGGAGTCACGGATGCATGTCGTGGATGGCTCTTACTACTCGTCCTAGACCCCGCCTATTTGTCACAGCTAGCGGGCTAAAGTCCACCAAATATGACATTGTGCAATCACAGATGGTAGGAAACTTGTCGATGAATCCCGGTTCCCCCTGCTCGTGTTCTGAATTACAAGGCTATTCAATGCTTTCCCATATATAATGTTGTTGCAATTTGTCATCGACTTTAGAATAGTGTGGAGTTCCTGCAAAAGCTATGATACTACATCATCGCAGTGGGTAGGGGATGGTGGTTCATTTGGATCAAATCAGTGCCACTCGATGATTTGAAAGTCATTGTAGTGAATCCATGACTGAGAGTACTAGTATGAGACGTGTCAATAACAACGACGCGTATGACGTGCATATATGATATCTACACATTGTAAGAACGAAGCGATTTCCAATTGGTGTCAACGCCATATGTAACCTCAATCCAAACGCGAATCATGAAATCGTTCCCTGCAAAGCCTTCCACCCCTTCCTGAGACCCAGATTTTCGATGATACTCACAGGCATGCAGTACGTACACTGGGTCAAGCCTGTTTTGAACCCGACAAACGACGGTCGGGTCACGAACGGTCACGTCGTGACTGATGGGCCCACTCATACCGCGACCCCCAATATTACCGTTGATCACGAACGGTCGGAACACCATCTGCCTCGTATCTTCGCGACCCACCGGCATGCAACGAGGAGTAGGAGGGGAATCAAGAACGAAGGTAACGCTGGTTGCGAACGCTAAGCATTCGGCGCCAATACTATTGCTAACTCTCGTAATTGATATAATTGAGTCACATGATATCACTCACAGCATCCTTTTTTCATCGATTCAACCAACCATCTAGATGTCTTCTACAGTACTGAGAACAACTCTGTCTCAGTACTCAGCGAACAATTCTATCAAATTTTGATGCCGCTATCGAGGAACTGAGAATGGCGTGCTGGTAAGTTTGAGTGGCTGTATATTAAGGTTTAAAAGCTTATGTAAAGTAATTTTACATTGCGACACCTCCTGTCCCTTATTACCAAATTCACTGGCTATGTAGGTCCACGTGTGGCACCAAGGCAGCCACGGTTGTCTGTTCACTTTCTTTCACCCAGCTCTTCATTTCGTACTATGGTCAAAGCTGTCTTTACTGCCCCAGAGCAAGGTACTGTCGTGCAGCCTATATACCAGTACTCCGACGAGCAACAAACCCATATAAAGGCATTACGTGAGGTATGACACTTTTCTTTCTGTCAACCGTTACCTGAGTCGTCGTAAAAAGTATGCAGATGCTCTGCTTCTGGACCCATCAGACCCGTACCATAAATGGGAGCTGCGGTGGTTGAACAAGCCAGATACCATGCCTCGGTACATGCGCGCAGCAAAATGGAAACTCCCTGACGCGAAGCGTAGAATAGAGGGAACGATCAAATGGAGGAGGGAGTTCCAACCAGAGTTAATCAGACCTGATGATGTATGTGCATATTCAACTCGAAGATAATATCAACACATACACAGTTGCCAAAACGCAGGTGAAGATAGAAGCCGGGACAGGGAAGATGTATGTAACTCCTTCCCCACTTCATATGAAAGAGACCTAATCAACGGAACACAGCATCCTAAATGGGTTCGATAAAGATGGCAGGCCCATAATCTACATGCGCCCTGGTCGCGAAAATACCGAAACCAGTCCTAGGCAGTTAAGACACCTCGTTTGGTGGTTGTACGTCCTTAGTCCTCTCATTCAACATCATCTCACAGGAGTACAGAGAACGTGCAAAGGATTTGATGCCCCCAGGACAAGAGTCACTGGTTATCATCGTAGATTATAAATCCACGACGCTTCGCACCAACCCTTCGATATCCGTTGCTGGTAAAGTACTTACGATCCTTCAGCAACACTATGTAGAAACTCTCGGTCGCGCAATCGTCACCAACCTTCCAATGTTGCTTAATTTCTTCTACAAAGGCATTTCGCCATTCTTGGATCCTGTCACCCGGGACAAGGTACGCGTTATTCTGTATCTGCGTGGGAAACGTGACTTGACGGGCTATAGATGAGGTTTAATCCTGATCTTCTTGAACTGATTCCAAAGTCCCAGCTGGACTCTGAATTTGGGGGTGATTTTGACTTCGAGTTCGATCATGAGACATACTGGAAACAAATCGTCGAGTAAGTTTCTAGAGACCTTATTCATCGATCAATGATACGAGTTCTAACATCATCAGTTTCTGCGGCATCGCTGAAGACGGCACCCGCTTAGAAGGCTATTTCGACGGACCAAAGAATATTCATGGAGAACTGCCTTCACAACATTCCGAGTGAGTCTATACCCATTAGATGTTTTGTTTTCTGAACGCTAACAGCGCGGATACTGAATCTAGTACTGCGTCACCCACTTCCACCTCGTCCACCACTGCGTCTGTTACGTCCGCTAGCGAGATTTTTTCACCTGAAGTGACACCCGCTGCCCCAGAGTTAACCGAGGCATTGTAGATCACTCAGGGATATTTTTTGATGATTGTACACTATATACACAGCACTGTAATTCAACATAGCAGCGTCTGCATAACATAGTCTTTGAACCCTTGCTACATATATTCCGATGCCTTCTAATAGCAGATTGTATTTGTCCCATCGCTTAGCGCTCAGTTACCATGTGTCGTGGTTGTTGCGTTGAAATTGTCAATATATTTATATTAGTATCTCGTAGGTCACTTGGATAAAATACAAATGTGTGCTATAATACTGTAACACAAAAGCCTTCGTATCACAACTCTTCTAACTCTGCCTTTGATACTATCAGGGGCCTCACCTGACAAGCCATTCCATGAACTCCTCGAGAGTGCCAAGCAAATTTACGAACTTGAATAGCTGCCTAAATTAGCAAGATGACATAAGCCTCCGTGCTAATGCCACGAGTCGCGGACACCTTCTGCCACATTCTGCCATCGCCCAATTTCCCCCGCCGCCGCACGGACGTCAGCCACAGGTTTAGCCACAGCACATATTGACGAGCGCAATCCAACCCCAATAAATTCTGAACAAAAAAATCAGGATCATCTTAAGTTTGAAACGGCTGATCTAGTGCGGCGCACCATCCAAGATGGTTCGACAAGCAAAACAGACAGTGCGTAGTGCTCGCGGATTGAATTGTGCTTATCAGCCACCTGAATTCACTGTGGCTGAAATGTAGCCGGAACAAAAAAAAGAGTCGCAGAAGAGAAAGACGACTCAGAAGAAAAAGGTGACAGAGACTGGAGTGTGGCCATGCAAAATCGATGGTTGCAACAAGCAGTTTGCTCGGGAGGCCGATCTGAAACGGCATCAGCGAACTACCAAATTACACTCCGTGCCAGGATTGTGAGTGCTTATTCAAGCATGTATG